TGTCTGCCGTTTTGCTTCCCACCTACCACTCCCATAAGCACCAATGGGGGAGCTTAGTATTCTGTGGCTCCAAGTATTGTGTAATCTACTCCAGCGCACACAGCTTTGGGACTATGGCCTTGCCAAAGTTAATCTAATTGCCATAGTTAATCTAATTAATCATAGTTAACCTAATTGCCCTGTATGGTATGTACTAGCTGTTTAGAAAACAAATACTGAACAAATCCAATGTGTTTGCATTTAGATGGTGATTCATTTCCAAAGTTCAGCATATATTGCTGGTAAAGCAGTCTGCAACACTTCAGTTCAAACAGCCTCACAAGTGAGATAGAAACCTCTGCCTTCTTGCTAAGTCAAAGTGAATATTTTGGCTCATGGATTACTTGAACTTCTCCAAGAATACTGCACTGTAAGATTATCAGCCAAACAAACGCCATATAAGCATCCTGTGCCACAGCAGGGGACAATCAATATTTCCTGAAGCTGTAGGTAAGTCAAGCTGCAATGCCAATGGAAGACTATGAACTCCACTGGGATTCTTAGGCTCGTTTCTATGGCTTGCTGTGCCCAGATAGCAACTAAGCATCAACCCACACACTTGCTATTACAGAGGCGGCCAGCCTCAAAGATTAAACCCCTATGGATTCCCCCACCCAAAAAAACCTTTTCAATACTATAAATCTGCATTATAACATTTCAACATACTCCCAAGGAACTTCCTCCTCTCTTGCCTTCTAACACATTATGTACATACTGTGACATTGCCAATGATATGTGTAACTGTTATGTCAGTATCCCGTTCAGGGTTTTCATTCAAAAATATCTCCTGTAGATCCTCTCTTCCCATGGATTTCCGTTGATTGAGAGGTATTTCTAGCAGGCGGGAGAACCACTCCACAACTGCACGCTTTTCATGAGTACCTGGAGTAGGTAAAAAACCCCACACAATTCAGATCTGGGATGGCAAGAGCACTTGAAGCCTTTTAGCAGTATGATGCTTTCTTACGTTTCACTAAATTAAGGAGAAAGTCAACGGCAGCAGTCAAACTTGGTATTTTCAGGAAAGGCATTCAATATCAACTAGCCCCCACCCCCAGCAGCCTTTATGCAAGCCTTGTTAAAAGGGGGGCAGATAGACACATGGATTTTGGAATCCTGTGTGAAACTACCACCCATGTGGTCCCAAAGACACCCTCACACAATAAAACTCATAACAGGAAAACACAAGAAATTTATTGGATAATAATATCAAAATGAATTAAAAATGTATATTAGGACTATTGTTGAGCAATATTTGTAAATGAATGGAAAAAATTGAAGAAGAACCATTATATATAAAATGGACAAAGACAATGCGAAAAGTTAAAGACATAAAAAAGCCAGAAGAAGGAAGGAGAGAAGTCAGCTCGGGAGAGCAAGAACAAATGTGAAACATAATGTATGTGTATGTATAGTATGTAACTAAAAATTCAATAAAGATCATTGGAGGGAAAAAAGACACCCTCACACAAAAGGACCTTAAGCTGAAGTCAAACTGAGTGCTGTTCTGTCTGTGTGTATCTGAACCCTTCCAGACTAGGAATGTGTACCCACACAAAGATTATAGAAAAATAAAGGATTTATTACAGAGGAACAGTCGTACCTCAGAAGTCGAACGCTTTGTGAGACGAATGTTTTGGCTCCCAAATGCCACAAACCCAGAAGTGATTGTTCCAGTTTGCGAACATTCTTTGGAACTTTTTGGAAGTCGAATGGACTTCCAGAATGGATTCCATTTGACTTCCGAAGTATGACTGTAGTTTTAACAATAAACCACAGCAGCATACATTTGCAGTACTGGGCACACATGTGAAAACAATTATCTAATGCAGGCATAGGCAAACTCGGCCCTCCAGATGTTTTGGGACTACAACTCCCATCATCCCTAACAGCACAAGTGGTCAGGGATGATGGAAATTGTAGTCTCAAAACATTTGGAGGGCCGAGTTTGCCTATGACTGTTCTAATGCAAGCACATATCTAACTTACAGAAATAAGGGTTCTAAACTAAAAGGGGGGGGGGAATAGCTAGAGAAAATAGTTGCAAGTTTCTTCTCTTAGTGTCTGTTAAAGTGCTCCTGAAACATGTGAGCAGATGATAGAAGAGCTGGAACCTAGGCACTGAGCTCAGGGTTTTACACCTGAAATTATTCCAGGTATTCATTAAAACAGGATCACAGGGGGAGAGTTTCCCCCAAGTCTTAGGTTTGAAGTTCAGCAGTGAATTAAAGATGTTCTAGGAATGCACACAGAGGCCTCTCAGAGGGAGAGATAATCTTCAATCTTGCAGGTGATGCTCCTGGTCTTAAACAGACTTGAAGGAGATCCAGAAGTCTGTCTAGGTGAGTTGGCATAATGAAGGAGAAGAAGACCTGGGGGAATGGTCTTCCTGAGTGAATTAACTTTGAGAACAATGACTATGATTACTGTAGTTAGTCAGGGATGACTGACCCAGGTGGTTGCCCTGGGGGAATGGCCTTCCTGAGTGCATTTACTTTTTGAGAACAATGACTATGGCTTGAGGATGTCTGTGCCACTGTTCTATCTATTTTACATTTGCAGCTCTATCATATTCCCTGTTGGTTGAAAGAGCCTGTCTCCTGAGTCTGAAGCAGAGGCTTCGGGATATCATCCCACACCTGGTGCCTTTTGTTTAATAATAAGCTATACTACCATTATTGCAACCTGGCTTCCTAATGACTTTCTAGATTCTCATGACTTCAAGCATAAAGAAATAAACTATAGGACTGTACATAAGGTCAAGACAAGAGGGTCACTTCCTATGGCCATCTACTATAGCCAAATCCATCTTTGGTTCACTCCTGAACTCAGCAGGGAGGCTAACATTGAAAGCTACAAAACTGATAATGCAAGTCAATCTACGAAAGCAACATAAGCCATTTAAAACACAAAGTTTTTTTAAAGCACATAATTTAAAATGCATTTTTGCAATATGGAAGCGTGTTCCAATAAAGATTAATAACCAATATAACATTCAACAGAAACTTCACAACCAAAGTTTCTTGATTTCTCATTCCCCTTGAAGGAATAATATATGGGTAGCAAATGTGGGTTCCTCTAGATGCTATTGGACTATAATTCCCATCATCTTTGACCACGAGCCATGCTGGCCAAGGTTGAGGGTGTCCAACATCATCTGGAGCACTGGCTAACCCTAGAGTAATACCTTGCAAAGAGTGAGTAAGTATTGCTACTGGCTATCTTGGAAAAAGCCAAAATCAGAAATCCAATATACATAAAAAGTGTATACCAACATATTTTTTAATAAGAGAAAACATAATGAATATTTAATTATTAAGCCCCCAAATTAGCATATACTGTAGTTAACTCCTATAACATATTTATATTGCATGGGGCCCCGAATCCTTTGTACAGTCCCACAGATGTTAAGCTATAGCCCAAAAATACATATTTAACAAAAATTATGGTATCACAAAAGTTGCTTAGCTTCTCTATTCTTCTAATTGTTGTTTGATCAATTTTTTTATAAAATAAATGTTGAATAGTGGTGTGACATCTTAATTAGAGCTAGAAAATAATAAAAAAAAACCACTTACCATCTTCATATAACTTTAAAAGTCTTGCGACAAGGAACTGATCCACATTCTCACCTTCTATTAAAATAAACTCCCCTGGGAAAATACAGATGTCACTGACATGTTTCGATTTAACAGATATCCCCCTAGGAGATGAAGGGTATAAATTGATTGCACATTCTTTACAGTTAAGGAACAACACTGAAGACTGACAGTTTAATGTGTAGTCATAACCATGTTGACTCAGAAATAAGTCTACCTGAATACAGTGGGGCTTTCTCCCAGGTAAATAGGGTTAGGATTTCAGCCTTAATCTTTACCTCTATTACCCCCCCACCCCCAATTTACATTCCAGATCTACATACTTCAGCTTTCAGAAGCTGCTTCTTCAAACAATTATACCCTTTCTTCCTTATTGCTTCTTATAATTGGAATTAGTTCACAGATCAACATAACACTGCTCCCTCTCTTTCAAACTCTCCTCAGAAGAACAAACTTTTTCATAAAGTCTGGATTTAGCCATAGCCCTCACTCCCTAAATATGTAGTACTTCCTCCCCAGTTAGTCACACTTCCTTCTTCCTCCCTTCTATCTACTATATCCACTCAGTCAAATTTAAGACTGTAAGCTCCTCAGGGCAGGGGCCTGTTTTTCTTACTTTGCAAACTGCACGCACAAAGATGGTGCTACATAAGCACATTCCACTAATAATAATTACAACAGTATTGTTACATAATCACCTTTTAGTACTCCATTAATAATGAAAGCCGCTCAGCCTTATGCAAAACATAATTTCCAAGATTGCAAGTTTATGCTACATTTATACACTGGCCTCAAGCCTACACAGCTTACCCTCTAACAATATACAGACCAAAGAATACATGCCTGTAAGAGGAAAGCTGCAGCTGCTCGTCTTCAGATATAGCTTTTCCAAGCCACGAGTAGATACGCTTTTTCCGGTTTCTCGTGTTCATGGTTTCTGTGAAGAAACAGAAATATGAAGGTGGAAAGATGCAAAATAGGTAAGAAAGCCGATTCTCGAATTTTTAATCCGTTTCCACCCCACCCCAACTCGATTCTTAAAAGAATCCACACAGAGACCAATGCACGTGAGGATGGAGGGCGGGCGCCTCTGCAGCCCACCCGCAGCTCTCCCGCCGGCCGCTGAACTATGGCATTGACACTCCGATGTCGCACCTGGTTCGGACTACCGTACCTCGTCGACGAGCCCACAGCTGCTCCACAAACACGGAGAGCGGGATTCTGCCGCGGGACCCGGTGCGGCGCGCGCGCGGTTCCTTCCCTACGTCAGGATGAAACTTCGCGCCAAAGCAGACTCGCCCCGCCCCCTGAGAAGGAGGAAACGAGCCGCTTCTTAGCGCCGCGGCCGCCATGTTTTTTTTTGGCTAGGCGAAGCTCGGGAAGGGCGGCTCTTTTGCCCACTGCTAAGATGGCAGGCCGGAAACCACTGTAGGTGCGGGAGCCCGCCTCTAGAGGAAGTGAACCCCCCAAGCGGAAGTGAAAAAGGGGGGAACGCGTCTCTCGGTGCGCTGGTCCGGTACTTCCTTTGTCTCCCCTCCTCTGTTTTCCCCAACTCTCTCGCCAGGCCTCTACGCGGACGGGTTCGTGCCGGGCCGGACTTCGGCTATGGCAAACCGGACAGTGAAGGACGCGCACAGCATCCACGGCACTAACCCTCAATACCTGGTGGAGAAAATCATCCGCACTCGCATCTATGAATCCAAGTATTGGAAGGAGGAGTGCTTCGGCCTCACAGGTGAGGCCTAGGGCGTCTGGGTAGCTGGGGATGGAGGAGGAGGGGCTCACTCCGTGGGGGGGGGGGAGTTGGGGAATACCTGCCACTTCGGTGGGGCAGTTTGGAAACTACACACCGGGGGAGAGGTGGGTGAAACGAGGGCACAAAAGCTGTACAACCACGCTGTGTATTTCATAAGTGGCTACATTTGTATGCCACCCATCATCCAGGGCCAGAAGATGCGGGACTAACCAGTGTTATAAGTTAGTTTCCCTTATATCGCCTATCAGTGCTTTTTTTCTAAAAATAAAAATGTTTAGCGGTACTCTCATTTTCCTACTCATATTGAAATACTGCCTGCGCAGTGAGGCCAAACTTAGATTCATAAAATGTTTAGGGGCATGCCTACCCACTGGAAAAAAAGCAGTCACCTATTAATATTTTAATCGGGTGATCGAACCACTTGAGGTAATACCTGAAGTATCGAAAGCTTGGGTGGCAGCAGTCATTTGAACGCTTATTAAGAATCCAAATCCTATGCATGTTTAAAGTTCCATCACCATCATAGTATTTTCTGGTAGCAAATTCTCTAGTAACAGTAAACCCGGTGCCTTCCTAGTTGACTAAAAATACAACTTCCAGCTTAAACATGAGCAATTGGTCTTGCTCTAACTTCAGAATCTGAGTTCCTTTTCATATGATTCCTTTCATAGCTGAACTGGTGGTGGATAAAGCCATGGAACTGAGATACACTGGTGGAGTTTATGGAGGAAATATCAAGCCTACACCATTCTTGTGCTTGACTTTGAAGATGCTGCAGATACAGCCAGAAAAGGATATCATTGTTGAATTTATAAAGAACGAAGATTTCAAGTAAGAGAAAATAGCTAGAGAAGTAGTGTAGAGCTGTGGTTTCCAATTATTAGCAAAAGCCTTTCTTGGTGTTCAGATTCACATTAGTCGGCTCTCATCTCTACATCTACTAATTTCTTAAGTCATTACCCTTACTGTTCAAGTTTCTTTAGTCAGGACTCACAGAAGGATTCTTCTATGATACAAATGTTTTGCCTGTTTGGAGGTAATCTTGTTGCCATTGTACCCCTCTATTTTTTCTTGAACCTAGATTCTGCTATGTGGCACATGAAGGTTACATTAATGAAACATTTTGGGTATAGTTTCAAATTCTGAGCTGAGAGCATGTATTCCAATGACTTTATTTGAAAGAATAATAATAATTCTAAATTGCTATTTTTGTGTTTGCTAATTTTTAGGTATGTAAGATTGCTGGGTGCATTGTACATGAGACTGACTGGCACTGCTATAGATTGCTACAAATACCTAGAACCTTTGTACAATGATTATCGAAAAATAAAAAGCCAAAATAGAAATGGGGGTAAGTGGCTCAGTTTTATAATTTATCTGGTCAGCTCCTGCCCATCAACAAAGCAGTCATTAAGTTAGGTGGTATATAATCAATTTTACCAATGTAGATAGCATCTGTGGAATATGTTGTGTAGGAGTCTTGATGTTATAATCTTAATTAACACTTATTAAATTATCTGCTTTGTGAGGAACTATTGTTTTTGTGACCAAGAAGCACAGTATCCACAAAATATTAACTGCAATATTTCTACTCCTTTTATACTGTGGTTTTTATTTGGAAAATAGGACTAAATTGTTTAATGTTTATTTGATATTCAGCCATACCCATTTTAAATTTTTTATTGTAGCTACTGTATTGTAGTGATGCTCTCTAAAATATTTTTTCCAGAGTTTGAACTAATGCACGTGGATGAGTTTATTGATCAACTGCTCCATGATGAGCGAGTTTGTGATGTCATTTTACCTAGACTACAGGTGTGTAATGGCTTGTAACATGCTAACAATAAAACTATGAATCAACCCTAAAATACTACACATCAGAATATAATGGTTGGAGGGGGCAACCCAAGGCTAAATTTGGAAAAACAAGACCTTTGTGATTCAACCCTATGTCCTCCAAATGTGTGTTGCTTCCATTGAGAAATGTTGTTGGTTGTTATTATTATTATTAGAAACAATTTAAGATGAGCAGGTGACAACAAAGGTTGCAAGGTTTTTAACTGGAGCAATCAGAATGAGATCCACTATTTGACTATTGATTCAAAACCCTAAAATGCATTTTATATAATTGACTTTTTATTTCTATTCTTTGTATATCGTATTGTTTTATTGCTATGGCCAATGGCTGACACAAATTAAGATTCATTCATTCATTCATTCATTATTAGAAACGATATGTTCTAGAAGAGGCTGAACAACTGGAACCACGAATTAGCGCTTTGGAAGAAGATATGGATGATGTGGAGTCCAGCGAGGAGGAGGAAGAGGAGGACGAAAAGGTTGAACATTTGTGTAGCTCCCCTGAGGGCCTCTTCTATAACAAGAGTACTGACATATTGACTTTACATAGTGCAAGAAAGCATTTCTTATGTGGTGCTCATATTGCTAAAGAGCTTTAGAACTGGCCTTAGCTATTGTTATTTTATTCTTAATTGTTCAGTTCTGACGTTCTACAAAAGGAAGATCAGAAGACTGTCCAAGCTTTACTTTATTCCTAGAACTTTTTTTTAAAGGAGCATTGAGTCCTTTGTGCTTCTGTAAAATCTTTTTTTAAAGTTCATTTTAGAGATGTTGCATTGAACATAAGGGGTTTTTTTTCTAGAATGCTTTGCTTGCAATATTTTCAGATGGAGCGAGTTCCCTCACCTGATCACAGGAGAAGAGGCTACAGGGATCTAGACAAACCCCGCAGATCTCCAACTCTGCGTTACAGAAGAAGCCGAAGCAGATCTCCTAGAAGGTAACATATTTGGAGCCGGCAAAATACTTTTAACCAACTTAATGCTGTACCTAAAACTATTGTCAGAGTAACATTTCTTTTCCCCCCTTCCCTGTTAGGCGAAGCCGATCCCCGAAGAGGAGAAGGTAGGAGACTTACTAAATTATCAAGCTGATTTAAAAAATAAATTGTGTGAACTTTACACTAATAGCCTGTGTCCCTATAGTCCATCACCACGTCGGGAAAGGCATCGCAGCAAGAGCCCAAGGCGACACCGAAGTAGATCTCGGGAAAGACGCCACAGATCAAGATCTAAATCTCCAGGTAATTTTATTTTGGGGACAGAGATTTTTAGGTGGCTTTCTGGCATCTGTTAATTTACTTTCCCATTTTTACCAGTACGGGGGGCCAATCTGTTTATAATATGATGGCTTGGATCCTCAGTTCCAGCTCTGTTCATGGAAGTGAAATTATTCCTTTCCATTGCTGCCCTTGGTGCCACATACAACACTATTCTGGAGCACCCTTGAGCAGAGTTTTACTCACAGACACTAGGATTCAAGCCCCTAACGAAGTTAAAATTGATTGAGTCCCCTATTACCACTCTGCTTTACTTGATGTTACATTCAGGAGGAATCCTCTGTAGAGAATGGAATCAAAGTAAAGGTTTTGTATCTTGTCTCAGCAGGGCATCATCGTAGCCATAGACACCGAAGTCATTCCAAGTCCCCAGAAAGGTACATATTTCGTATTACTTTTAAATGATATTATTATAAGAGGTCTTGCTTACAGATTTCTTGCTAGGTTTTGTTATCCGCCAACAACTTTTTTGCATCATCTATGAATTCAAGATAGATTGTATGTATCTTGGAAATATATTTTTAGGACTCTTGTGATTGTCATAATCACTGTATTAATATCCAGAGGTGAATTTATCACTACATGTTCAAATTATTTGTTCCTGAGAATCAACTGAACAGTGAGTTACTTTTGTTCTTCTTTCAGATCTAAAAAGAGCCATAAGAAGAGTCGTCGGGGAAATGAATGAACCTAGAGAGTTCAAGAATCTGAGCCACCACTTATTTTCTTGTAGATATCAGGCATCAGGATGGGTAGAAGCTGCTGTGACAGCTAATAATTTTTGTATTCGCTTAGTATTCACAACATTTTCTTTGACAACATAATATTCTTTGTTTAACTTGAGGGGACATTCATTCAGTGTATGTTCATATGTTTCTTTCCTAAAAGAAGTGTTGTGTAAAAAATTCTTTTGACAGCCAGTACTTGCTTAAAACTATATAAAAGCAAGGCACAATGAATTGTTTAAATTCATTGTGAAACCTATTGTGAAAGTCTTGCTTTTGGAGTATTTGTATAACAATTTTTATGTAACTCATAATTTTATCAGCCAACAAGCTGTTCAAAAATGTACATAATTCTGTAGGGAATTGCTTCAGGTGTGGGGCAAGCAGGAAAGTACTATTGTAACTTCTTTATTAAAATCTTTGATAAATAAGCTGCAGAACAAATGTGCTGTGTAACTAATTATTATTCAAGGATGCTTCAACAAGTACTGATGAGCTTAATTTTCAAAAGGTTGGAATGCAGCGTTGTGATTTAAGATACTTGCACCTTTTTTCTCTTATCTCCCAATAGTATAACCCTGTATGACTAGACAACACCTCTGGGCAATCTTCCCCCACCCCTTAACCAAGAATTAAATGAAAATGATGGCACAGTAGAGGGTCAACCCAGAGGTGGCATGAAAAGGGGCAAAAGCAGCCATAAGAATGTGAAAACAGTGTCTAGGAATCCCATGAGCCTTTGCACTGACCCTTGAGGCCAGTGAAGAGTTGGAGTTTGAGCAAGGAGGTTTGGAACAAGTGATTGTGGTGTTTGCAGGTTTTTCAAATGTGTTCCCAATATACGCGATTTCACTTAAATGCTCAGTGCTCTGGAACATAACACTTGTGTAAATAAGGAGTTGTCTGTACACTTTTTTTTTTGTTGGTGACCATGTTCCTTTGGGCACAGATGCTGGCAAGGAATGACTAAGTAATCTAATTGCATAGGCATTTCAAAGGGGAAATATCTGAGTTTCACAAGCATGAGGCTTCCTTTCCTTTTTTGGGTGAATGCTCACCAACACTATATGAAGACTTGTAAAACTTTGTGAAGTTTATATATTTAGATGCCAATTACATGGAGTCCAAGATACTATTTCACCCTAGTCTGCAGTACTTTAAAAAGGCTTAACAGAATCCAGCTGTGTATACAAATGAAAAATTCTACTTATGATTTCTAATTTTGCAATTTTATTTTTTTCCTTTTAAAAAGTTTTTGGCACTACATTGTTCTGTAAAGAAATGACAATCTTTAACACATGAAATCCCTTTCTAATTTCTTTTTAGAACAATAGATATAAAGTCTGAACCAAAGTATGAATAAAGCTAATAGAAAATAAACAACTTAATTTTAAAAACTCTCTTTACAGTTTATCAAGATAAAATAAAACACAGCTCCCCTTAAAAATAGGGTAATAAAATAGATGACATTTGTATCACTTCTTGTGATACTGGTAAAAACTATATTTTATATCTATGTACAAATGATACAGTTAAAAACAGTTTTAAATAATCTCTTATCTAAACATGTTGCAATAAGATTTGAATCCAGAACCTGATTTCTTCCCATCCCCTTAATTAAACTTCATTTTTTCTGCTGAATGAAATTCATGTTCAAGTGTGGGTGTCCTTGGGACAGAAGTGAAAACCGCTGGTTGTTCTGCATCAGTAAGCCAGCTGAAAGAAAACAGGTTACAATTATTTTAGCAGAAACTATCCAAATCCAATTTAACATTTAGGTTGAAAGAGAGTTTGTAAATTCCTGCAAGTTTAGCAGCAGAAAGGGGCACTTATGGAAAAGAAATAGGCTGACATACTTGTGGACCGAGGCATGACTATCATGATGGAACAAAAATTGCAAGGGTGAAAGAAGAGTGGTTCTCCAGATATTGTTGGAGGCAAACTCCCATCACCCTCAGCCAACATGGCCAGTCATCAAGGGTGATGTGAGTTATGGGGCCACAGGTTTTCCACCTCAAGGTAGGGGCTTCATAAGATGCCCCAAAAGCTTGGTATCTGGGATATCTACTTGCACAAGCAAGTTCACATTTAGTTAAACCAATGAATTATTTTCCTATTAAACAGGCAGAGAACAGACAGTGCACAGCAAAGAATGGAAGTGGTTGCTATACAGATACGGTAAATTCAGAAAAGACTGCAGCTTTTTATAGATAAGCAACTTAGAAAATATCTCTTGAGTGAGAGCCCAGTATGACATCGCACTAGCACAACAGCTGTTCCTATCACAACAACTAAAACCAAAACCAATAAAAATAATAGCAGAAAGGTGAGAAAGTTACTTCATGAAGATACTACCTTGAGGGTAGAAAGGTTTATTCAATGGATAGCTGGCATTTCCCTGCTGCATGTAGTTCGGAGAAATATTGTAAGGCCACGTCCCTCGCAGGAGAGGAAAATGGGCTGGGGTGCCATGGTCCCAAGGAACAGGAGGAGGAGGAGGGTTCGCTTTACCAAACTGTCCTGGGAAGCCCTGATCTAGTTTTCATTCAAAAATGAAAAGGAGAGAAAAGATTACTGTATTTGAAATCGCCATCCTGCAAAGCAAAATGCACAGCAGTAAGAGTATTTTCTTAAATTATGTTTCTCTTTACTTAATTTTATTTTTGGGCCCTCTGGAACAGCATGGGATGGGACATGGGCAGCTGCACTAGGAAAGGGAAATCAGAAGAATTTAGAAGGGCTGCCCTGTGGAAGTGCCTTTCTGCTTGTACAAGATGATTTCGGACCCAAGGAGCCATGAATAGACTAAAAGTATCCATTGCTGCAGAGCTGCAAGAGCTCATGGTGCTATAATACGTAGTTCCCTTCTGCATGCAGAAAGCAGTCTTAAATATGCATACATGGATAAGAAATACAATAGAAGCAGTTGAAGACCTGCGGGTATAGGGTGGAATATAAATTTAATTAAAAATTAAAATTAAAGAGTCGTGTAAAACCAATAGGAGACAATCTGCTCCATTTTACATTATTCACTAAGTGATGGTTATACAGTTGTGGTTCTGCAGTGGTAAAGGACAGGTACTCTATTACTCAGAGGCGCTTTTATTACCATTCATTTTTTGAGGTCCTAGCACCGAAAGCTAGTTTCCGGCCCTGGCTCAAACTGAGCCTCAGAACAGTACACTGATCTTTCAAGGAAAGGTGGTGCAGGGTTTCTAATTAGCTAGGATGTGATCCAAAGGGCTGTACTTAATGTTCTGCTTCATACACTGAGTTCCTTTTCCTTGACACACACACACACCTCAAGCTGCTCCTGAAGCACAGTATTAAATGGACGCAGCTCAAAAGGAAACTGGGCAGAAGTTCTTTCTGCTGATGCACAGAACTCTTTGAAGCCCATCCCTATTGAAGTTCAGACTCCGATTTCGAATCAAAGTTTATTGACAGAAAGCTCAAACTATTATCTCTTTAAATAACTTGTCAAATGCTATGAAAACAGCCTTCCAAACCCAACCCACTTTTTATGTAGCCTAAGCAAATACACGGCGATTCATCTTTTTCCTAAAAGGTTCCTCATCTGCACCCCAGAATATACAGCGTAGTCAGAATGAACAGGTTCAGAAACGTTAAGCAAAGAAACTGTCAGTATTTGTACAAAACAGGAGACAAGAGAGGAGAGTTACCTGAGTTCCCCACCGTGCCATTGTTCACCAGTGAGCTTAGAGTCACAGGGTTGTGCCAGTGTCCCTCATGAGTACTGCTGGGGATTCCTACAGGCCTGGCAGCAGGCTGTGCAAAGATGATACTGGGATCATTCAGGCTTACGCTGCTCTGGTTATTGGGCGGGCTGCTGCTACTGCCAGCCCTCACAGAAAAAGGAACATTTGCCGCGTGAGAAGGATTACCCGGTGCAGAGTGAATAACAGGCCACGAGGTGTTAGGAAGTTGGATTTGGTGGTGGTGGTGGTGGTGATGGTGGTGGTGGTGAGGGTGCATCTGAAATAGTCCCAGGTTAGGCAAGGTGGCATACTGACCTGGGGGAGATTGGGGAAAGTTAAACAAAGGCAGCTGGACCTGGTGGGGTGGTTGTGCCCCTTGCTGGGGCTGCAGAGCATGCTTAGACTGGGATATTGGTTGTGGCTGAGTCTGGTTAATGGAGGTTGGTGGAGAGGAATTCTGAGTAAATTGCTGAGGCTGTGGAGAGTAAGATGACTGACGCGAATCAGACTGGAGAGGGGAGAAAAGGATGTAGTTTGTATTAGTTCATGAGTTAGTTAAGTGTTCCATTTAAGCACTTAATGCTAAAAAGTCTTCACAAAGGAGTCTCTTGAGCTCTAGGTTTACTAAACTACTGTCTTTGAGTTGAGATAGGCTACGACTAGGGCTGGACTATCCATTGTGAGGACTTTTTATGAAGAACTAAATTCTTCATGACTGCAAGTTCAGTTAAAGCAGGCTTCCTCAACCTTGGCCCTCCAGATGTTTTGAGACTACAATTCCCATCATCCCTGACCACTGGTCCTGCTAGCTAGGGATCATGGGAGTTGTAGGCCAAAAACCTCTGGAGGGCCGAGTCTGAGGAAGCCTGAGTTAAAAGTATAAGGTTTAATTGACAGCAGATTCACCATATTCACTCGGAGAGTTCAGATGACCTTAACTTAATATATGAAACATGAACAAGCTTTGCTGTTTGTTCTTCACTTTATTGGGGGAACAAACAATCCAGAACATTTTCGTTAACTTCAATTTTAACTAAGTTTGTTATTGGTATGAGCTTTCGTGTGCATACCAATAACAAACTTAGTTGGTCTCTAAGGTGCTATTGGAAGGATTTTTTTTATTTTGTTTCAACTATGGCAGACCAACAAGGCTACCTAACTGTAACTTCAATTTTACAGTTCATCTGAATCAGGGAACTATGGTTACAAACTTCAGAACAATCTAAAATATAGTTTGAAGTTGGCTTTATATTCTGACTTGTTCCAAAGCTCTTAACCATAGTTTGCTGGTTCATAAAACCAGAAATTTTGGTTAATTTCCTAGCTTGTTTCCTTGGTCATACAAAGGGACTGTGTGGCCAAAGATCTTGTTCCTATATCAGCTTATTAAAGCAAGGTACTATCATCTGAACAAAATCATTCTGTAGCACAAGCCCTACCACTGATAAACAGTCACTTGAACTCTCACTGGAATAAAACATATAACTTTAAAAATGTCCTACTAATTTTCAGTCACCAATAGCATCTTAATTCATTGGCTCCTCCATTTGCTCTAAATTGTTGTCTCAATCCTTAAATATGCAAGAATATGTACTTCTGAACTCTACAGAGGCCTTTTTACAGCAATACACTTCACAAGCATTGTTGTTATATTACTTACACAATTGAAATTGATTTCTTATATAAAATTTAATTCAGAAATACTGAATCAAATGAAACTTACACATTCTGATGTCTGTCTAGCACGTAAGGGTCTTTCCACTTGCTGTTGAATTGATCCAGTTACTTGCTGAGAGTTTACAAGGCTTCGGACTAACGGAGTCCCTAAGTGATAAAGTGTAAAGAATGTGTTTAATACAGATTAAGAAACCAATAGGCTGCGGTCCAAAGCAATGATATGTGCAGACAAAATTATTTATGCAGACAAAACGTTATTTCCTGTACCTATTGCAACTATGTCCTCTGCCAGAGAGGTCCAAGGAAGGCAATATTGGCTCCTGTGAATAGGGTTAGAGCAGGTGTCTTCAACCTTTTCAGACCAAGGACACACTTTTAACCCAAACATGCATTTTGAGACCCATTTCTTAATATTTAACCATATGGTGGTGTTGCTCCTGTTATGACCCACTTTGGATCAGGCTATGATCCACTAATGTGTCTCAAACCACCAGCTGAAAACCAGAGAGTTAAAGAATAGGAGGCAAATCCTGCATCAGTCAGCAGGAATGCAAACAATTCCATTGGCTGGACCATGAGTAGCAAGGCTGGAATAAAGGACAAACAGTGCAGTGCTATGCATATCTACTCAGAAGTAAGCTCCATTACCGAGAGAACCGTTGCTTCTTTGTCTTGACTGTTTAAATTCTGGACAATCCCTTCGAACGTGTCCCACATCGCCACAGATAAAACATCTCTTTTCTCTAGTCTCTCTGTCTTCCTCCTTGACTTCCTTTTCGTCATCTCTCTCATTCTCCTTTTTCTTCACTCTAAATGGGGACAGGTACGCAAGCATTGCTTAAAAGTATCCTTGAAGCTGTGTGGCTTTCAAAAAGGCAGCCAAAGCCTTAAGATTCATTTCAATGTCCCTGTGTGGACAAAAAACTGGGAATTGCATCACCCAAAACATGGCGGTGGCTTTACAGAGCTGCTGCACATTCCAGCTGGGCAGAAGGTGGGGGGCACCTGTCTGAAGCTGGTGCACACACTGCCCCTGATGGCCTAGGGCTGGCTTGGGTTGCAATGGATTTCTGGCTGGCTTAGCCCAGAACCCAGAAAGCTATGTTTCTGGTCTTTTTGTTAGCTGCCACTGTGAGATCCCATCATAGGGTCTTCCACCTACCTAAGCAGTGGGCAGAAAAGGAAAGTGATGCGGGTGTCATTTGGCAGTCAGAATCCAGTGCAGGTCAGCAGGGCCTAATCCAACCCTTTCCCACCCACTGCAGCATGGTGCAAAGGAAGTTTGTACTGCTCAGTAAGCTGAGGAAAGCTGAGATGTACTGTTTGCTGCAATTTCATCCAAAGCCTACAGGACTCAAATGGTCCCTCAAGTTAACCTCAGCTCTGAATTGCCACACATGGTTCCTCCCATACCCTTTGCTTTATCATAGGCAAGTAGCCACTGCACTTACCCTTCAAAGCACAGAACATTTATGGTATTGTTCATGAAAACACATGGAAAAATACACAAGTAATTCACTAGAATACTTAGCACTGTTTTACACCAACTCCTCTGCCTAGTTAAGAGTTCCTTCAATGGAAAGATAAAGTGATTTTCTTAAAAACAGTTTTTGAAAGAAAAATTAAAAGAATAAGGTGCATTCCTTGAGGCAAACAAAATTATTTTCTTCTGTTCTCTTGCATTCCGCATAAACATTTTTAAACTAGCCATGTGTTTATTTTCCCAACCTCCTTTTTTTGGGGCAGTCCTTCATGTAATGACCAATTTTGCCACAGACACGGCAGCACCTGTCGTTGGGTGCCAGTTCTCCATCAGTCAATACTTTAGAGTTGAAAAAGTACTCCTACAAGGGGGAAAACAAGCTATTACCTACAAGCGCTCTGTATTCACTTTCTTTGAAGAGAAATGGGGAACAGGGGGGAAAGGAGGGAGAAACAGCAGTTGCATATCTTACTAAGTAAGGCATTCATTAAGAAGAAAAGACAAGGTTGAGATTTTCATATTTACAGTCAAGTAAAATATATTTGTAATAATACCAGACAGGATTTTTTATAGCCTTATTTTTCCAGGAAATACAAAGTAAGTGAAACAAGCAATATATTTTACCCTAACAAACCAACTAAATACAAACTTTCAAGTTTTGCAAAACCTAATCGTCGTGGTCACGAGGAACTAAGATTAGCATTTACTCTACACTATTCTCAACTGTTGACTAGCAGCCTGGGATTGAATGCATAAGTTTTAGCTATTTGTCTGAGGTACATGACTTGAAATTCAAGTGTCTGGAAGAAGGACAGAGAGGGAGGAAAGGAGGAGCAACAGTTCATTAGAACTGAGCCCAAGAGTAAGACATTCAGTGTATGCTTGCATGTTTATGCAAGATAAGCTGTGAGAAACTGTGTTAAACACAGTCCTAAAAGTGGGAGTTCTCATATCCTCCTGTTGTTTGTTCAACACCAATACAAACATACACAAAATGTAAGTAATATATCTTGGAAATAAAAGAACCAACTTGATATTTTAGGGTTCTGTTAAGACCTAACTGTTAAGCCTTGAGTTTTCAGTCCTACTGATTAACAATTATGACCAAGATCACTAAACCAATTATGAAATTAAATTACATGTACTCAAAAGGACCCATAGAAATGCAATAAAGGTACAAGTTACAAAATAAGAAAACTTACAGCTTCTCTTCCCAGCACCGGATAGAAAGGAGTACCAAATAATTTTCTCCCATTGATTAATGCCTTCATTATGAAATTGGTCACTGTGAAAGGAGAGAAAAAAGCAATTAAGGAAGTGTCACTTTAGAAATTTATTAACACTGAGTAGAACATTTTTCAAGTCTTACTTTTTCTGGATACTCCTGCACCCAGGTTATGATTCAAGTCAAAAGGATCTGAACAGAAGAAATAAAAACAGTATTAAAGGAGCAGGAAAAAAAATTCCAACAGCACTGAATTTTGCTGTTAACAAATACTGCTGGTGTAAGACAGGCAAGTACATTTTCACTAACATTAATAGAAGTTCACTTATAAATGATAAATTCTTTCAGGGGGATATATCCTTTATGTTAGATATTCCATAAGTACCTTCAATGGCGATGCATTTGGACGTCCACTGTTTCTCAAATGTGGTTAACAGCTTCTTCTGACGAATGCTGATGACATATTCTTTGAAGTCAAACTCTTCAGTGTAAAATCGCAGTAACCCTAACCAGAGTTCTCCCAGTGATTCTGTGTTTTTCCCAAGAGAAGGTAAACGGTTTTTCTGTATAAAAGTTATAGCAGATAAAGTACTTTATTGTGAACGTAATACTTTTAACTTTGGGATGGTTCCAAAGTAACACATTGTGAAGTATGTGGCATCTATCTATTGCAAAGCTGGGCCGTCCTGAATGTACATCTATGTGGTAGCAGGGAAAAGGAATAAAAGTATCTTTTACATTCATAGGAAACTCTCTACCTGTGCAAGTTCAGGTAAGGCTACTTCCTCTCTTAATGTGCTCACTGCAGAGGCAGATAATTCACTGAATATAAGAAGCATTGAAAAGAGAAATTCAACCTAAATGGTATACAGACTAGCCCACTTCCATTTTGCACTATATGTTGACTGAGCATCTTGCTTACTAGTGATCATCAGGACTAAATAGGCATGAGAGCATAAGAAAAGCCTTGCTGGATCAGACCACAGACAGGTCTAGTCAAGCATCCTATTCTCAGTAGCAAACAGATGTCTATGAAAACCACAACACATGAGCTGGGTACAACAAGTTAAATTTGTTTGTAGAAGAGTCTTACAAACAGTTTTGCTGAAGATGAATGCTGGGATTGGCAAGAAAAATAGCCCTGTGCTATTTCTGTAACCAAAAACCAAAGTGGCACATTTCCTGTTTAACAGTTGCCAAAAAGCTAATTCTATAACTTTTTAAAGCTATTGCTGCCACTATCTAATTTTGTACTTCTGAGACTTTCAGCTCTTCATTTCTTTACCCTTCCCTTATCCAACAGATTCTGCAGAAAGGTGTTTTGTTTTTCATTTGTGTAATGCCAAATATATTGCTGGTGCTCTTATAAAAAAAATAATTAAGCATGTATATGTACTTGTGATATAATACTACTACAGCTAAGAACTCAAGTACTATTCCAGAATTAGAACATTACCAGTTCTTCAGTATCATCAAAGAAGAAAGCATTCCACCCATCAACCATTCTCTGAGGGATCTGTTGTCCATCAAATATCTAAAACACCATGAAGAATAAAGGTAGAAAATGGGGTGGGGTGGGGGAGGAGGGGGTAATGAACAAACCCAACATCAGAAAGTATTCTCTCTTTTGAAAAGGATGAAAATATCACAGAAAATGTTACTAGGGCCCAGATGGATGTATTTGCAAACCATTAACAGTTAGTTTTGAAACAATGCTGGGACACATGCCTTCCTTGACCTGAAATGCCAGATTGTGGGAGTGGAGGCAGGGAGGCAAATGATTATTACATTACTTAGTGGTGATAGGAATGCAGTCCACATATGCTCAAAAGGAGACTTGCACTAAACCTGTTTGTGACACCTCAATTTGGTTAAGGGTTGGGTGGAGTTCAAATCAATAGCTTACCATTTTTAACTTTTAAAAATAATCAAGATAAAGAACACTTCGTGCACTACTTTGCTTGAGAATGCTCACATTTTTCCTCATTTATAACAGCTTCACAGGTAATAAAAGTTCTGACATAAAAAGTACTTCTCTGTTGGAATTAATATGCTACTCAAGGCAAAGCATCAAATACAATGATTGCCCACACATATATTTCACATCTGAAAAGCAAAACAATCTCTTGTGTGCAATTATTATGTATGCTGCTTTTAAACTAATATTGAGGAGCACATTAATTCCTTCTGCAGTTGAATTCTGTGATGTGTGAAGAAGCTGGAAGAGTGGCTCAGTGTGATAAGACAGAACCCGTGAAGTGGCATGGGAGATATGCAGTTGCAACTTCAACAACTCTCCAGAAAAACAAGAGTCAAAACTGGCCTCACATACAAAATGAACTGAAAAGAAACATGATTCTCTAGCCAATCTTCCAAAGCACATTTTCCTGAAAACCTACCTCTTGAAGAACTGGGATTACTGGTGGATCTCTCTGTTGTAAGAAGTATAACACCATTAGGATATAGGCATATGAAGACAGACTTCCTCTGGATGCATCTCCAATATCACAGCGCTGGTCAAATACATTTTGAATATAGTGAGCATTTAACAAGATATAACAATGAAAAAAGAAAAGAAGTGTTTTGTGATGCTGCCGTTTCTGAGAATGATATTGTCAGCCTCTGGCATGCACTAAAACATAACCTAAGTCAAACAGGCACAAGGATACTATTTCTGAAAGGGCTCATTTGTGTGACTTCTTCCACATGCCCCTGATGACAGTGGACATGCTTCTAAAGCAGCAGTACCCACTTTTGAAACTCATTAGAGTTCAAATATCATATATGGCATGTATGTCTGCTCTTCAAGGGAAAAGGTAAAGAAAAAATCCTACTACGGATTAAAGTACAGCTTTAGATCCTGGTAACTATGGATTTCATTTGGATTAATGGGGCACTAATTTACTATACCTAGTTCTAAAGCCAACATATAAACCCACATTCCATTATTGCAGCTCAAGTAATCTGTCAAACAGATATAATCCAACCATCAACAGGGACTTTGAAAACCTAATTTTGTATAGGCCAATATGATTATATATACTATTAGTAGCTTCTGCAGAAATATCAGACGCTGCTTGAAATCAGAAATTTCATAAGCTTCCAGAATTGTAACTGTTCAGAAAACCATTTAAAAAACAAGTTGAACTGTCATCACCTTTTGGGGACAGAAACCACTGAGCACACATGGCAATAAGCTAAAGTTGCACGTTATTTATATTTACCTTTGCAAAAACTTTCATTGTGTATCCCAAGTATTGTACTCTCGGATCAATGGCTGCATATGTTGCAAGCATCCTTGTGTTGTGCTGTGCCTATAAAACAATGGTTTGGGTATCAAGCTTTGGGTATCAGGCACACTTCAATTTGCAGACTGAACATAAGAAATGTTGCAAAACAATGCATATTTACATTCTTACAAAATTTCAGGCAGGTCACAAACATAGCCAAAAACAAATTCAGAGGAAGAGATCACACTTCCAAGCAATGTGTGGGATCCCAACAATTGCAGGCCCATATGCCCTCTGAATAACAGCTCTTGATGAATTTAAAGGAGTGATACATACAGGTGTACTGAAGATGATACTTGCCAGTGTATTGTATAAACTGATATCCCCTTCTAAGCCACTTCGTCTGTGCTCAAATTTTACTATAGGCACTTTGGCTGTTGTTATAGGCAGGATATTTCTTAAACCTGATAAGATAAGGTTTCAAGATGTTAAATACTCCCCATAGCCAAAGAACACACAAAAATGCATAAAAGCAGCACAAAGTTCCATACACATACCTGGATGCTTCTTAAGAATCTTTGCCAAATTTTCAATAATTTCCTTACAGTTTAATTTCTGGGAGAAATAAATAAAAAGCCTGTGTTACCTACATATTCCCACAAAGAATTCAGAGTAACCAAGTACTTTGAACATACATGCTACAATAATCTTCCTTCAACTATATAAAATGTATTTTAAAAAGAACTCCAAAGAGCAGGTTTAAACATCTCAGGAACACAAAATCTCAAGGACCACCTCTCCCCATATGAAACGACTCAAGACCCTGCAATCATCATCTGAGGCCCTTCTTTGGGTGCCTCCCCCATGAGAGATCTGGAGAGTGGCAGCACAGAAATGGGCCTTTTCTGCAGTGGCTCCCCATTTGTGGAATGCTCTCCCCATGGAGGCTCACCTGGTGCCTTCATTACATTACCTTTAGGCATCAGGCAAAAAAGCTTATCTATAATCAGGCATTTGGCCGATTCTATGGCCTTTTAAATGTGTCTGTGGAAGAGGGGTGTCTGGTTTGTTTCCCTTTTGTTTTTGTTTTACAGTGGTACCTCTAGTTACGAACTTAATTCGTTCCAGAGGTCCTTTCTTAACCTGAAACTGTTCTTAACTAGAGGCGTGCTTTCGCTAATGGGGCCTCTTGCTGCCGCTGCACCGCCGGCACATGATTTCCATTCTCATCCTGGGGCAAAGTTCTCAACTCAAGGTAACTCTTCCAGGTTAGCAGAGTTTGTAACCTGAAGCATTTGTAACCTGAGGCACCACTGTATTATGTATTTTGTGTTCTCATTTTGTCTTTTAATGCTGTGAACTGCCCAGTGATCTTTGGATGATGGGCAGTATACAAACTGAATAAATAAAATAAAAGAAACAATAAAATACCTCTGCATTTTCATGGCCTTCTAGTGTCATGCAAATATCCAGGTCACTGTCACGAAATCCAAATCCATTTTTTGAAGAGCCAAACAGGCACAGCCTGGCCTTGTCTGATCAAATGAAAGAGGGTTTTTTAAATAATAACTTTAGACTCATTCAAAATGTAACAGATTGTACATTAACTTTAAACTTCCACAAAATTCGAGAACAACTGAATTTATATTCCACTACATTTTGTAAGACAAAATAAGCAATATGATTCAGATTATTGCAGACCCAGTATAACCACCCAAGTGTCATCTTGCCACATCTGCCAGACACAATAGTTTTTCCAGTGCCCCAAACAAAGCATGTTTTAATGCCCATATATTCCATCACTTTTCAGTAATAAATAAATTCAAGATGTGAGGAAAAACACATTTCTGATTTCTTTAGACTATTTTTCAAGTTCTATTAATGTACAAATCTTGATTCTTGTTTTAATATTGTTACTCAGTATGTTTGTCAGTTCCCTCAATTTCTCATTTGTGGTAATGGGCTTGATGCCAACTCCTTTTCTAACCTTCTTCTCCATACTGAAAACATTTAGGATCTCTTCCTAAAGAATGAGGCATGGCAAACTAGATTTTCCTTGGCATCAGCTGGCTGATATATAATCTCAGCCTGCAGATACCTGTCTGCCAGGGAAAGATCCAAGTGAGGAAGGAACTATTGCACATGCACTTAACTTCAAAAATTAATATCTTCTATTAACTTGCTGCCAATATTGATTTTAAATCCTTCTTTTTTAATGCTTCTTTTTTTTGTATTGTTCTTATAATAATATAAAACATTGGTTTGAGTATTAGTGTATATAATGTTTTGTTCTCAAGTGCAAGGAAAGATGGTATACAATGTAATAAATGAATACAATTAGAAAATAACTCTCTTGGACAACTGCAAAATAACAAATAAATTGGATGTTTTTAAAAGTTTCCTGTTGCGTACCATTATATTCTTTTCGAATAAATCTTTCCAAACTTGCCAGAATCTGTTCTCGGTTTTGTTGCTCTGAGAAAGGAGGCGATAATTCATCTAAACAAACAAAAACCTAAGTGAGCCATTCAGCAACATCCAAGTGTCAGAATTAAATATCCTCAAACATTTCTCTCACTGAATATTTTACCGATCCCTGTAATTCATTAAAGTCATCTGGTGATGGTATTTTACATTTAGGATGCAACCATATCATCTTAAATATCAGACTAAACCCCTGAAAGGAAAGCAAAAGAAGAAACAAACTTATGTGTTGGCCCTGCAAAATCTGTCCATTACTAAAGATACCTTGGTTAACAAAACCATGCAATTCCTTGACGCTTTGGAAACTTACATTTGCCAAACCCACTGCAAAGTCTAAAACATCCTGATGACCTTACTGTAAACTAGAACATATGAGTATACACTACTTCCAATCACATAAGAATGCTTTCTTTCCACTGATTTAAGCAGGGAAAATCCCAGATTAATGTGGTTAGAGTTCAGTACCCTATTATTAACTACTGAAATAGAACTCACAACCAGGTCAGAATAGCAAAACTTTGCTTACCAAAACACCTTTTACATACTAGATCAAGTATTTCTCTAAATCTACTTGTCATTGGTGGTAGTGGTTTTAGATCAATTTTCTTAAAATCCTCCGGGCAGTCATTTTTGGAATGGCCATCCCTTTTGCAGATACTGCATACTATAGTTGGTGGCTATGGAAGAAACGAACAAAAATGTTTTACTTTAAAATATATTTTTTAAAAAGTGTTATTTTCCTTAAAGATATGCAGTATGTTCCAACAGCTCCTTCATGGATTTGACTGTGTCGACCACAGCAAACTATGGCAAGTTCTTAAAGAAATGGGAGTGCCTGATCACCTCATCTGTCTCCTGAGAAATCTCTATGTGGGACAAGAAGCTACAGTTAGAACTGGATATGGAACAACTGATTGGTTCAAAATTGGGAAAGGAGTACGACAAGGCTGTATATTGTCTCCCTGCTTATTTAACTTATATGCAGAATTCATCTTGCGAAAGGCTGGGCTGGATGAATCCCAAGCTTAAGATTGCCGGAAGAAATATCAACAACCTCAGATATGCAGATGACACAACCTTGATGGCAGAAAGTGAGGAGGAATTAAATAACCTTTTAATGAGGGTGAAAGAAGAAAGTGCAAAATATGGTCTGAAGCTCAACATCAAAAAAACTAAGATCATGGCCACTGGTCCCATCACCTCCTGGCAAATAGAAGGGGAAGAAATGGAGGCAGTGAGAGATTTTACTTTCTTGTGTTCCATGATCACTGCAGATGGTGACTGCATTCACGAAATTAAGAGACGCCTGCTTCTTGGGAGAAAAGCAATGACAAACCTAGACAGCATCTTAAAAAGCAGAGACATCACCTTACTGACAAAGGTCCGTATGGTTAAAGCTATGGTTTTCCCAGTAGTGATGTATGGAAGTGAGAGCTGGGCCATAAAGAAGGCTGATCACCAAAGAACTGATGCTTTTTGAATTAGGGTGCTGGAGGAGACTCTTGAGTCCCATGGACTGCAAGAAGATCAAACCTCTCCATTCTTAAGGAAATCAGCCCTGAGTGCTCACTGGAAGGACAGATCCTGAAGCTGAGGCTCCAATACTTTGGCCACCTCATGAGAAGAGAAGACTCCCTGGAAAAGACCCTGATGTTGGGAAAGATTGAGTGCACAAGGCGAAAGGGACGACAGAGGACGAGATGGTTGGACAGTGTTCTCGAAGCTACTAACATGAGCTTGACCAAACTGCGGGAGGCAGTGGAAGACAGGAGTGCCTGGCGTGCTCTGGTCCATGGGGTCACAAAGAGTCAGACACGACTAAATGACTAAACAACAACAATGTTCCAACGGGAAAAGTACAAGATGCAAGCAGCAAGCTCACTGGTTTTAGGGGAGTCGCTATCTTTTCAAGCCTGTTTCACATGTTAAGAAGGCAGCAAATTTGCATATATATTTAATATTCCTCAGATGGTTCAAATAATGCTGCAATTAGTCCCGGGTCCCCTGCCTTGTCCAATGATAAAACTGTTCAATATTTACTACCTCTGCACCCAAACTGCACAAGTTCCTAGCCCAAGAAAGAAGAAACGAATGGGAAAGATGGAGAAAAACCACATGTAGGTTTGAGGGTGGAGTGAAAGACTTACATAGCATTTTGAGTTTTAGTCCTTACTGCATAATAGCTCACAAAAAATCCAGAAACTCTGAATAGTGGTCAAAACGCTAAACGCTGCTACAATACATAAAGGCTTTATCTACTGTGGGTGGTTTTTTAAAACTAGTTCAGGAATGAAACTAGTTCACATGAAAGTGAGATTAAAATATACTTTTTCAAGAAATATGTGCTTTAGAGGTAAGACAGAGGCATTCTCTCTAGCACTATTATGTTTCTCTTTGATTTCATCAAACCAAAGGAAAATACAGAGAATCCATAAAGTGCTCTGCTGTGAATTCAACAACTCTTGGCTTCTGGAAGAATGTTAGAAAGTGGCCCTTCTGCCTCTAAAAGAAGCGCTTTAGTTATCTGAAGAAAGCTGGCCTGGTAGAAAGGACTGAAGCTTAATGAAGGCAGATTCATTCTTCTTTCATCAAGAGATTCCTCGCTGTCCTTAGGTTTCACTGCAGTGAAGGTTAAGTCAAGTAGGAACAACTTGACACTTAAAAATGTCAAGAGAGATTTGTCTAAATGTCTAAAACTTTTGGAACAAATTGTTGGGAACTATGGCTTTAGCAGATTCATTCTGTTCAGCCTTTAGTTAAAGAAAAATTGAGAGGAAGGCATCATTGCCATATAGCTAGCAAATATCAAGGGTCTTTGTCTGGTAATGAGAGTCAGTGGAATCAGTTCGCTGACAAAAACATTTCTTTAGCAATGATCTTAAAACATGGTTAGAGAAAACATTTTATTTTAAAAAGTTAAAGTAAGTTTTGAGTCTGCTTTACCTTTCCAGAAGTCAAAATAAATTTATCAAACACATAATGCATATCTTCTGTAGTGACTTCATCTTTACTGTCTTGAATTTCTGCTACTGCTTTGCAGTTGTGCGAGGTAGCTGATGTGCTGGTGCCTGAGCACATACTCTTCTGTGGATACTCCGTTACTGAAATCTGCAGACTTTCAGCATCAGATAATTCACTAACAGAATCTGCATCAAGAGACCTATGTTCACTAAAAACACAATGTTGGCTTAGTTCCTCTTCATCTGAAGGCTCTTGATCGTTCTTTGCTTTAGATTTCTGTTGTAGTTCACAGCATTCATTAGTACTTAGGGACACAGTTTCCTCTTTGTCTTGAGAGTCTATGTTTTCAATTTCTGGCTTTTTTACCAGTAAACTTTCCAAGTTCTCAGTACATCTCCTGGATGTAGGTTCCATTTCACTACATTCATTAGACTCTTGTATAATACAAGCATGGCCTGTGTTCTGTTTCTCTGTAATGTTGGCCTGCTGGGGAAGGCAACAGTTGGTTACAGGTTCTCCAGTTTTTTTGCTACCAATTTTCCCCTTTTCCTTCTTCTTGGTATCCAGTTTAGACTTACTCCCATCTTTATTCTGTGGACATGCAAAATATTTATATGCTGTCCTGAACCTTTCCAGGATATACTCAAATACCATCTGGCTGTTCAGGCTCCGTGCAACATTTCTTTTTAGTGCAAAAGGATCTATAAAAAGACAAACCAGTAATACGTTTGCTGCTGTTGTTCAATAGGACCTTCAAGTACAATATCAACATACGATATTTTAAATAGGGCTGCAACATTTTACTTTATTAATCACTTAAAGTGTAATTATTGAAAACATTTTCATTTTACTAAAAAGGTGTACCTGGTTAATCAGTTGACACCTTTTTTATAAAATTTTTTTGAAAGCAATTAAAAAAACCTGCAGATGGGAACTGCCATATTAAAAAATGGCATTCCATATGCAAGCATGTATGCTTCTCAAAATTATTCCTGTTGGACATATGCCTGAATCGTCTTAAAACAAAGAAAGTACCCCCTTTTTAGCTTTCTCCTTCATATTAACTTTTTCTCATTTTTATTTATTTGCAGTATTTCTATCTTGCCTTTTACCCCATGGTTGCAATGCAAACCCTTCAAACTTAATAAATATAAAACATAATAAATATAATTAAATCTGAAAAAACCTCATGTGATTTCATTAATCAGGTCACAACCCTGATCTGAAATTATGTAAATATTATACTCTTATCCATAGATTTTATGCAGAATAACTTTATTTGAATATTACCATTTTTCTTACAATGTTGAGTATTGTGGTTTGGTTCACACGTAACACTGAGTTAAAGCATGGCTACACATGAACAAGCGAGTGTGAAGATACTTAGAAGAAAAAACAGAGCTGCTTTGCTCCTCCCCAGGTCCTGCTACTGCTGTGCTACCCAGAGCTAAGCTATGGTTTCACTTAATGTAACGTCCAAACTCAGGCGTACCGTTTGTCTTCCCGGGTAAGTGGTAAGCCAAGAACCATCTTTGTCTACAGGTGGTTCATCTATAATGCTAAAGCCAAACCATAGCAGCAGCAGGACCAATTTTGGAGCAAACCAGCTGTGATTTTTCCCTCTGAATACCTGCATGCTCACTCACTTTTACCTATGGTTTGGCTTGGCATTGCATATGAACTGGGCCTAATATAAAAAAAATACAGGAATAACCAGGCTATCACTCATTAGGGATTTATCTCCAGCCACAATATTCTGGCATAAAAAAATGAATAAAAGGGAATGGCATGTTTCCTGCCTCAATAGAATTATTGCTTATAGTTCAAGACCAGCAACTTGAGTCCATTTCTCCTCTAGAAATACAATATATTTAACTACAGATATATTTGAATACAAATTCAAAGTAAACTTTTTAAACTAACCTTTCCAAATTATTATGGGCAGATGAGTGCCAGTCAACAAAGTCAAGTATATGACAGTTATACAAAGAAAAGCTGTATTTTTCACATTTGTAGCTAATGTAGCATAATACAGTGTTTTATCTACAAAAAGTTAGATAAGTAAGGCAAGAGTTCCCAAAGTCTCTTTACAAAATGCAGTGCCCCACCTTCAATGGCTATTCGCCTTTTAGGCCAGGTTTTGTTCTCTCTGGTTAAAAGTTCTTGTACCCGTATGCTGATAACATATTCTTCCAAAGCAAATTCCAGTGTATAGAACTTCAACAATTCTAACCACAGTTGTCCCAGAGATATCTGGTGTGGTGTTTCCAATGCTAAAGGAGACTGAAAGAAGCAGAAAATGGAAGCTTAAATTTCTGGTTCTTTGGTCATTAAATTTTATCAAGAAAAGAGTCAAGAAAGAAAAGAATAATTTCCATTTAAACAGACTCGCTTACCTTGCCATTCTTCTCCTTTGGATTAGTTTGGGTGTCTGTTTCTAAGGATGCTGCACTCTTGTTACCACCTCTGTGCTGTTCACCTTTAGCTTTGCCTTCTACACCATTCAAATTTTTCCCTGCTCCATTGTTTGATGGTTTGTATTCCCACACTATAAATTTTTCATCTTCTATGCCCTTCAGCTGGTAATCATCAGCCTTCTTAGAATCAAAACCTTCAATCTAAACAATGCAAAATAAATAAAACAGAAGCCTTTTCAAAGAACAAGAGCAAGTGTTATACATATAAGACATTCAAATATATAAGCATTTATTTTATGCTATAAATTATGTTTAGATATAAATTGCCAATGGAGTTACAAAAGCTACTTTAGATAGATCCTGTGGAAAGTTCTGACTTCCTTATTTGGGTCCACAGAACTAATCACAAATTTATTTGAATCCAGACACTTCACTTGCATTTTTTTTTTTAAAAAAAACCAACTTACCCAGTTGCCTAAATATGATGGTAGTATACGTGGTTCTCTTTGTTGAAGGAAAAATATCACCATTAAGGCAAAAGAATATGAGGGTATCCCGCCTTCTGCCTGGCAGTCAATATGGCACAACTACAAAAAGGGAGAAGAAAGGTCTTCGTTTGGTGCTTTGTATATATTTCCAGCAACACATAGTAGATCTTGCAAATTTTGAATTTAGCCAGCATTTTTTCCAGTCATAGAATAAAGGCCTACATAACCAGGTCTGAAGGCATATAAAACAACAACCTTACTGATGCTAAGCAGGTCTGTGCTCTGCCTTTGGAACCCTATGTAATCTACCTTAAATTCCAAGATGGAAGAAAGGCAGGATACAAATGTAGTAAAACAAACAAACAAACAAATGTCTGTTATCTATAAACCAATGTGGAAAAGTACAAAAAATTAAACAGTGGTCATTTTAAATATTATTAATACTTCTAATACACATTCACTTAATCAGTTGACCTGGACAACATCCAGCCAGTTTCCCATTTACATAAACATGGATTACATGGAAGACACACATTAAATCCAGATATTCACAAGTTTTAATTAGAGTCTACTTTGAGTATGAGGGTAACTTTGATATTACCCATTCTTTTCTATGCTTACTCAAGCTATGAACTGCACTACTTCATTCTTTCATCAACTGAATCTTCCCTCAATTCAAGACTTAGCTCATCTTTTCACCTTTGAGATGCTAATTTCCCTCTCAGTATATTGTTTTCCCTATCTGTAGAATTAAATTGTCTACTTCAGGTACAGGTGGTGACCATTTTGCACAGGGGTTTGGTGCCTTGTCCCTGTGCGTGTTGACAGAGCACACATAAGCCCACCCCAGTTCCTCCCTCTTCCGGGTCCAAAACGGCCTGTGCGTTGGCAGTTGTGTGTCAATCAGACACATGCAAAATAGTCACTGCCTGTACAAAAAAAGATGTAACACAATTTGGATAGAAAAAAAAGATTCAAATATTCCTCTATGTAGAATGTACAATAAACATTTCCAGAGCTCCACTTCCAGAGGCAGCTAAAAGGTCCTCTGATATTCCAGTGCATCTTTTAGAGAGTACAAGGAGCTTCAGTGAGAAGGGGATGCCTGAGAAGCGCCAAGGCACATCCAGAAGCCTTAAACTGTACATGGAGGCTCTGTGCTCAGCCTTTTGCATTTTATCCAAATACTGTATTATTTCCGATTCAGAAAAAGAGATATCATTTTAGAATTAATCTAATCTAATCTAATCTGTACAGGTTCATTTCAGCATTGTAAAAGGTTATTGCATGTACATATTAAGTACACATGCAAGGAATAAATATGTTCATTTAAAACTTACTCTAGCCCAGTAACGAAAAGCCAACACCAAAGGAACGAGAACTGGTTCCAGTTTGCCAAGCGCAGCTAGCAGATCAGTTGTAAGGCAGGCCACATCATTTCCAGCACTTACTTTGCAAGTTAAACCACTGAGATTGAAACAAATTTTAAGAAAAGTTGCAAGTTAAACCACTGTCCCTCAGTGAGTGATCAAAAAGAAAAACATGCAGTTCTCAGCATATATGTTTAGTCTTGCATTGGTTTCTTTCCTCATGCTGATTGCTTACCGCAGATACTGAAATCTATTTATCCAGCCAAAACATTATGCATTTTAAGTCTCAACATTTTCAATAGAAGGGTGGGGCAAATGCTCAAAAGTATCACTGAAATCAACAGGACTTTGAAAGTGCTTAAAATTTTGAGTGAACTGTACTCTTTGTTGTTTCTGTGCTATTTGTAAGAAGCTCCTACACCTGGAAAATGGAGGAAGCAGTTCTGGAGCTAGCTTCAAAGTAAAGAACTACATTCTATCCTTTGTAATCGATTGTAAAATGCCAAACGTAAGATGGTGTCTCATCAATAATCCTTTTAACTTGAACACGTAAAACAAAAGTACACAAACCTCTTAACATCTTTACAAAAAACAACAGGAACTTTGGCATGGAAATCTGATTCCACATCAGAGTAAGAAGCTGTAAGAGGAAAAACAGAAGAGCATATCAGGAAATAAAAGAATCTTCCATAGTTCTCTCAAACTGATTCAAATCTATCTGGGTAATATAAGCAATTAGAAGGTTACTATGTCCTCTATTAGATACCCAGAATTAATTACAATAAATTTTTTTTGTTTCTCACCCCATTATCTATTATTGTTTTTATGGACACTGTTTAGCAATGCAGAAACTTAAGCAGCATATAAACATTTTAAATAAATCTGAATATGAAGTAAGTGAGGAAGAAGGGGGGGGGGAGAGCTCTTACCGCTGTTTTTCAAAATATCAAGCACCTGTATCAGAACATCCGGATGACTCATCTAAAATAATGAGGAAGAAGGTTATTTTACTCTCATTTTAATTCTATCAAAAGAAGGAAGGCAATTGTATTATTAATAGTCACAGGTATGATCCAGACCTCTGCTTACCTGCATAACAAGCACAGTACAGGGTCTTTACATGTACCAACAGGGCCCAGAGACCCAGATGTGCTTGCTTCTGGAACCTGAATCTAATCAACAGTTATGTACAATGAAGAGATCCCTAATTATGCTACAGCTATGCCATTGTGAGTGTACCAGTTACTCCTAGTTTAAGCATGCATATGGGTGCGCCACCAACTCTGTCCAGTTGGGACAGGGCCTATCCTTGGGAATTCTCTCTCACTCCTTTATCAACTCATAAATAAACTGGTGGGGAAAAGGTTTCTCTTAAGTGAGAAAGAATGGAGGTTATCATGGAACTTTCTGAGAGTGCTCACTTACTATTTCCAGGTCAAGAACATCACAGAAAGCTATACTAGTGAGAAAAATATTTGAGACCATAGACATAAAACATTTCTAGCTCAATAATGTCACAGACATTTCTTCAACTTACCGTGGAGGGAAATTTTATATCAATATTAATATCACTAGTTTTAAAAGCAAATCTAGTTAGACAGGATCCATACATCCTCAATGAGCATTCTGAAAATAAAGAAAGGGTTCCATAAGCAATCATGTAGCATTCATAACCATTTCAAAATACTACGGATGCAATCTGAAAGCAAACATACAAGAAATAAGTCCTACTGCTACTGACTGTATAAAGAATACCATTTTAATTCTGGTTATAAGGCGTTTTATGATTAGAAAAGCAAAAATTAAATAGTTTGCTCAAATTAATCCCACAAGTACAAACTGACACAGCATTGACTCATATGCCATTACAGGTCTCTTCCAGTCCAGACACACAAGAGACACAGATAAAGGCTTTATTCTACCCCCCCCCCCATAAAGTCAGATGCTCTCAGCATTGAATGTTAGCATTGTGTGTAATCATGGGATTACTTCTAAGAAAAAAATGTATTTAATACTAGGGTGCATAAGCATGAACTCCATGCTACTTAGAAACATGTGCAACACTTTTATGTATGATGAATGAACAGCTACCTATTTAATTGCAGGTAGATGCTACAGGAACCCTTCATGTGCAACATAGACAAATGTCTATGTCAAATGTCATCCCACATTATAAGGTACAACACTGTACACTTGACAGCTTTTGATCTGTCAGTCTACTACATCTCTGTGTTACATTTAACTGCACTGGTATGGAAAGAATACACAATATAAAATGCAATTACCAGACAATGGTATTAGATACAGACAGCTTCATTACTGAAAATGTGATGCTTTCCCATCCAAATGTTGAGGGTATTTTGCTCTCATCAATTCAACTATATGTTCTGGTTTTGTCTCTAACTAGAGGATCTGCAATGGCCAGTGAATCAATGTTGTTTTTTCCTAATATGAACAAGATACTTAAATTTCTGCTTTTCTAACCATAAAGTACTTTATAACCATAAAAGAAAAATTATTCATTTTATATACTCAGAAGCAAAGCATTTATGCACATCTGAGAAACTATGGAAAATCAGGTTGGGCTTCATCTGCCTGAAAATTTTTACATGAAAACCTCAATTAAAATAATAATCTTCAACAAACCTTTTAATATTCCATAAAGGAAGAGAAAGTAAAGATACAAGAATGTCAGAAACCACCAATACCATCCTGTACTACAACTTTCCAAACTGGTATTTTAATGTACAATTGAATACATGGAAGTCAAACTGATTGTAGACCCAAAATGTATTCTCAGCGAACAAGCAAACAATCTCCTTAAAGAAAACTAAGAATCTACATTAGGTACCTGGTAAGTGTTGCTGAATTATCTTCTCCATATCCCATACAATTTCCTGGCGGATTTTAAAATCATTATCCGATATGCCTTGCTCCTTTGCTGCCTCCATCAGCGTAAAACTCAAGGCAGTTACTTGTGCAGGGGAAGGGGGAGGGAGAGCACGGAGTTCGTTTTCTTCTTGCTTTTCCTGAAAATATTATGAGTGGTAAAGAATAGTGTTACCACTGGAAGAATTTTCAGGTTCAACCCATTTTTATTTGCTTCTTTAAATCCTGTAAATGCCAGCCTATAGCAAAAACTGTCCATGAAAGTGATATAATGTTAACAGGTCATTAAAGATATCTGAGAAACACCATAAGATAGGGTTGCACAACTTTTGCTCCAGTGCACATCATGAATTATCTTATAGAGATACTGCAAGGTTCAGTGTTGTCACCCATGTTGTTAGTATTTGGATATTATAAATGTGCTGATGACATTCAGCTCTATTTTTCCTTTTGTCTCGAGATGAGGAGGAGCAGCAGTGATGCACTGAAGCAGTTCATGTAAATTAATATTTTATGTGCTTAACATTTTTTATTTGTTTAACAAGATATCTTAAGTGCAACAGATGGGGGCAGGCAGAGGGAGCTAGAGACAGAATTATCTGCACAATAATAGACAATAGGAAAACACTTTTTTTCCACCATCTACAATATAGTCTTATGATTGCAGTGCTTTAACTATTTACTTTGGTTTCAGGCCAATAATTCTTAGAAGTTATATGAAGCAATTAAAGTAAGTATAATTCTGGTAAAAAATTTCAAGCCTTGATCTAAAACTTACCATGATATTCTTTTTATGACGTTTTTCTTTAATATGTTTGTGAGCTCCCTGGATATTTTCAATGTGAACTAAGCAGAGCTTGCATAGGTACTGGCAATTAGAGTACTCTGGAGAGCGCTGTGGAAAAACCACACATTTAAAATTCAGCAGCCAATTAATTATGTCTGTTTTATTTTCCATTGTGACGATAATAAAATGCTACTAAGCAATGAGCATAGTAGATGGGGATTGTCCTTGCTGTTCACACTGGCGTATGAAGAATTTATTCACACATTTCTAAATAGTTTAGACTCATATTTTTCATATTTCCATGACGCCACTAACACAGCTCTTCTTGTTTAATGCTAGAAATCATAAAATACCAGAAACCTAGAATCAGCTAAATCCTAACAAAAGATGCAGTACCTGCACTCAGTTTTGCTCATTATGAAGAGAGAAAAAATTCTTGGCAGAGTTTGAAGAATTGGCAAAAGAAAGATTCAGAGCACCAAGGCTCAGAGACGTATATGGAAAGGCAAGTAAAAGGACTTGGGATCATGAGGAGTTCAACAGAAAAGTACTTCCAAAGCTCTGCAATAGTGAGACCTACCCTGGATATGAAAGTGGGAGACTGCTTTGAGCCTCTCCAGCCAAATAGAAAAAGAATAAGCACAGTAAGCCTAAGCCCCATGAAAAAGTAAGTTTTTTTTAAAAAAAGGAAAAGGGGCCCAGAAAAGGCAAGAAGCCACGAAAAGCAGATATTTTACTGGCCTTCAGTCTTTTAAAGAAAGAAAGAAAAATTCTCTTTGCCCTGAAAAAACCTGTACATTGACCCACAGCACTTGCCAGAATGGTTATGCACACTGGCTAACATGCACAAAATTCAGCTTTTTACACATCATCCAAAACTGCTCAGAAATAATGTCTCCTGACATGACCCAAAATCAATTAGGCAAGTGGTGGCAAACACACAAATGTTAGCTTGTCATGGACCAACTGCCTTTTCCCCAAGGTTACTATGCACCCAAAATGTCATGTGATTAGACTCCAACTGAAATGAAAAGCATATAATCTGTGTTCCCACTGATGAGAACACACAGTGCAAATCAACATCTGCTATAAGGGGAAAAAAGCAAAGGATGAGCCTCTGTCTTTTCTAGAAATTCTTTCTACCTCCTTAAAGAGAACCATCTCACACTCCACCGTTATTAAATAAATTAAGTAGCTAATTAATTTCTTCTGAATTATGTGACATACTATGGTAAGTGGGGGAAAATCATCACCTAAAAAAGAAAAATGTACAGTTTACTTACTTTTTCCAAGCGAATAATATAATCTCTTTCCAGTCGCTCTTCTGCTTGTTTCAAGCCTAGCTGCTGTTCGGCTGTCAATGTTGATTCATCAATTACAACAATATTTTCTAAATAATCAGCCTCTGAATTAGCTTCTTTAGCAGAATCTGAATTCTTTATTTTACCTAATGAAAGGAGGAGCAAAGTTGATTATTAACTTGTTTTCTCCAGACTACCTTAAATATAAACTAAGAGAAAATTAAATAAATTGGAAATCCTAAAATGTGAATATGCTCTCTCCTTGATAATTATGCGAAACTAAGCATAGAAATAAAGCTGAATTTTAAAAAGTAAAACTTTTTTGATTGTTCTCAGAGTCATTAACAAGAATCATACCCTTGAGCTATTAGAATTACCGAGATAATGTAACAGGTAGAGCAATTCAGAAAGCACTATATGAAATTATTATTATTATAAACCAATATGCAATGTTTTATAAACTTCAATTGCATGTTGCATGTTATATTTAGGCCTGGTTCACACATCACTTCAAATGAAGACATATAGTTCAGTGCTATAGCATCTGCTCACCCGGGTGATTGGAGGAAATTGATTGCCCAAAGTCTTCATGGACTTATTACCTGCTACTGTATTTATACGGCGTACTGTACTTGTTTTTCAAATTTGTGTGTTGTTTTACTGTTTTACTTTGTTTTTATTGGCTATTATTATTATTATTATTATTATTTTAAAAATACTTTTATTACTTTTAATTAGTATTTTGTAAACTGCCCAGGTATCCTGATTGGATTAAGAGGGATTTAAAATTTGAACAACAAAAAACCAAATAAAGAAATGAATGCTATAGCACACAGAGACAGCAGTGACATTATACTTGATCCACACTGGGTCTACACATGTAACAGAATGGGGTGGAAAAATGGACTGCCATGTTTTAGGCGGCATGTGGGAGATACCACATTTGAATTATGCCCCTGTTTTGTTCTTTAAAGACTTAGGAGGAAGATTTGACTAGGCCTTCACCTGGTATGCCAATTTTCTATTTGAATGGGGATGCATGCATATGTGTTTTATTTGTTTGTTTTTAACATAGAGAAGGAGTTGAAAATGTGACCCTACACCTGCCATCTGATGTGCTGCATTCCATTTTATCACCTCTTCCTGGAGTATGAGTAGGCATACATGGGGGGGGTGTGAAACAAGCTATTCTGATATATTAGCTAAAAACTAGGTTCATAATAGCTGCTTAGAAACTATCATAACAACTTAGAGTGATTGAGCAAAATGCAAGAGAATGTTTTATTTCAGAGCTGTAATTATTTCTGCACTGAAACACAGAAAAAATATTTTTGTACTTTTAAAGGTTGTGGGGCTTACATTACAAAACACATTTTTCTACCACACTTGACAGTATAGATATAACTAACATGCACAAAGCAAAAGCCATTCAAAATGCATTTCAGACTGTTGGATTTTTAAAAATAAAAACTGAATCCAGCACTCACAGGAGTCTTCAGATTTGTGTTCCATTGGTCCCAGATCCAAACCACTTTTGACTGAGTCTCCAGGCTGATTAGTATTAATTTTGGATATATCATCTCCAGGTGGATTTTCCAATTCAGAACTCCTTCTCTGGGCAGATGGTAAGCTTTCTGTGCTAGCACCATTCTCTGAAATATGGGAGCTTGAAAGATTTTCAACCATGTGCTGAGCTCTTATCTGTTTCGGATCATCTACTTCTGCTGGTACATTTGGTAACCTTTTTGCTTTACATTGATCTTGAATATTTGACCCCATGTCTCTGCATCCAGCAATACAACTATTTGTCTTACATGATTTATTTTCTCCTGACTTTTCAGGACAAACATCATTTTGCTTATTCTTTTTGCAACTGCTCCCACCTGAAGAACTTTTCCCAGCTTCTTTTATAGATTTGTCATTTTTGTTAGTTTTATAATTTTGACTGGTTGTAACTCTGACAGCTTTGCTTTCTTCACAGACAATTCGGGCAGATTTTCTTGTGTCATGATTTCCAGTTTTTGAGCTCTTGCCCTCTTCCATTATTGAGAAGACCTGCTTCGTCTATTACTTGAGACTACTTGAAATATAATTTTGCAACAACTGGAGTGGAGCAGAATCCTCTGTTCAGGCAGGGTATCTGGCTGATTGTCTGATGAGAAAAATTGAGAATGAGAACACAAAGAAACTCTTACATTGTTAAACATAGTCCTAAATTAAAATAATATCAAAAATGCTTGCAATGAGAGACTAAAGCTAAGCATGTCAGGGGGAGGGGAGAATAATGGAGGGAACATTCACATGGTGTGATGGAAATATCCTCTATTGGTTTAATAAGAGCACAATCCAAACCCTCCTCCATATTTTGTTGGTTGGGGGTGTTTAGGATGGAGCAGAGATTCTCTCCACCAACCTGCAGGGGAAGAGGGTCAGCTAGCTTTGACCAAGTGGGTGGTAAGCTAGAGTGTAGAGAGCCCCAAAACAAGGTGATACTGGGGGACTTCCGGGTTGGCGCCTCTGGCAATGGCGGATTTCCTCCGATCAGGAGGAATCCGCTCCGTGGAAAAAAGGGTCTGAACCGCCACGGCGAGGCGGAGACCCATCAAAAACCACAGGCGGGAGAAGCCTGTGGACGTGGGATTCGGCTGGCACCTTTGCGCCCCCCTACTCGCGGGGAACCCCGGTTTCGGGGATCCGGAGCGACGTGGGGGTGAGTGGCGTGGTGCTTTGAATCGACTACTTCTTTCACGGAGTGAAGCCGCATTGCTGTTGCCGGAGAGCGCTGACTTTTTCCTGTGGACAATTGGATTTTAAATAACTGCCCGTGAGTAGAACGGAAAATTGGATTAAGAATTTTCTTTCAATTTGGCACTGAAGCGGGAAGGTCTAAACAGGAAGTCCGCCTTCCGCTTTTGTAGATAGATTAAAGCAAAGACACGGTAAGCTAGAGTTTAGAAAGTCGTCTGTAAAGGATCAATTTTCATCATTTAAAATTACTGAACCCCCCTTGGAAGCAGGAGAAGAGGGGGAAATTTTTTCTGGACTGTTTAAACCTGCAGAAGAGAGAGTAAAGAAAAGCAATTTTCCACCGTCTTGAACCTGGGAGTGGGGTGTCAGGACAGACGTCCTCGGGAAGTTCATTGACTATAGATAAATGTTTTGGACAGATAGTTAAAAGAAGAGAAACATATTGATTCCATTGTTCCCCTTCGCATCTAAAAGGAACAAAATATTGACAAAATATCTGAAAAAGGAAACTTTGTTGTTAGATCTGCTTTTAAAAGAAAAAAAAGAGATGGATACAAATAGAAGCTTTTTCCCCTAGAAGGAGCTTGCGAAACTGTTATTAAATTCGAACTGGGAGCTGTGCAGCTGCAATAGATTAAGATCGTGGGATTAGACTCTGACCTTGAACAAGAATGTACTCGGAGACTCTGGTGCTTGCCTTCTGCAAGACAAGTGCCTTATTGGAACAGTTACATGAGAAGACGGATTTGATGACTGTTGCGATCGGAAATTTTGGACAGGCAGTGGGTACCTATATAGAACCCACTCAGGAATTAATCCAGGAGTGTGCTCTGACAGATCAGATGAGGGAGGAGGTTGTTGGTGGACCCCGGGAGGCAGAGATAGAGGGAACTGTGGCCCAGCAGGAACATGAGTTGTTGGATTTGACGAATGAACCTGGAAAAAGCCAGATTTGGAGAGATAGAGTCTTGTTTGGCTTGGAGATGGGGGGCTGGATAGACCCCGCCCCTATGCAGGGATGTTTTGACCTTTCAAGTCTGGCTTTGGGCTGGGAGGAGTTCGGAGTTGTGGGGGTCCTTAACTTTAGAGGGACCTTGAAACATGATTTTAAATACCACATGGAGTTCAGTGTTGACTATGGAAAAGGGGCTGATCTGTCGAGAAGGGACAAAAATATTGTCAAGCTGGAGTCTCCACGAGTGAAAGGAGCAGAAGACAAAGTAAAGTACAGGTATAAATATGAAGAAGACCTGCGGAAGGGACATGGAAGAGATTTAAGAGCCTCGGATATAAGGTTACCAGGTTGATGAACTAGATGGATGGGATAGAAAGGACTGACAAAACCCGAGACCAGGAGGAAGAGACGTTGGATGAAGATTGGAAGAAAGTTTTTAGGAAAGTTTTGTAAAATTAATGAGTATTAGAAAAATGTTGGAACGAAATTATTTGGCTGTAGCAGAAATGTTAAAAAGAATTATGTAAGAATATGTTATGGTTATGAGAAATTGGTATAAATAAGATTTAAGCTTTAAGTTTTAGGGTTTTTATGGTAAGATAAGGTTAAAATAGATTAAGGTAATTTAATGACAGAATATTATGAAAGATGGAAAGGATTTGCTGAGATAATTAATAACTAGAATACAAAAAAGGGAGGTGTGAGGAGGTCCATGAAACAAGTTAATGAAAGATAAAGATGTGGGACAATTGGATTTGTTTTTAAATTTTTTGTTTATTTTTGCTTTTTGATTTTGATGTATTTGTGTGATTTGTTTTTTTTCTTTGACTTTTGTTTTTATTGACTTGTATTGTTTAATTTCTCTTTTTGTCTACTTTGCTTCTTTGTTTCTCTGTAATCTTAAAATCCTCAATAAATATTATTTAAAAAACAAAACAAAACAAGGTGATACTGAATCCAAAACCCTGGAGATATTCCAAAGGTTCTGTTCCTATGCCAGCTTGCAGCTTGTGAACCAGCAAAGCTTTGGATGTGGCAGTGCCTCTGCACCTCACAGGCCCTGTGTTAAGCTTGCTCTGCCCATTAATTTTGAGATTTCCCTTTGCCCTTTGTTGGGGCAACGCAAGTACTAAAGCAGCAGGGGGAGAAATATCCTTCAGCACATTATGCTAGGCATGCTCTTCCTTGAGGCTTCCCAGGGACTTCTACCTTACTGGCCACATTTTAGAGCTCCAAACTCTTACAATTGTTTTGTAGAAATGCTGCCAATTAGTAATGTTTTCACAAACATTAAAAAAACATTTCAGAGCATTCGTACATAGGCCTCTGCTTTACTTATACCTCTACAACTTCCAAAATAAGTTTGCTTTCACTTCAGTTTTTTCATTGTAAGTTAAGAGAGAGATAGAAAAGTACACTGTATTGCAACAGTGTCAAAACAATGATATGTAACACAAAAAGGACTACCTGAAAGTTGCAATAAAATATATCTTGTAAATATTGCTTTTTAAAATTACATCAAAGGTTAATAAAAGGGCAACATTGGCTTTAGCAATGAAATAACAATTAATGATTTCAGAATAAAAACTATCCTTCATTTACGTAGTTATTTGTTAATTCACTTATATTTGTAACCCTAACACACCTCAACCTGCTCAGAACAGGCAGCAAATTATTATTATGGTATATAAATGCTGACATCAGCTGGGGAAATTGATCAATTGGGGGGGGGGGGGCTAACCATGATCACTAACCATTGATACTGCCGTGATAGGAAAGGAATGACAACTACATTGCTACAACAGAAATACATGGCAGTGTTGGGATTTCTTTATTGTGTTTAAAACATGAATACAAACTTAAGCTACTTAAAATTTTATATAGAGAGAAAGATATTAGCCATCTGGTGCTTAAACCTGAAACTTGCTATGTTTGAGGTTCTATTAATATTATGATTTGACTCAGACAATTGTAGATAAGTTTCACTTTCGTTTCCTGTTGGTTTTTAAGGTTTCATAATCTCAATTATCTTCCACTAGCACTACCAACTGGCTGTAATATCAAGATGTGAATTATTGCAAAACCACATAAACCCAAACCCACTGAACTACAACTTGTACAAAAAGCTTAATAACATTTAATACTAAAGAAGGAACTAAAATATTAGACCTGTCGAGAGCTAAATGCAAGGATGGGGAACCTGTAGCTCTCCATACAACTACAACTTCCATCAACGCTGATCACTGGCCATGTTGGCTGGGAGCATCAGGGGGACCACAGGTCCCACCCACCCACCTACCCACCACCCCATTTAAATAATACTAGTTCAATAAAAAACCATATGATTAATGAACTAAGTTTGCCTATCAACAAACCTAATTTGGTGCAGGAAGGGGGGACTCTTTCTCTCAGTGCTATTTTTCCTAGTTTCAATTCACCCATCCCTAAAAGGTATTTGCCTTGAGAGGGCAGATCCAAGCTTTGCACAGATGTGGCTATTTTAAAGTGAGAAAAATTGTATGAGGTGTGTGAAGGGGACTATCCCTGCACTGCAGCTCCAATCCAGTACAGTGGCACTTCATTTCTTGGGAGGAAACTTCGGGGGGGAGGGAGAATGAGTATCAGGACATTTGAATGCTATTTAAACCCATTATTATAGAAGCCCAGAGAAAATGGCCACATTGGGACAATCAAATATCTATTTTGTAAGCTGAGTGGTGAACAAGCTTCATGTATGCAGCTGCTTTGCTCCTCCCTTCACACAAGTGGAGAGATAAGCCAGAGAGCCACAGTTAACCATAACTTCCAAACTGAGAAATGTCTGGACTAGGAAATGGCCTGCAAGTAAGCCAGAATATGAAGTAATTGTTTAAAGCTGGTTTTCACGTCCAGGGTTGTTTTGAAAACATTAATCGTAATTTCCCACTTCAAATACAACAAGAAGCTACAGCAAAATTCTAGCTTATGTTTCCAATTGTGTGAAGTGAGGAGCAAAGCAACTGAATGTAGATGCACAAAGTTCATTTTTATCTTAGTTTAGTAAGGCAAAATTTGATTGTCCAAACACATCCAATTTAAGCTGAAGATCAGAAACCAACGCAGGGCAAGAAGACTTCCTTTGAAAAGAAGAATTCTTGCCCAAATTCCTCCCTATAGTACCACAGATTCTGGCAAAACGAATGTAAATTGGCAGTAGTAAGCAAAAAAACCCACAAGTAGTTTTTAGCAAATTGCCAAAAATATTTTTCTTTAAATGTGACTTTCTTTAAACACAACACATGATCTCTAAGAAAAATGTGCAGCTTGTCACTAAAAATAGCCCCCCCCCCTTGAATGCATTCAGGAGGAATTAGAGACCTAACTTCCATACCAGGTTAATTGATAGAAAGCATAAGCAAAGGTACAGTTATACAGATGAAAAAGCCTTGCTGGGGAAGAATCAGCATGGTTTCTACAACAGGAAGTTTGGCCTTACCAATGATTTTGAATTCTTTGAAAGCACAACGAACATGCAGTGATCCAGTAGGTACTGTATCCAAGATTTCAAAAAGCTTTTGACAAAACACTTTACCAAAAGCTCCTCAGTAAACATAACAGCTGTTGGAAAAGACAACAATTTGATGGCTTTTATGATAAAATGGCCTTCTCTTTTGTAATTGCTATATAGCAATGTCCTCATGTAAATCCAGCCTTGTAGATAAGCCCAAAAAGGTGCTAGTGCCTTCCCTTCTGTAGTTGCCCACTACATTTCTATTATAAGCACAGAGAAGCAGGCTTCCCTCCTCTGACAGTTTGATTTCTATCATGGGCAGAGAGGAGGGAGGAAGCAGTCCTTCACTCTTTCACCAGCCCTCTCATTCATGTGTATGGAATTCTTGGTTGCCTACCAGGTGAATGTTTAAATACAAGACAGTATAAATCTGTGATGTGGCCACATTTGGAAAACTGAGTACAGTTCTAGACATGGTATGTGACCTCTGCTCAGAAACTAGTGCCTGAAGAAATGGCATGCAGGGAGATAAGATGTGGAGTGAGGGAAGAGTTCTGCACCCTTCACCCACATGCCTCTTTTGCTTTTAAAATCACTTTCCTTTTCTATGTAATTTGGACAGCTTCATCACAAGGACATCTGGGCTGACATAATGTCATTTATTTTACTAAACATACTGCAAAATGATAGCAAAGTTTTCTTTAGATTTACTCTGCACTCACTGGAGACACTGGAGTGGAATCTGGTGACGGGAGACAGAGAACTCTATCTTGCTATTGTTGATCTTATTCCCTGTGGCTGATAGTCACAATAACTATTAAATGTGACATTAACACTCTTGCCTAGCTTAGCTGATTTTGATTCTTTCAGTATTTGGAAATTTCAGTATTTGTGAACTTACTGCAACATGAACTTTAACTTCCTAACAAACATTACCCTGTTCAGGGTTCATTGGCAGCACGCAAGAATCTCCATACAAGACATGTACTGCTTGTAGTCTCTCACATCATAAACTGCACAAACAGCTTCTCAAAATAAGGGTAGTGTATCACACAGCTGTAAACTGGGGTTTTACCCAATTTGCATACTAATGTGCAGAAAGTCTGCGTTTGTTACAGAATGGCAATCACCTGCTGTCAGAAAGGCTCTGGTTATGTTTACAGTTAAATCAGGAATGCAGATGGTTTCTGCTTCACTCTCCCTCATGTGAACAGGAGTAACAAAACTTAATTCCTGGCTTGCATCATGTCCAAATGGGATTGTGGTTAGTTCTCCTCCACACAAACCACAATGTAAAGCCAAGATATGTTCTTGACTTATCAATCATGGTTTATTTGGCACAAAACAAACCATAATTCTCAATTCAGACAAAATGCTAAGCCAATGAGTTTGGGTTGTTGCCCCAACTCATGGTATTTTTATTTATTATTATTATTATTATTATTATTATTATTATTATCACCATCACCATCACCACAGTGACTCTACAAGTAAAAGAAGAGTGAAGCAGAATCAATCTCCTTGCTAACATAATATTATTAACTATGGTTTACCATGATGTGTAAACTAGATCATTCTTTTAAAACCTAAAAGGTAACTTCTACTATGAACCCAAATTTTGAGAAAACATCGGCTAGTATGCTTCTTTCACACTGTAATAACGGAAGAATCTTCCACAAGTCTATGCCAGTGATACATGTGAACACCACCATAAAAATATCAGGTGCCCTTTTAAAAATTGATGTTAGCATAAACGAATTTGACATAGTTTTCAGCTCTTTATTGGACTGGCACCTAAAAAGGTTGATAGTGAACCCAAGCAATATCAAATATTTTTCAACCTTCATGTGGTGAAATCTTACATTCAAAAGGTTATTACAATGTCATAATACTTAAGATGATTACATAGAAGAGAAGCAGGACCATTTAACAACAGGACCAATAAGTATTTTTGTTCTATTTTCGCTCTACTATGAAACTGACCAATTTCACATTTTACAATGGAACTGAATACATACTCAAATCTGCATATCAATCATGGCTCCTCATAATGTGCTTTTGAAATGTGCAACAGCAAAAGCTGTAACTTTAATATATGCCTGCTTCTGTTACTGAAGCATGAACCCTTGATTTTCACCATTTGCAAAATGCAGACAACTAATTAGTTTTTTAACCAGATGTTGACCAGAGATCACTTTATAGTGGGAAGGTTCCAAGTGAAAGTGGTCCAGTGCTAAGGCAGAAAGCCAGAAGCCTTACCCACCATCACTAAATAGCACAATATGCTCTGCTATTTTGTAGTGCAATCACCTTAAGGTAGAAACCTATTTGTTTTAGTAGTTACTAAGCTCTTTAAAGTGCCCTGTAGGCTGATGGTGCTGCATAATAATTTACAACAGTGATGACACTGATCCCACTATTCACCCATCTGCTTTACTGAGAGGCTCCCAGACACCAGAGACACTAAAACCGGCACTCGGGAGCCCCCCAATTAAAAGCCCCAAGTGCGAAAGGGCTATTCTGTGGAGATCTGTGTCAAGCCCCTCCTCGCAGGAAACCCATCAAGTTGTGTTAACAGCTTAGCCCACTGTCAGAAAAACAGCTCGATTTCCCCAAAACATGTCTCCGTAGGCTACGCTCCAACGTCTTTATAGTGCTCCCACGGAACAAACAACACCCCCTCTTAGCCCTCAGAAGTACACGTGCAGGATCAACTTTTTGGTGCCCCCCCCAAATTATCGAATTACCCAACCACATCAACACCCCCCCCCCCGCCCACACAAAAACACACACCAAAACAACTCGCTCTGGGCACAGTCCTCATCCAAGGGCCTATTTGCCTTAAACTTTCTATTCTTCCCACCCAGACAGGAGAGAAACAAAAGCAGGGAATGGGGAAGTGGGGTCCCAACCAGGACCCTAGCTAGGAGGGCGCCTGGCAGACCCCCACCCACCCACCCAAAAAGAGGCGCTCCGAGAAGACTTTAAAAAGTGGGTGCCGGGGGGGGGGAGACCGTGGCGGAGGCGAGCGAAGGGCCTTGGTGCAGAGAGCCCCCCTCCCCCCACCCCCAGGAGGGTAGAAGCCAGGAGCGGGCACGGAAGGAGGGCGAAAGAGCGACGCGGGAGGGGGGGGACACGACCCGCTTCCGTCTGCCGCCTCCGCCGCCCTCTCTCTCTCTCTTTCTCGGGGGACTCAAGTACCTGGCTGTCAGCCCAGGGATGTGCCGGCCGCGTCCCCCTCCATGTCCTGCTCCGGCAGTTGGGAGGCCCCGACGCGAGCGCCTCAATCTGGGCCGGCCGCCATGTCAGCCGCGGCGCGCACTGCATTGTGGGGGAGGGGAAAGGAGGCGCGCGCGGCGGGGGGGCGGGGGCGGTGTGAGGGAGGGAGGCTGCCTTCGGCCAACCTGTCTCGAGGCAGCGGCAGCCGTTGCCGTTCTGCCCCCACCTTCCCACCTATCCACTGTAACTACAATCCCGGTAGCCCCCTCCCTTCCCCTAGGAAAAGATGAACTCCCTTCTCCTTTGAGGCCTCAAAAATAAGGAGTCTTCACGGTGGAGGCTGAAACTCTTTGGCCGGGCAGCCCTCCGAGCTGCGCGCCGCCTCAGGGCCGTGGTCGGCCGAGAGTTGCTGCCTGCAGGGTTTCATTTGCACCGTGGGCCAGGCTCGGCCCGCTGAAGTCACGGCTGACAGTCCCCTCCACGCAAACATATGAAGTAATAAAATTAAGCCCGGGTTAAAGTCGGTTCTGCGCTGCCTGTGAGCTTTTGCTGAAAGGAAACCGCGCATGCTAATCATCCAAACATTTTCTCGCGCCAGGACTTTTGCTTTGCCTCCTTGACACAAAACACGGACCTTAAAAACTTGAGGCGCAGAAAGCAAGCAAGCAAGCAAACAAACAAACATACAAACACGTAGTTGTGGAACAGATCCTCCTGATGACGCTCACAAGCAGATTCCGAAAAGGGATTAAGCGCAGTCCACCTCCATTGCCAACTATCTGCTTAGTTTTTTAAAAAATTGTGGGTCGAGAGGGCAATGTAGCATCATGCGATAGATGAGGGATTTGTGGGATCAGCATGCTAAGAGTCATTTCATATGGTGCATCCAATCATGAAGGCCACCCAAACTATTTCCAAGCACCAGTGCTTCTCACAAGGGCTGTAATGTTTGTAACAACCTGACCGTACATGTATTTCTTTTGAATTAATATGTGTATGGAGATCCTGGGCTGCTCAGATGATAAGACCCAGCTCCTGGCCTCACTGATGTGGTCCAAAGGAAAACAAAGCGATACATTGACACCAGCATAGCTGCAGGAGTTGCTGGAAGGAGGCGTACAAGACGCCATCCAACCATCTTGGGGACTCTGCTCTGGATTTGTAAACATCACCAGCACTCCATACGTCAGCTCTGGTGACCACACATTTGAGGAGATTTTGCCTACCTGGGTTCCACCATTACCAGCAACCTTTCAATCGATGCTGGACAAGGGTATTGGCAAGACAGCTACAGCAATGGCTTGCCTCTCCAAAAGGGTATGGGAGAATGTGATGCTAATGTCCAATACCAATATGAAGGTCTACCAGGCCTGCATGTTGAGCATGCTGCTTTCTGAGCAACTTACAACCACCAGGAGCGATGCCAGGAAGATTGGAGGCATCACATAGCAGGACAGAATTGCACTCCTGAGTATGTCTATGCTGGCTTGGTCATGTCCACAGAATGGAAGATGGCAGGATTTCCAAGGATGTGCTCTACAGAGAGTTGGCTTCAGGCACCAGGCCCACAGGCAGATCAGCTCTGCATGACAAAGATGTCTGCAAACATGACATGAATGCTGGAGGAGCACAGAGAGAAGAAACACCATGGTGCATCTGCAGCCACACAGCCAGATGCCTTCATCTGCCCCAGCTGCAACAAAAACATGTCTCTCTCTCCACAGCCACAGCAGGCACTGTAACCTTCCTACAGTTTGACTTCACCCCCAAAGGTGCACTCCTCCATTGTTTCCCAACTGCTGAATTCAGTGACACTTAGTCTCCAGCAAGCAAGCACAGAATTGCAGCACTTGTCCTTCTTTCATTGCCAGTCTCCACTCTACACCAGCAGTCTCCAGGATTTTTCAGGACACTTTCAGTGCAATTAGGCCAAGATGCACACTAAAGGCTAACAAATCTTATCTCCTTTCATATACATGCATGCATACTCTTCTTGTCCTTCCTCCATGGAGATTGGTTGCCTATAGAGGGTTACTCTCCTCTCAATAGCCTGGTTAGATAGACTAGGGCAGGCATGGCCAAACTTGGCCCGCCAGCTGTTTGGGACTACAATTCCCATAATCCCTGACCACTGGTACTGTTAGCTAGGGATGATGGGAGTTGTAGTCCCAAAGCAGCAGGAGGGCCAAGTTTGGCCATGCCTAGATTAGGCTGAGAATCAGTGACTTGTCCAAGGCCACCCAAGGAATTTAACAGCTAAATAAGAATTTGAGAGCTGGCACAGGTCACACCCACAGCATTCATTTAAAGCATTTACAATACACATCTACAACACATAGTCCCCTCCCCCCAAAAAAGAATTCTGGGAACTGTAGTTTACGCCTCACAGAGCTGCAATTTCCAGCACCCTTAACCTGAATGTTGGACTTGAAGCAGGAAGATCCTGGTCCAAATCTTCACTTGGATATGATGAAGCTCACTGACCCACTCACATTCTCAGTTTTACCTACCTTTCAGAATTATTTTGAGGATAAACTGGGGCACAGCTTTCAAGCTGTTATGAGTTCCTTGGAAGACAGGGGGATAAAAATGTTATACAGTCATACCTCATGTTACGTCCGCTTCATGTTACGTTCTTTCAGGTTACGTCCTGCGGCAACCCGTAAGTACCAGAAAGGGTTACTTCCGGGTTTTGGCGCACGCCCATGCACAGAAACGCAAAATGACATCATGTGCATGCGCAGAAGCGGCGAATTGCGACCCGCGTGTGCGCAGATGTGCCACTGCGGGTAGCACTCTTTTCATGTTGCATACAGGCCTCTGGAACGGATCCCGTTCGCAACCAGAGGTACCACTGTAAATAAATGTGAGCTCAGCTCTCCTTCAAGTCCAACATGTTCTCACTGCACCACTGTTATATTTATCATGGTCAGTGACTCCATACATTCTCACTCTTTCATTTGATTTTTTAAAGAAAACAAGAAAGAAACAGGGAATTCTAACCCCTACCCCAAAAAAATCAGTGCAGTTTTGAAAGCAGTTGTTAAAACCAGCGATTAAAATCAGTTATTTTGAAAGGTTCAGTCTGCCATCTTTATTCAAATGGTGCTAGTTGTGTCCAAACATAGATGAAAACTTACTTCTTGATCTCAGGAACCATGATGCAGAATTTGGTTACAATATCTTAAAAGAGGTGTCCAAATGCATGGTGAACTTTCCAAAATATATCGTATATTGTATTTTATTATTGCAAACTGCTTTAGGGGTTGAAAAAATACATATAAATGCCATATCAATATTGCAATAAATAAATCCTGCATACACATACTTATTCTGCCTGCTTCATTTATAAAACTAACAGTGGTTTTAGATGTAGATGGAACACGAATGTGGATAGAACAGGAAATCCCAGTGACCCTGGATACAAGGACAGCTTCTGTCCAAGGATCAATTGCTGTTTCCAGACTGTTGCTTGCTGGGATTCAATCACTTACTGGCAGGTTCAGGTTACACAATTTAAGCTGATTTGAAGCTCTTGCATAACAAACCCTCTTCCTCTTGGAATCAGCCTTTTTACAAAAAGGGAAGTGGATAGGAAACTTTCCATTTTATTGTTACCTCCTGCTAAACACAGAAAAGCAATACCTGCAGTCATGCGCATAGCCAGGATTAATTTTAGGAGGTGGCAGGCTTTATGTGGGGGGGGGGGCAGAACCAAGTTATCTGCGATGCAATTGGTCAGGTATTTTTACTTATTTACTTGATTTAGGGGGGCATCTGCCCTTTCCTGCACCCCCTGTCTACGTCCATGCCCTCGGTGGTGCTAAAGGGCTTCTTCACTGCTGGAGGTAGTGGCCTCGTGGGGCGGAAGCAGAGACACCTGTGCTTCCTGGTCACCCCAATCATCAGTCATGGTCAAAGCAACTTTCAAATATATATCTCAAACTGGATAATGATGACAGCTTTTTTCCTCTAGCTTGGTATTTTATGGTTCACTTAAAATGCATCTTTGATTTATTGGATTTATGTGTAGAGATTGTATCAGTCTTGTATACAAAGCCAGAAAGATTACTAGCCTGGAGTTTTTTGGCTTTTTTTTAGTCTGAAAAGAGACTATTAGCCTTAGAGCCCTTTGCAAAACGAAAAGCGCGAACTGCAAATCTCAAATCAGGCATTTGATAGGCGAGATCACTAATAAACAGTTTAGGAGATTCCCTTGGGGGGAAAAAAGAGGGAGAGAGAGAGAGAAGATGTGGATTGCTTTCGCACGGAAATAGGAAAAACTGTTGCAATTTCTTTTTGCAGCAGGCGACGCTTCTTTCCGGCTGTGCTTTGCGATGGTGGAGGACGTCAGTGCCGGGCTTGTGTGCAGTATGTTAGACCCTGAGGGCAGTGTAGAGCACAAAGCGGATCCCTCCTTCCCCAAAGTTTTTCTTATCCCCTTAGCCATGCTGATCGTCATAGGAGCGTTGCTCTTCTTAGCATTTTCCGCCACCGAACAGAAAGAGGACAGTTTTTACTCCTACAAAGTGGTGAACATCAGGGGCAAGCTAGTTTCCCTGGACAAATACAGAGGCTCGGTAAGTTTGCAAGGAGAGCTGCCTCTGCTGCCCCAGCTAACCAGCGAGTCTCATCGGCATGCCTGCATGACGGACGGTGTGGGGGGAGAGAATGCATCTTTTAACTGGCTTGACCGGTTTGGGAACGGTCTCGTTTGGGGCGCGTTGCCTGCGAATTGGCGCCCACGGCTCTGCTATAATCTCTATTAAAGCACCAGAAGTTTGCTGCAGTCAGGTCCCTTTTCTGCTTGTTCTTGCATGAGATGTTCCTTCCCCCCAGAGTATTCCGCGTATACGTGGCAGGCAGGCAAGACGCCTTTCATTCACTCGGAATCGCAACGCCTACGTTCTTTTCTGGCGATGCCACTTGTTGAAGCACCATCATCGGGATCCATGCGGGTTTCCCTCCTTTCTTTTAAAAATAGTTACAGATTGTCATTGCAATATGTTCGCTGCCTTCTTAAGAAAACTTCATTTTGTTTAACAGGGTGGGGGAAAAAACGGTGGGAGGGAGAGGCCCAGTGCTGCAGAGGAATTCAACAGGAAACATCTAATTTGACATTTTATAACCCTGTCAAACTACCGCTGCTCTTTTAAATTTTAACATTGGTGTTATGTGATGCGGAGGGTTACCTGAAGAAGAGGCATTTAATTTATCTGTTACAGATATTAAAGATGCTATATATGTTCTTTTTCTAAAGGTCTGAACTAGGTTCTACTCAGAATAAACCCGGTGAAATTAATGACGCTAAGTTAGTCATGCCCATTAATTTAGGGGGGTCTACTCTGAGTATGATACACGTTAGATTCAACCCTTAAATTCATATTCTTGAAATGTGCTGCTTAACTTATAAGCAGTAATGTATATTTGCATATGTTTAAAAAAAACTGCAATGGAAGCTGAAAAACCTATCTTTTTCTGCAGTACTTAACTTTAAAAAACAAACCCTGTTCTAACACTCTCCAAGACTGCAGGCTGTAGTTCAGCCTTTGCCAACCTGGTGCCCTCCAGATGGTTTGAACAACTCCCATTATCAACCACAGTCAGGCTCTGTTGGCTAGGGATGATGGGAATTGTGGTCCAAAACGTCTGAAGAGCACTGGACTAGGTTAGCTAAGTCATTTCCTATGGACTCCCCTCTTTCCCACCTCTGTCTATGCTGAAACAGTTTAGGTGGTCAGAACATATGGTCATCAACGTTCTGACAACTTGAACTATTGTATTTAGGTATATTTTTTCCCTTTTCTGGGTATGAACAACTGGTACTACATACAAATTAATTGCTTTAGTTTCATCCTCACATAGCTATTGCTCCCTATTTTCTTCACCCACACACCCTTGGACACTTCTAAAAGAGCAAAGTGTGAGGTGCTTACAGTGGACACTAGATGGCAAACTTGATTCACAGTAATTTTGATATTGTAAGTATATCAGCAGATAATTGCTTTTGCTCTTACCTGCTGTCAGAAGCTAGAAAAGGTCCATTACATCCTGAATTAAGGGTGCTTCCAGACGGATTTAATCTTGCATATTGGTTGCTGAGGTATCACATATTGATTGTTGGTGACAGGTTTTTTTTTAATTACCTGATTTTCCTCTAAATGGGTAATTTTCAATTAAATGGACAAACTAATGCTGGAAATTATGGATACTGCAAAGAATGATCCCACTGGAAACTCCCTCTAACTCCTAGGGCTCTGAGAATCTGAGCTCTAAGGGACAGAATCAATCCATCTCACAGAGAAAAATTTGGGATTTCCCTTTCTGCCCTGGATGTATATACATTGTTCAGCATAACAAATAAAGACGCTGCTAATTTGAACTGGAAATGTATCATCTAGGGACAGAGTGCTTTGCATAGGACATTGCGCTTCTGTAAAACTCACTCCCACGCTTGCATTCAGACACTGCCCACAATGTGTTCGGAAACTATATATCCCTTATCCCCCCCCCACACACAACCCATGGAAGCAAATACACAAGAGAGCTTGTTATAGAAAAAACTATTGAAAATACCTGGCGGGGTTTTTTAAATGCAGTGTTGACAAAGTCAGTCCTTTTTCTGGCTCAAGAGATGTTTATGCATTCACACTGCCCTTACAAGCATATCCAGACAAAACATTCTCATGCTCCTAGTCCAGCATTGCAGTCGGCCGTACCCAGATCCTAGAAAGCTATGATATATTGTGGCTATCTGGACACAAACACACTGACAAGCCTAGAGCCAGTGTGGTGTAGTGGTTTGAGTGTTGGACTAGGCCCTTGGGAGACCAGGGTTCAAATCCCCACTCACCCATGAAGCTCACAGGGCCAATCACAGTCTCTCAGCCTACCTCACAGAGTTGTTATGAGGATAAAACGTGGAAGAAGAAAACCATGTAGTACTTTGAGCTCCTTGGACAGGCATAGGCCAACTCCGACCCTCCAAATGTGTGGGACTACAATTCCCATCATTCCTGACCACTGGTCCTGTCAGCTGGGGTGATGGGAATTGTAGTCCCAAACATCTGGAGGGCTGGAGTTTGCCTATGCTTGTCGTTGGAGGAAAGTTGGGATATAAATGCAACAACTATAGAAGGCTTCATATTGGCAGGCCATTCCTAACTAACTCTGTGATGGATGTGGAACCTGTAGCCCTTTGTATGTCCCCTCCCATCATCTCCAGCCATTGACTCTATTGATTAGGCTTATGGGAATTGGAGTCCAACATGTGCAGGGCCACAGGTTCCCTCCTCCTGCCCTTTGTGAAGAGATGCTCCTAGTCTGGGGATAGCAAAGCTAAGCTGAAAAGACAGAAGCTCTGGAATTTTTTGTGAGTTTTAAAAGAGAACAAAGAGGCCTGATATCAGGCAGATAAATAAATTGCATCACACTGAGAGTAAAAAGCAGTTATTGCAAAGAAGCCATGGGTCACAACAAGGGCGGCACCAGGGGGGGAAAAACCAGGGGGGCAATGAAGGAGCAAAGTATCTAGGTGGATCTCTCCAAGAACCTGATATCTGCATACATGGGACTCTCAGGAAGTTTTCAATTCAGCTATTGTTCAGATCTAGATTTGCTTAGCTTCAGAGATAAAACTACATCTCATTGTAAATAGTACATTTATCAATGTCACATTGGTTGCCTGAATGAGAAGAAAAGTGTGTGTGAGAGAGAGAGACACACAGAGAATGTTACTTGCACACATGTGTGCTCACACACATACGCATACACATACACATACACATACACGAGTCCTGCAACAAGATTTTGCACTGCTGAGTACTCCAGTCAGTCCAGTTGATGAATCTTCATCCAGTTTTCTATTCTCCCATTCCAATAGTCAGCTATCATTCCATGTCCACTGAGGATACTTTTTGGTCTATTTTAGTTTTTTCTCTCCCCCCCTTAAATATATTTTATACTTCGGAAAAATGTGGCAATTCCTAAGTCTGCTAATGCCTTCCTCTTCAGAACATTGAAAATAGAGGGAAATCTGTGTCATGATGACCTGCACTTCAAAATGTACAACTACATTACTGCTAATGAACTCATACATTTGTGCCAAGGCCGCCTTACGTGGGCTTGCTTGGGACTTCATGGCCTCCATAACAACCATGAAACTGTCTCTATTTGTCATTGACCTGATGCATAGAGCAGGGCATGTCTTCAATATAACTCTTGCTCCAAGAGATGAAAGAGATATGTCTGGGAAAGGAGGGCTGGAGAAATTCCGTTGTCCTTCTCAGACCATTTCCTGGTGAGGTTTGGTCCCAGGGCAGGAGTATTCTCCTACAGGGGTAGGGACCCATTAGAATGGTCTGCCCCCAGAGATGTATGGAATCCAGGAATTTCTGAATGCTCTATGGGGAATTTTCTGCAGACAGGGCTGGGGTTCTAGTTGTTGCTGTAGTCTAACAATATGTATCAGGAAGTCAACAAAATCATTACAGTGGTACCTCGGGTTACATACGCTTCAGGTTACAGACTCCGCTAATCCAGAAATAGTGCTTCAGGTTAAGAACTTTGCTTCAGGATGAGACCAGAAATTGGGCTCCGGTGGCGCGGTGGCAGCAGGAGGCCCCATTAGCTAAAGTGGTGCTTCAGGTTAAGAACAGTTTCAGGTTAAGTACGGACCTCCGGAACGAATTAGGTACTTAACCTGAGGTACCACTGTACTGAGTGACCTCTCTGGGGTTGTAGTAGATTGCTCAGTGAAGATGTTGACCCAGTGTGCGGTAGCTGTGAAAAAGGCAAACTCTCTGCTGGGGATCGTTAGGAAAGAAATTAAAAATAAACTGCTGGTGTATGAATGCTGTTCTATAAATCTATGGTGCAACAGCATTTGGAATACTGTGTTCAGTTCTGGCCACCTCACCTTAAAAAGGATATCATAGAGTTTGAAAAGGTTCAGAAAAGGACAAGCAAAATGACCAAGGGAATAGAGTGAGTCCCCTGTGAAGAAAGCCTGCAGCATTTTTGACTTTTTAGTTTTAAAAAAGGAAAGCAAGAAGTGGCATGGCAGATATTTATAAAATGATGCACAACGTGGAAAACGTGGATCAACAAAGATTTATCTTCCTCTCTCATAACACTATAACTTGTGGACATTGAATGAAGCTGAATGTTGTAGGTCAAAAAAAAAAAAAGCTCTTCTTTATGCAGCACGTAATCAGACTATGAAATTCGTTCCTACAAGAGGTAGCCATAGCCACCAACTCAAATGGATTAAAGAAATTCATGGAGGCCAAGGCCAGGTTATGTGAAGGACCTACCTGTTCACTGAGATCTGCAGAGGCTCTCCTGCTGAAATCAATATTGCAGCAATCTGGGAGAGGGCCTTATCTGTTGTGGCACCCAGTTTATGGAATCACCTCCCCTCTGAAGCAAAGCAAGCATCAACAGGGATGAGTTTTCAATGCCTGCTGAAGGTTCATTTGTTTATCTGGGCATTATCTGGTCATTGATGCCAAGTCTGTAGCTAGGTCTGGCTTACTGTGGGCATTGTTGCAAATATTGGTTGCTGTATTTTAATGTTTGAATTTTAGTGAGGATGTATTTATAGTGCTATGAATTGCCCTGGGTTTTTTAAAATGCAGGGATCTATATCTATCATTGGTCTAGCTAGCTATCTAATAAGTGAAATAAATAATATGTCTCCTCATTGTTATTTTCCCTTTAGGTGGCCTTAGTTGTCAATGTTGCAAGTGAGTGTGGCTATACAGACAGCCACTACAAAGCCCTTCAACAGCTGCAGAGAGAACTTGGCTCATATCATTTTAACGTGCTGGCATTCCCTTGTAATCAATTTGGACTTCAAGAACCAGGCACCAACAAAGAAATTGAGAGTTTTGCCAGGAAAACATATGGAGTCACCTTTCCCATGTTCAGCAAGATAGCAGTCAAGGGCACCGGGGCAAATCCAGCCTTCAAATATTTAATTGGTGAGTACAGCAGGCATTCTAAAGCGGCTGACATTGAATCTGCTTTGCCCCCAAAGTCGTAGATGATTTATGATAGCAAGCGGTGCCATTTCAGATGGGGGGGGGGAGCGGCAGGGAGGTTGGCAATATTCAGCAAGGTGTAAGGGCCAGTTCTTCAATGCAGTCAAGGTTAAATGGTGAAAAGGCAATCTCTTTCTAGAGCATCTGTTGTGATTATGTTCTATCTTCTTTTTTCTATCTCCCAGGAACTCAATAGGAATGACAGGAATTCAGTTGAGGTTTAATTGCCTTGTCCTTCAAATCAAAGTAGTACAAAAACATTCAAATCACAGATGTGTGTTCCTGGAAAAGTGTAGATGGCCGCCTCTACAGGTTCCACTTAAACTTTTTCAGATATCATTTGTGCAGTCTTTTGAATGTAAGCAACAGTTGGAGCTTATGCCTCCTGGACTGTGTCCGGATGAACAACTGTTTATCGAACATTTATCCTGATTTATTTGCAGGGAGGTTAGACAACATTGCATCCCACACTTTCCCCATCACTTTCCTTATTGCAAAAAAGTCCAGTCATTTGGGGAAGTGGATTTATTGCACAGGACTTCCCAATCAACTATAACTGAGCAACCTGAATTGGTTGGTATGTGACTGAATCTCACCCAAGAATAGCGACAGTCTGAAAGCGCCCCTACAAAAATGAGAGTTATAAGATGAGGAAACTCATCCTGCCTCTAGCCTTCTACCAGAAGCAGAATGACTGAAAGGAGCCCTTGTAAGAATTGCTAAGCGATCTCTTCAGCTCAACAGAAAGCAGGATGAGAGAAACCCAGAGATTCCCTAGAAGAAGGCTGTTAGCTTGTACCCAGAGAAAGGGTTGAATGCTCCAGCACCTGATTACTCGCAGAAGCAGGCAATGAAAATAAAGTTTTGGGCATTAAGGATAAAAATACTAAACCTCAGCATCGTGTCCCACAAGGTTTTCTCTGGGGGGAAGCAGCAATACAAGAGGAACAGTGGATAAGCCCTTATAGCAGATCAACACCATACATTTAATACATATCCATGATTTCCCTCAAATAATCCTGGGAACTATTGTTTGTTAAAGATGTTGGATCATGTGCTTTGGAAGCCATGTGATTTAAATCACACGCTCACAGGGGCAAGACAGTTTGATCATATTACACTGATCTTGGCTCAACTGCACTGGCTGCCAATTAGTTTCCAGGGCTAATTCAAAGTGCTGGTTTTGACCTAGAAAGCCTTAAATGGCTCACAACCACAATACCTTAAGGACTGCCTCTCACCATATAAACCTACCTGGACCCTGAAATCATATTCTGGGGCCCTTCTTAATGAGCCTCCTCCAGAGGGTAGCAACACAAGGGCCTTTTCTGCAGCAGCTCCCCATTTGTGGAATGCTCTCTCTAGGGAGGTTCAGCCGGCACCTTGATTATATACCATTCATCTGCCAGGTGAAGACATTCCTTTTTAACCATGCCTTTGGCTGATTGACACGATGCCCTTTTAAATGTGTTTGTGGAAGAGGGGATTATTGATTTGTTTTTGTTCTTATTTTTATTATGTATTTTGTGTTTTTTACATATATAGTCATTTTATGTTGTGAACTGCCCTGTGATCTATGGGTATAGGGCAGTATACAAATTTAATAAATAAGAAGAAGAAAGTAGATTGGATGTTCTTTAAACGTGTGGTGTGCCCATAGTTTTTCCTAAGATTTTGCTTAGCCTACATTTTTATTTTGCTTAACTTCTGCATTGATTTTGACAATCAAATCCATCATTAGTATCTTTTTTCTTTATAACTGAATAATAATCAAATTATATGTCATTTCCCCTTCCTATGTAGATTCCACTGGTGAGGAGCCAACCTGGAATTTCTGGAAATACCTTGTAGATCCAAATGGGAAGACGGTAAAGGCTTGGGACTCTACTGTCACTATTGAGGAAATAAAACCTCACATCACTGAACTTGTGAGGAATATCATCCTGAAGAAAAAAGATGAACTGTGATTACACCCATACCCACACCCACACCCACACACCCCACTAATTCTTGAACCTCTGATTATCATTTGGACCATTATTTTCACTCTTCTCATTCCTAAAAGAAAATATAATTTTAAAAAATTGTCAATATGAATTCCATCAACATGAGTTAGCTCCATCCTCCGAGTACAATACAGTGGTACCTCAAGTTACATACGCTTCAGGTTACATACACTTCAGGTTACAGACTCCGCTAACCCAGAAATAGTACCTCGGGTTAAGCACTTTGCTTCAGGATGAGAACAGAAATTGTGCTCTGGCGGCGCAGCGGCAGCGGGAGGCCCCGTTAGCTAAAGTGGTGCTTCAGCTTAAGAGCAGTTTCAGGTTAAGAACGGACCTCCAGAACAAATTAAGTCCTTAACCCGAGGTACCACTGTACTGTATTTTATTTTTTGGTCTTGCATTCAATCCATTATTTAACCCAGAAGGAACTGGTTCTCTTCTCAGGGGAAACACACCAAAGGTCTGGGGTTTATTTCCCATTTCAAGTCACTTATTGATCGTGGTGAGGTGAAGAACCAATTCGGATCTCTCTGTAGGTAAATAACCTCAGCACTCTAGGATTTCCTAGAGAAATATTACTAATAGTTACCCTATCATGAACTTGTTCATCAAGGGCATTTACGAAATGCAACCCAGAATAGGTATAATAGATCTTAACCTGCGTGTGGTTTTAAGATGCAGTTTTTATGCTGGGAAACAAGAGCACATTGACACGATCTGTATTTGCTTGCACTCACACCAGTCACATTCATTTATCCCTGAGAATCCATACACTAGGATGGATCTAAGAATCCTGTTCTATTCAATGAAAATGAGATTTTTCCTGCCAATTATTTAAAAAAACAAAAAACCTGTTTGAGAGGATTGTCGGACCCGCTCAAACAGAAAGGAAGACAGTATTGGGGGGGCTACAGTTGGAGGACAAGAATCCTGTTAGCAGGAGCCCCTATTGGACCAAAGTCCCTTTTCTGAATGGAAGGAAATATTTGGACCCATTAATCCCAAACTGTTGCATTCCTGTGTTCTGTCTGTTGTCATCCAGCATTTTGCATGTGCTGATTTATTGTGATTTAAAAAATAATAATAATAATAAGCAACTTCCTTTCAATTGCTGCAAAGTCCTCTTAGGTGTGAACTGAAATGTAGCATTGTGTTAGAGCAGAGGTGTGGTTGGCGATGTTCTTGATGGCATGTCTTTTTGGTTTCCTACATTTCTGGCCCTCTCAAGTTCCAGAGGCATCTACCCTTAAAAAAATCATTACTGAAACTGACAAAAGATTTCATTCATCTTTGCAGCTTGCCTTGAGAAGCCTGGTGAAACAGAAACTTTGCAGATGTTGGGGAAAGCTTTCTCAGCTGTGCACATCTACATCTGAGAACAACTTAAGGCTTTCACCCCACTTACACAGGGAGTCTTAGAAAGGGTTGTGAGTTTCACCAAGTTTCTCCAGATTCAGCATGGGATGGGTAGGTGCCACTGAAAGAGCTGCTTCCCCTTCACATAGAACAGGTAACCAACCTGGTGGCATCTGAATGTTGAGGCCTACAGCTTGCCTCGTCCCTCACCATTAGTCATGCTAGCTGTGACGGAGGGGAATTGAAGTTCACAACATCTGGAGGCCTCCAAGTTGGCTTCCCATGGGATGGAAACTAGGTAATGCTCAAATAGTGAATTAGAGCTCACATAGGGCTTTAAAAATATTTTTGTTGTTTTCTGGAAGCATCCATAGATTTCCTTCAGTTGTAATCTGTGTTGTTGGAATTAAGTGACTTGACTCAGAAAAGGAAGTACATATGTCAGCTTATAACCACTGGTGAAAGGAATGGAGAATTTTTGTTGACTGAACCAGAATAAAAGGAGATCCCTACATCATTTTAACAGATGTTTGCGAACTTCCATACATTACACACAGTTTGCTTGAATGTGATCCATTAGAATCTTAAAAGAATCAAGCACCTTGAAGAGAGAGACCAAGTTTTTTCATAATAGCTTGGCCCATAGTAACTTGTTGCCTAGTAACAGAGTTGAAAGTGACCATTATTCATTGATCCTGCTGATTAATACTTTGGACACTCCTCCCTTACTCCCTCCACAAAATATTATAGAGGGTACCCAAATTGGTGAAAGACAAATTTGCAACCTGCCTACTCTCTTCTATAACTGAATTACTTGTCAGGAACCATTTGTCAGTGGACCCTGCTATTTTACAATTTTACCCTTTTGAATAAGCCCCCCTCTCAAAATAAAATACATACAATAGGTTCCCACCAAGCGGGATGATCCTCCTGCAACACCCTAGTCTGTCAACCTGTAGGGGGCATTTCTGAGCTCTGTTTCCCAGGAGCCCATCTCTAGGAAGGGAGCTTTAGACCTGTGTTCCCAAAACCCCAAACACCAAATCTTACACAATGATCAGTAGAAAACGGCAATGCAGCTCAGGTGCGCTGTCACGGCATATGTTACTTACAGCCCACAGTTAAAACCACTCAAATGTATCACCAGTGATATATAGAAGAAGAAGAGTTTGGATTTGATATACTGCTTTATCACTACCCTAAGGAGTCTCAAAGCGGCTAACAACCTCCTTTCCCTTCCACCCCCACAACAAACACTCTGTGAGGTAAGTGAGGCTGAGAGACTTCAGAGAAGTGTGACTGGCCCAAGGTCACCCAGCAGCTACATGTGGAGGAGCGGGGAAGCGAACCTGGTTCACCAGATTACAAGTCTACCACTCTTAACCACTATACCACACTGGCTCTCATCTCATAGCCTAATCTGGATGATGATACATCCCTCACACAGACTCTGAATGGCTGACCTGACTTGCTTACAGACATCTCCCCCAACTTAAAACGAGCTGCTCACAGGCAACCAGTAGCACCCTAGCCTGTTTTGCCACCTGAGGCAAAACGGTAAGGATGCTGCCCCCCTCCACTTCAGCCCTGCCTCACCATCTCATGGGGGGGGGGCGTGCAGCAGCAGCTTCCGGTGAGATCTTAGGGAGCTCTCACAAGAGTTCTATGAGATCATGCAACATCTCACCGGAAGCCGCCACAGCTTCTCTGGCAGCAGCAGGGCTGGGTGTCCATGGGAGTACTGGCTCATGGGATTCTGCCACCTGAGGCAGCTACTTCAGTTCACTTCATGCCAGCAACTACAGGCTATGTAACAGAGAGACAGACACAAGGACCCTGTGGCAGACCCAGCCGCTAACTCACCATGCCAACTCTTACAGGACCTAATGGCGCCAGGACCTAATGACATCAGGGGTTCATTAACTTGCTCACCTTCAAATACAATAGATCTTTATTTATAAAGTATTCCTAATGTCCAATACCAAGATGAAAGTCAACCAGGTCTGTGTGTTGAGCACGCTGCGTTATGGAAGTGAGTTGTGGGCAACTTACAACCATCAGGAACAACACCTCAGCGCCTTCAACACGTGCTGCATCAGGAGGGTCTGAAGTATCACATGGCAGGACAGAATTCCAAACAAAGATGTGCTCTCCCAAGTCTATATTTCCAGTATGTTTGCACTCCTATCTCAACAATGTCTACGCTGGCTTGGTCATGTTCACAGAATGGAAGATGGCAGGATCCCCAAGGAAGCTGGCAGACCAACTCTGTGTTACTAAGATGACTGCAAACGTGAAATGAAGGCTGGCAACATCAACCCTGACATGCTGGAATCCCTTGCAGACGACCACAGAGCCTGGAGACAGGCAGAGGAGAAATGACCACTGGGAGAAGCACAGAGAGAAAAAATCCCCAAGGTGCATCTGCAGCAGCAAACTGGATGCCTTCATCTGCCCCAACTGCAACAAAACAGGTCTCTCCAGCATTGGCCTCTACAGCCACAGCAGGCGCTGCAGCCTTCCAACAGCTTAACCTCACCTGCAAAGGTGTACTCCTCCAGTTTTCCAAGACAGACAAATGCCAACAACAACAACCACCCTCTCACAAAACATCAAGGCAGTGTTCAACAATGTAAAAATCTTTAATTGCAGTACGAAACAATCACTAAAATGGCGGGCTGCTCAATGAAACTTTTAAGCTCCATAGGACTATCGGCATAAAAGGTCTTCAAGAAATGCAAATTAAAAGTGAGGATACCTGCTGAATCTGTGCTGGAAGTGTGTTCCACGGCATGGGTCCAGTGACACTAAATACTCGACTTCAGCAATGCTTATTTAGAAGTACATCACTGCAAACAATGCACAAAGTAAGCAAGCTGAAACAGTTTCATTTCCCCCCTACTGTTTTTCTTATGTTTCTGCCTGGTACTCATCATGAAGTAGGCAAAAGGGCACGAGGGAGCTATTGAGTTGGTGTAAATTTAAATATAGATAGCAATAATGGAAATCACTTCCTGCTTTTAGCACTAATCTTTCACCTACATACTATACTTTTATCTCAGTCTAAAGGTGAAAGGCTTCTCATTATCCACAGCAACTCGTGCTTCTCCCTTTTCTCTCATTTTAAATTCCTGATGCATCTGACTTCTTGGTATATATTAGGACATAGCAAGCCCCACCCCCCCTTTATCAGGATGCTCTTGGAAGAGGTCACACAGCTGTCTCTCAAAAGAAGTCCAGATCCACCATTGCGCTAACCAGAGATTTTCACTGCATTGCCAAAGCTGTGCGATCTCATACAGATTCTGTTTCACCTTTGACAAGTCCTAAATCTTAAGGCACCCCGGCTCAGTTTGGGATTGGTCTGAATGAATCTGGTGCACACCCTTAGAATCCACTACTATTGCCAGCAGAGGAGAAACATGGTACTGTTATTTGGGCACTAATGGGTCTTTCATGGCTTCTGTTTTGCTCATTCAGTTGTTCAAAATAGGCTCTAATGGAGGGTTAGTTAAGGTTTCTCAGCAGCACAGCTTCTTACAAGACAGTTCCTTTTCTAGACATTCTGGAGACTAAAAGTAGAGAGTCTTTTTTGTGAAAAGGCACTCAACAATAACACATGGCAAAATGCACAAAAGCTTTGAAAATTAAACAATTTAATTAATGGTTCTAAGTGTCATAGTTAATTTCATTTCTCTCACTCTTTCTCAATGTGTTTCTGATCTGCTCTGTATGTACAACAAGATTTCCTTCAGCAATGTCAGGGAAAAAATGGTTAGCTATTTTAACAACATTAATTTAGATGCAGAATTTCAAAAAGGAGCAGTACAGACCTGAATCATGTCACATATGCACCATTTTTTTATGTAGCTAATTCTAATAGATCTCATAATTTAGACATCACTGTTATATTTCCATTTTCCATCCCAGTCTTGATCATCTTCATCTTCCTCAATGGGAGATGTTTCAAGCTGAGGGAGTGCCTCTATATCACTCTGGAGAGAATAAGTGCGGAAAAGATCTGATATGGGCTCATCAATGTAAGTTTCGCTCCGTGCACTTTTGATTGAGGTAGTTTCTCTGTTCCCATTGGACTGTATGCTCCTCCTATCTGAATGAGGACTCCTCCCTGAGTGTTGACTCCTATCCTGAAACACACAAAAATGCACAATGCCTATATATATATTATATTCCCAGTTGCTGGTCCATCCAATTGGTTGCCAAATAGGTACTACATCTTATATGCTCGTAGGAGTTCCCATGGCCATGCACCGTTGCAGAAAGCCATAACTCCACAAACTTGCAATTTAGCTGAGGAAGCTAAAATAAAGATGCTCAGTCTGTCCTGTTAAAAGACCACAGGCAACCTCCAGAGAGGAGGGAATTTCTGAAAGCTACCATCTTTTTCACACTTACTTAGAAATAACTCCTGTTGACACAACGGCTAATCTTTGCCTTACTAATTGCATATTAGTCCAAATCTCTTCGGTTCTCTTTGGCAATGCAGAGTAAACAGGCAGCTTGATTCCTAAAGGCTGCTTTTATGATATTCTTCTCAGACTAGCTTGATGCCCAGAAGCATTTTCTGCCCTGAATATGTCCCCTTCCAGGCAGGGCTCAAGAATGGGTGGAGGTGGAAGAAGGGGAAACCAGTAAACTAGCCACAGTGGGTGGGGAAGTGGTCATGCTACATGTTCCACATGTTCAGAAGACCTGCAACATCAGGACTGTACAGATAGAAACCTTTTGGCTGAATATGCAGACATTAGGGATAGGGCCTAATGACATGGTGATATTGGGGTCAGGACCAGAAGTGAAATCCTGACTCAATAAATTTAGCCCATGCATTTAATCACATTTGGATGTGACCATGCTATTTCAAGAACGGTTAGTCCGAATGTTTCCAAGAGTATTTCATGTGCACAGGAGGGAGGAGTTATCAGGCTGCGGCAGCTGGTTGGCAGCAGCAAGGTCAGGCCAATACGCTTTGCAGCCCAAGGCAAAAGATAAGATGACACCTTCCCATTCCCATTCCATGCACAGGGGCTGGTTGTGCTGGCAGCTAAATCTTACTTTCCGAGTGATAGAACTGTATCTTCCCCTGCACACACATTGCACTTGTACAACTTCTCTCCACCCACAGCATCAACTGACATAAGCACTTCATTTTACCTGATGGTGAATGGTATGGCCAGCCTTGGGCAGCATACTAATATTGAACATCATGATCACAGGGACAATGGGAAACAATGCTGCTGGCATTTATAGGCTTCAGAACATTATGTGACTACATGTGTTAGCCCCCTGGTCTTCCCAAATGCATGGAAAAATCTAAAGCAGGAGTGAGGAAATCCAAGCCTGTGGGCTACTTTTGACCCACCATGCCTCCCCAATTGGCCCATAAGGCTGTTTTAGCCAAACCACACCCACCTGTACAGGAGAAGGGAGGCTTGACAGTCAGCTGGTTATTGCCACAGGCATATTACTCCCAGCCTGGTTAAACTTTGGTGTTAGATTCAGCTTGGGCCAAAGGTGCCTGGGGTGACAGACCATCGGGAGGCTGCTCTCAGGGCATTTCCCGCCCATCAAAAAATTACACTGGTTAACAGGGATCCCTGACACTTGTGCATTTCACATAAAGGGACCCCTGACCATTAGATCCAGTCACGAATGACTCTGGGGTTGTGGCGCTCATCTCACTTTACTGGCTAAGGGAGCCGGCGTACAGCTTCCAGGTCATGTGGCCAGCATGACTAAGCCACTTCTGGCGAACCAGAGCAGCACACGGAAACGCCGTTTACCTTCCCGCCGAAGCGGTACCTATTTATCTACTTGCACTTGGATGTGCTTTCGAACTGCTAGGTTGGCAGGAGTAGGGACCGAGCAACGGGAGCTCACCCGACATGGGGATTCGAACTGCAACCTTCTGATTGGCAAGCCCTAGGCTCAGTGGTTTAGACCACAGCACCACCCGCGTCCCGTGCATTTCACATAGTACTCACAATTTAGTTGTTAGTAGAGGACAAAGGGGGAGTATTTATTTTTCCTAGCAGCAAAATATTTGGGACTGATTTCCTATGGCAGGAAACAGATAGAATGTTCTGTGCTACTGGGCTTAATAATTCATCTGGAAAGATCTTTTACGGCTAAAAAAGCCACTGAAACAAATCATTTATATAACTCCTAGTTGAAAGGATCAGACTGCTTTTCTGGATTAGCATTTGTCAGGTCATTACATTGATCACGGGTCTCAGCCAACTATTATACCTTTTCCTCATTTAGAGTTACTTCAGCCAACACTTCCTCAGGCAGGATAATACTAGGTTCTACCGGCACAGTCTCTTCCAAGAGTTCTGGCTCCACTGCATAGAGTACTGCGTCGTGTAAGGTTGGAAAGAACCGTGCTTTAGTAACACACTGGTCAAAAAAGTCATGCTTTTCAAAGGTCCTTATTACAGTGGCTATAAGATTAAAAAAAAAGAAAGAATAATCACACAAAACAGCATGATTAAAAGATGTGGCTTTACAACAGCATTAATCATACAAACAATATCCGAAATTGCTAATTTAAAAAGTGCAGCGACTATACTCACGATGACAGGCAGCTATCAGGAGTGTGATGCCAATATTCTGAAACGCATGACACAGCTGTAGAAGGGAAACAATGTATTAAAATGGGTGATGTTTTCAGTCTCTAGATCAGGGGTAACTAACGCCTGGTTCTGGGGCCTGATTCCGCCTCCCAAGCAAATTTTCCTGGCATGCCACCAATACTGGCAACAGTAAACATACACCAAAACAATTTAAAGCAGAAATGGTGCAGGGGTGGGCAGAGAAGTTCAAACTTCTCCACCTAATTCAGAGCCCTGATGGGGGATGCAAACTGCTCCCTTCCCAGTAGGGATGTTGGAGAATTCCAGCAAAAACAGGAGTGGGAGCAGAAATTGCCAGTGTTTGCTTATTTGTCCCACATCCAGAATGGAAATCATCCCAGCAAACAATATGTAATTGATTACATTCCTTCCTCCGCTCGGCATTGTGTTTCCTCTGCAATGGGGTGGCATAACATAGACAGCAAAATTTATGCATAAATTATGTAAGTTAAGTAATTTTGCTACAGAAGAATTGCAAATAGAATAGTTTTTTTTTAGTGTAAGAAGCACTGCAGCGGAATGAACACAGTACTATATGTGACGAATACAGAGCAGAATGGAAAACGATGCCTTCCAACATCCCTACTTCCTAGTAATCAGAGGAATCATTTGATAAGATGGTTTTAGTCCCCCCCCCCCTTGCTTTTGGTATTTTTTTTAATGAAAGGCTGTGTACAAATAATGAAAGGCAGATATACAAATAACTGAAGGAATGAATGGGTACTAAATGGTGGAAAGGCATGAAAAACAGAAAGGTCAAATCTGTAGCCCATTAGGTGAGCAGTAATGTGTTTACAGTCCATATGAAAACCTATGTTAGTGAAATGCATATATTGTTGGGCAATTTGCCACAGTGATATTTGTTCTTTTCTGAGTCATCTTTTCAACAAAATGACTATTGCTTTGATGATGTAACTTCTTTCAACCCCTCTTTAGTACCTTTTGTTGTTTCCAATTCTTAAGCTTTAGGACGTTCATTTTCAATGTTTCATGCTAATATGACTGTACTTGCTTTTTCAATTTTGTGGAGTTTTTTTTTGTGTCTCTTCTGACAATCTGACAATTGTCTCGTTCTGAATCTGATCTGACCACCTGTATGGTTCTTAATGTTTCGGGGTTTTTTGTTCTTTAATCCTTCCTCCCATCCTTAATCCAGGCAGATTTACATCCTAACACTTTTGGCAAACATCAATTCTAGTTTGTATCTAGAAGCCCAAGTTATGCTCCCAGTTTCCCCATCATCTTTTTTTTTTTTTTTGTAATTGGCATTTATACATAATTCAATTCTTAGGAAACTTATCAAACATTTGGCTACCAAGACATTTCCTGCAAGCCTGAAAAACTCACCTGCTGAATGTAAGTGGGCTTGGGACTTAAATGTATGGCAGGATCATATTGCACATCAATCCTCCTTTAAGTAACTGAAAAGCTATTGTATTAAAATATCCCCCCACCCCACCATTATGGGTAGGAAACTGGCTATCTGAATCATTCTAGTTTCTCCCAAGACCTAGCTTTGCCACATTGCTTGCAGCTGATCTTGCTTCTACCCTCGTATAAACGTGTTCATGACCACCCATATTATTATTTTTTAAAAGGGCCTTTAAAAATAAGAGCACGAGTGCAAGAGAGCACTAGTTTAAATGAATACTATAGCTAAATAAAAACTACTAAGCTGCAATAGTTCAGGCAACTTACCTCTCGTAACAAATAGGAAGCTTGTAGATCAACAAAGTGCACCATACTGAAGTCTAAAATAATGGTGTGGATCATGTAAGTGGATGTCTCTGATTCAAGTGGGTGCAAATGAGTTGTGGATCTCGTGACAGGGGGGTCTGAGCAAAACCATAACCTGTTGAGATCTTCTTTCCTCTTTACATACTCCTGTCCTGTTTCCCTTTCTATGTAATGAGTCTCAGAAGGGTATCTGCTCTCAATTCTTGACCAGCGTATTAATGCCAAAGAAGAAGCAGATGATATCTCATTAGCTGTACGAACCCGCCTTAGAAGTTTCTCTGTGTAAGGTACCTAGAAAAGCAGGAGAGATGAGGTTCTAGAGCAGGCTAAGACAATACTCAGCTTCATTTATGCATTTTTCCTTTCTCCTGTTAAAATACGTTTAAGAAAACTATGTATATGGTTGTGTTACAAAGATATGTAAGCATAGCCTGGCTAAAGCAAGAAGAACCATCACGCACCCAAGAATTCTGCCATTCTCAATTTAGGCTGCAATCCTACACACAAATTTCACTGAACTCACTGAGCCTTGCTGCTGAGTGGATATGCATAGGGAGGCACTGTTAATCATGCCTCCTAGTGCTATCAAAAGCATATTAATTTTATAAACTATCTTTGTAAAAACACCATTGCACTGAGTTTAATGTCCAGCGGTCCCAATTATTTCAATAGAAAAAGAAACTGTGAACTGGATGAGAAACGCTGAGCATCTGACCCTGTCCCATTTACTGTGGGGTGATTTTCAACAGGAATTCTGATCCAGGAATTGGATGGAAAAACTAATGTGGAATTTTCATTCTGACATACAGGCTTGAGTGCTGTAGGTTTGCAAAGCCACCAAAGCTCAAATGTCTAAGTGCATAAAATAAAAACCTTGGTGCATTTATAATGGGAATGGAAAACCCACTCTGTTCACCTAAAGGAGAAGGGGGGATTGAAAAGGAAGTTTTCTTCCCTTCCCTATTACATGCACAGCATTCCTGTGCAGCATAGAGGCTTTCTGCTTGCACTGAAGCGTCAACAACAAAAAGCCTTTTCTATGGCTCACAGTGGGACCAGCTCCCACCACTACAGCAAGCGAATAGAGGTCTGCTTGCATTAGAGGCCATTAGCTCAATTACACTTCGAGAAAATCATGTAAGCACAGCGTAGGATAGGCATCTCTTCTTCATGTATTCCTCCACTGAACATTTAGTTTGGCCCTAAGGAATGCCATGTTTTATATAAACTGATAAATGGAGATAATAATAATAATAATAATAATAATAATAATAATAATAATTTATTATTTATACCCCGTCCGTCTGGCTGGGCTTCCCCAGCCACTCTGGCTGGCTTCAAACAAAATACTAAAATACAGTAATGCATCAAACATTAAAAGCTTCCCTAAACAGGGCTGCCTTCAGATGTCTTCTAAAAGTCTGGTAGTTGTTGTTCTCTTTGACGTCTGGTGGGAGGGCATTCCACAGGGCGGGTGCCACTACTGAGAAGGCTCTTTGCCTGGTTCCCTGTAACTTGGCTTCTCACAGTGAGGGAACCGCCAGAAGGCTCTCGGCGCTGGACCTCAGTGTCCGGGTAGAATGATGGGGGTGGAGACGTTCCTTCAGATATACTGGACTGAGGCCGTTTAGGGCTTTAAAGGTCAGCACCAACACTTTGAATTGTGCTCGGAAACGTACTGGGAACCAATGCAGGTGTTTCAAGACCGGTGTTATGTGGTCTCGGCAGCTGCTCCCAGTCACCAGTCTAGCTGCCGCATTCTGGATTTGTTGTAGTTTCCAGGTCACCTTCAAAGGTAGCCCCACAGAGAGCGCATTGCAGTAGTCCAAGCGAGAGATAACCTGTGATGGCCTGGGATTCCGATTCAGAGGCTGAACCGGAGGAATCCCAGCCTGCACAGGAGAACCAGGCCTTGACTCACACCGTGCAGCAGCTCAGCAATGCGGTGACGGCACTTCAGCAGCGGTTGGACGCCCTACCGGCTCCTGGGGCCGACGCCCCGGCTCCAGGTAAGTACCCAGTGGCCTTGCCAGAGAAATTTGATGGGGCCCCGGCCAGCTTTCCCATGTTCCTCGCCCAGGCCAAGTTGTACATTCAGGGGCGAGCCCGGAACTTCCCTGACGACCGCACCAAGGTGCACTTTTTGATCAGTTTGTTAAAGGACCAGGCGGCCAAGTGGGCATTGCCGCTGCTCAGGCAAGACTCCCCCTTGCTGACAGACTATATGGGGTTTTGCAACCATTTGGAGGCCGCATTCGGCAACCCCCAGAAGGAGAGTCAAGCCAACCGGGCAATTAGGCGTTTGAAACAGGGCAAGTCCACTGCAGCCGCCTACACCATGGAGTTTCGGCTGTTGGCGCAAGACTTGTCTTGGAATGACTCTGCACTTCGGGACCAGTATCTTGAGGGGCTGTCGGATGAGATACTGGACTAGGTGGCCATGATCGATCGTCCCACCACGCTGGACGCCCTTATTCAGCGGAGCCTGCAGATAGACGATCGGTTGGAGGACCGTCGCCAGACCCGGGACCGCCAGCACCCCCGGCTCCTGGCTCCAGTCCTTCCCAGCCGGTCCACGCCCACAGCCGTGTTGTCGGCCAACGCAGCTCGGGGCTGCGCGACCTCGCCTCTCATCCTCGGAGAAGACGCGGCGTCGGGAGGGGAACCTGTGTCTTTACTGTGGTGGGAGTGGACATTACGCCCGATCCTGTCCCAAGAAGATGCCAGTCACAGGGAAACCGCCAACCTTGGTAGCTGAAGGCCCTAGCAACCTGGGGTCCCAAACCATGCAAGAGGGGCCCTCACCAGTGGATTTGCGACATCTCATGGTTCCGGTGCGTCTCTACCCTCCAGGTAGGCCCTGGATTCTTACCCACGCTCTGGTGGATTCAGGGGCAACCCGCTCCTATATGGACGCTGCCTTTGCCGCTCATCATCAGGTGCCACTTCATAACAAGCCAGAACCGGTACAGGTGGAGGCAATCGACGGATGGCTCCTGCGTTCGGGTGCCGTCACTCGGGAGACCCAGCCCTTGGTCCTGTGTCTCCAGCAGCACCGGGAGGTGCGAACTTTGGACATTGCCTCCATGCCCCGGTTCCCCCTGGTGCTCGGGATGGACTGGCTGGAGGCTCACAATGTTCAGATTGACTGGGTCAATCGGACTGTGCACTTCCCAGACCCATGTCCCCATGCTCAGTCCGAGATGCTAGCAGCCGCACCCACTGAGGAGGCTGCATCCACGCTCCCCGCCGAGTACCGGGACTACCAAGACGTGTTCGAGGAACGGGGGGCAGACCAGCTGCCGCCGCATCGGTCTTTTGACTGCGGCATAGACCTCCAGCCCGGAGCGCCCCTGCCGGTGAGTCGCTTATACTCTCTAACAGAGCCAGAGCGTGAAGCTTTGCAGGACTTCCTGCACAAGAACCTGGAGCGTGGTTTCATTAGGCCTTCTACCTCGCCCACCGCTGCGCCAGTGCTCTTCGTTAAGAAGAAATGTGGGGAGCTTCGCCTTTGCCATGATTACCGGGCCCTAAACAAAATTACCATCCTAGACCGGTACCCCTTGCCCCTTATTTCGGAGTTGCTGGAGCGGGTGCAAGGGGCGCAGGTGTTCACCAAGCTAGACCTCCGGGGGGCCTACAATTTAATTCGGATCCGAGCCGGGGATGAGTGGAAGACAGCATTCGGGACCCGGTACGGGCAGTTCGAATACTTGGTTATGCCCTTCGGATTGTGCAACGCGCCCGCTGTGTTCCAACGGTACATCAACCACGTGTTCCGGGACTTGCTAGACAAGTACGTGGTGGTGTACTTGGATGACATTCTGGTTTTCTCCCGTGACCCGGCTCTCCACGAGGGTCATGTCCGGACCATGCTGCAGCGCTTGTGGGAGCACCGCCTGTATGCGAAACTCAGCAAGTGCGAGTTCCATCAGCGGTCAGTGGACTTCCTTGGTCACCGACTCTCTCCAGATGGGGTCAGATGGATCCTGGGAAGGTGGCAGCGGTTCGGGAATGGACGGCACCTTGGAACCGCAAGGACCTACAGCGATTCCTGGGGTTCGCCAACTATTACCGGACCTTCATTGCAGATTATGCTCATCGCACCACCCCGTTGACCTGGCTACTGCGCCCCAAGACGCCGTTTTCCTGGGACAAGGAGGCAGAGGAGGCGTTTCAGGGGTTGAAAGCCTGTTTCCAGAGAGCGCCGATCTTGCAACATCCTGATCCCTCTCGACCCTTTGTGGTAGAAACCGACGCCTCCAGTACGGCTCTCGGTGCCGTCTTGTCTCAGCAGTATGGACCTGATGCGCCACTCTTACCCTGCGCCTTCTATTCCCGCCAGCTCCTTCCAGCGGAGCGTAACTATACCGTGTGGGAGCGGGAACTACTGGCCATCAAGGTGGCCTTTGATGTCTGGCGCCACCATCTTGAGGGGGCACGACACCCGGTGGAGGTGAGAACCGACCACCGGAACCTGGAGTACCTCCAGACCACCCGCAAGCTGAACCAAAGGCAGATCCGGTGGGCATTGTTCTTTTCCCGGTTCCAGTTCCGGATCCGCTACATCCCTAGCTCCCAAAACCAGAAGGCGGATGCCCTGTCCCGGAAGCCTGAAGACAACGCAGACACGGTACAGCAAGCAGTACCCACCACGATCCTACCACCGGCTGCATTCCTGGCCACCCAGGAGGCTGAGTCACTGCAGGCTCGGGTGCGGGAGCAGCAGCGGGTCGACGCTTGGGCCCAGGAACGATTCCAGGAACTGGTCGAAGGGTCCAGCCCTCAGTATCCGGGGCTGGTCTTACAACAGGGCCTTCTGCTACACCACGGTCGCCTGTATATCCCGCCAGGGCCACTGCGGGCTGAGGTTCTCCGGATGACCCATGATGCCCCAGCAGCGGGACACTTTGGGTGGTATCGGACCACCCATCTGGTAAGCCGTGAGTTTTGGTGGCCCCGCCTGAAGGCTGACGTGGCTCGCTACGTTGCTGGTTGTGATGTCTGCCGGCGGGCCAAGGGCCCTACCGGGTGACCCCCCGGCCTACTTCAGCCGTTGCCAGTCCCACCACGTCCTTGGCACATGGTTTCGCTGGACTTTGTAGTGGACTTACCCCCGTCTCGTGGCTGTACCTATCTTCTAGTTTTCTCCGACCATTTCACTAAGATGGTGCACTGTGCCCCCTGCCCATCCGTACCCACAGCTAAGGAAACCGCTCAGCTGTACCTTCCGCATGTCTTCCGCCTGCATGGCCTACCTGAGCGTGTGGTGTCCGACCAGGGCGTTCAGTTCACATCCCGCTTCTGGCGAGCATTGCACCAGACCCTCGGGACAGAGGTCTGTCTCTCATCAGCCTACCACCCACAGACCGATGGCCAGACGGAACGGGCGAACGCGGTGCTGGAGCAGTACCTTCGGTGTTACTGCAGCTACCAGCAGGATGACTGGGTCGACCACCTAGCATTGGTGGAGTTCGCCTACAACAACGCGGTGAATGCGTCCACCCAGCAGACCCCGTTCCAGGCCAGTTACGGTTATCATCCACAGCTGTTTCCGGATGTGCTGTCGGCATCCGCGGTCCCTGCGGTGACGGAGTGGCTTCAGGAGCTCCAGTCCCAGCAACAGCTGTTGATGGAGCAACTGCGCCAGGCCAAGGAGGCGTACAAGGCCCAGGCCGACCGCCACCGCCAGGTGGGGCCGGAACTCCACATCGGTGACCTGGTATGGCTCTCCACTCATCACCTCCACCCCACTCGACCTTTGCGGAAGCTGGACGCCCGTTTCACCGGCCCGTTTCCCATCGTGGACCAGGTCTCGCCTGTGGCATTCCGTCTCCAGTTGCCTGCAACCCTGAAGGTTCACCCGGTATTCCACAGGTCCCTTCTGAGTCCGGTGGCCCCACCCGACGAGTTCCACCCGAACCGTCCCCGACCGCAGCCAGTTTTGGTTCAGGGGGAGCCTGAGTACGAGGTGGAACGCATTCTGGACTCCCGATACCGCAAGGGAAAGCTGCAGTATCTCATAGACTGGAAGGGGTATGGACCGGAGGACCGTTCCTGGGAACCAGCAGCCAACGTCCACACGCCTGCCTGCCTCCGAGATTTCCATGCAGCGTACCCCAGCAAGCCGGGTCCAGACCCTCGATTGAGGGGGGGGGCCTGGGAGGGGGGATGGTGTGATGGCCTGGGATTCCGATTCAGAGGCTGAACCGGAGGAATCCCAGCCTGCACAGGAGTCCCCGCCTCCAGGGCCGGCTGCACTGGGGCAGGGCCTTGATTCTGAAGTGCCTGCACCTGTGCCGGATCCTCAGGAGCAGGCACCAGGTGAATCCACTCTGGCTCCGGAGGTGGTTGAGGACTCAGTGCCTACAGGTGAGTCTCCCCCTGGGTCCAGTAACCCTTCAGCCTCTCCTGAACTGCAGAGGCTCAGGGCAGAGAGGCGAAGGGAACTGGTTTCTCCCAGGAGGAGTGCTCGCCTTAAGGCCAGGAGAGGCGGGTCTCCTGGGGGCCGGGACCGCCCCTGGCCTCAGAGAAGATAAAGGCCAGTCAGCCCGGTCCCAGGTTGCGGGAGCAACGTCGTCATTGAGTACCTGCTCCTACCCGGACCCAGACCTGACCTTCCAGTGTTCCTGTTCCCCGCCCGGCTTCCTGCTTCTGACCTTCCAGTGTTCCTGTCCCCGCCCGGCTTCCTGCTTCGGACCTCGCCTCGCTGCTTGTGAACTGGTTCCAGGCTAGTGACTCAGGACTGGACTTTGACTACGACAACGGTAACCTTCCCCCCGGGACTAGCACATAACCAGAGCTTAGGTATTTTTCATTGAGTGATGCGTAGATGTATACACCAGGCAGGTGTGGGCTTTTGATTTAGGCAAGGTGGAAGCAATTGTCTAAGTGACACCTGTATGGGAATTCTAAGAGAGTTCTATGTAAAACAAAGAACAAAATCTCTCACCCTGGGTAATGGTTCAGGTGGCTCACAAACACAGGTACAATTTAAATCCTTTTTCTGTCTAACGCTAGACATACTGACTGAGATCAAAGCTCTCATTTCATTTTCATCAAGTGGCACAGCCTTCAGGTCCATCTGAAATCAAAATAAGGATAGATTATCAGATATGGCCAGCTTTGTCTACTGGAGAGGTTCTGAGTAGGGAGGGCAAACCTGTCATTTTCATTTTCTCCTTTTTAAATTCCAATTTTAAATTTGGTTCTCCACATTTCCACATCTGTTTGTGATTATTTGTTGTTGTCAAAGTCCTCATTAAAATTCATAAGCATTTAGTATGATTCTCCTAATACACACTTTGGTATGCAGCTTTGCCCGATATACACATTTTTGCAAAGAAGCGTTCTCTAATAGAATGCATTTTTTAATATTATTTTCACTAATATGTGTATTATATGCACAAGTATATGCACTTTTGTGCACACTACAGAATAAAATTCAGAAAAGTGCAATTTTGGAAGGATCTTTATCTGATAATCATTTGGAGGGCACCATTTACCTTATGTAAAATGTAGGATTTGAAATGTTTCATATTTGCAGTTGAAATGGAGGCACAGCACTGGAACATTTTCACCCCCTGAATCTCTATAGCCTAAAAAGAGAAATAAAATTTAAGTCTTTCTTAGTGGAACCTGCAACAAAATGTTGCAGTGTGCAGTGCTCCTGTTCAGGATTCATGCTGCGATCTTTCTCAGAATACAGTTTACCATTCCTCTGTAGCCCCACGAGTCCATCAGCATTCATTGCCCACTAAATACGCAGAATCACAGCAGAACTGTTTTTGGGTTTCCCTCCTCCTCCATGGATTAATTTTTATCTCCGCAAACTTTCCCCAGTCCTACCAATACCTTTCTCCTGTGCATGGATGACACCATTTGGCTACATAATTCACATTTTTATTGAGATTATTTGCTAATATACTGGCACCTTGCAAAGAATAATAATTTGCACTTTGGTATGATCCAATACCAGAGGAAGCCAGACATATAAAACAACATTTGGACCATGCAGAGATTGAACAGAGTACATAACACAACATTTGTACTACAAATCTGCTTTCATTGTTGATGTCAGGGTCACCAAGCTATAGTTGTTAATTAAATCCTGTCAGAAGGATCACTATGCTGTGTATTTTCCAGAGATACTAGTGGGGTTCCTGCAACACTGTCTTTTCAAGTATGGCTCTTCATTACGAGTCATAAAGGTGGTAATTATACACAACACCATTCCTGGAATTAATTCAACCTGATGCGTCAGCTGCTAGTGTGCTAGTGAAGGGAACTGGTGGCAGCAAAGAATATTTATTCCCTCCTACCCTTACCTCAGCGTAGTCAGAAAAACTGCGATAAATATTGGTGTTTGGAATCTGACCCAGTGTCAACATCTTCATTCTGAAACAAAATGTTAAGTTAGATTGCCTTCTTAAAAATTGAGTAGAGCCAAACCTTTAACCAAGGAAAGAAACCATGACAGACATAGACAACTATCCAACTTTGAATGTAGTTTTAAAGAATGGAATGGTCACAAGCTTCCATTGAATTACCGGTATCTTGTTTATTTTCATGTCTCTCCATGGAGAGTGGAAAAGAGCAGGTAAAATCTTATCCTAATTTTGCTGTAGTATGGAAACAGAGCATTTAGTCAAATGTGCTGTATGTCTCTCCATAAAAATACATACAATATTGTTACTCCAGGCTCAATGCCAGACCGCAAGTTGTATGAGCATCAGTTATATCTGTAGGGAAGGTGTTTTATCATCCTTCTATCTTTGCCCTTGCTATGCGCAGATCAAAGAATACAGTGAGGATTTTTTCCTAGTTGGCTTGCAGAAACTCCTGCCCCTCCACCCACTCACTGTTTTCCTTAGATCATTGCTCAAAATCATTGCAAGCACCACAAATACATGTTAGTGTTTTCTCTTTAGTTAAGTCTATCTGACTGGAACCCAAGAAGAGATCCTTTCAAGTTACACATCTTCCCCAATTTGGGCAAAGCAATTATTGCCCAAAGCACCCATCTCCAAAGGTTTATAGCGTATGTGATCTTGTTCACGCTGTCTCAAGCCCCAATTGCTTGTGCTCTCTCTTCCACCACCCTGCTACCCCAATATATGGTGAGAGGATTTTACTAGTCTTTGCATTGAAGAACAATATACACTGAAGAACAATGCATATTCCAGGCATATTATTTGAGCTTCATGGCTTGCTCAAGGGTAAGGCCAGCTGGATGCTAATTTTGTGTTTTAGTTCACTTTGCACGCTGCTTATGTCTCCTCTGCTTCTTTACTCATTATAATATTTCATGGCCAGTAAACTTGAATTTTAGAATTTGTTGTATGCCTTGAGTGAGGCCACAAATGAGCTAAGGAAGTTAGAGAAGGCACTTTCAATTAATTAACCAAATGATAGTTATATATTATATCTAATTATATATAATTCATATACTTGCTAACTTTAAATTTATAGGATATACTCCTCCTCAAGAGCTTTTTGTGTAGCACCACTGCAGATCCAGCCTCCCAGTAGCAGCATCACTACTGCTTACCAGGATGGTGTGGCACAGGCTGTTGGTAAAGTCAGGTGCACCAACAGGAGCACTGGATTGACTCTGCCAACTCAGCAATTAGCACATCCTGGTATTGCTGAGCCCCTGCACCCTCACCATCCTGGCAAGTAGCAATGGTGCTGCTGCTGGGAGGAAGGTTCTGTGGTAGCACCCTAATGGCTACTCTTGATCCTCCTCTTTTCTTTTCAATAATCCTGTTAGGTTGCCACTCGCAACGGGACGACAAAAAGTGAGGCCGGAAGGCTGATGCCGCAGCAATTTAGGCTGCTAAACACGCCCCCTCGCAGGCACCTGGTTGGGTGCCTGCCCGTGGGCGTGGGCGCCAGCCAGGTGAGTGGGAGGCAGGGGGCTAACGCCCCCTGCTTGAGGCGGAGTCCGGCTCCCGACCACAACCACTCCCCTCTCTTGCAGGAGGAGAGTCTTTCTAGACACTTTTCTAATATACTCTGGTAGCAATATAATTCCCATTCTCCACACACACACTCGCCTGTAGCCCTATAATACAACACTACCATAGGAGACAGTACCTGTGTGACCGCACACTTATTATGAAGAAGGCAAATCCCATAGAAATTCCCAAGCCAATATCCAGACCAAGACAGATTACAGACAGAAAGGTCACAATCCAAATTCCCTTTAAGGAAAAATGAAACAGGGGCAATATAAGCTACTTAGCAGGGACAAAGTTGAAGATAAAACAAAGTACAGTGTCAATGTGACAAGACACCCCTCTGCCGTTTTTGGTATATAAAGAATAAAAAATCTGAAGTACTGATTATTTAAACCATGAAGATTTCGTGTTTGAATTTAGGGTACAGTTCTCAAAACTACTAGAACTTTGAAATGATCTATGCACTGTTAACATTACAGAGTCATGATGGTCTTGGTTTAATAAACAATAACTGATCCAAGAACAAGTAGTGTGCCTATGTGCTCCCTCCTCACCCCTCCTCCCATGCATGGCTTCAACAAAGCTATCCTAGCATTTTAAACCACAGTTTCCCATGATGTCTAAAACCAGCATCACATCTTGGTTTTATATGTACTGGTTTGGAGGGAGCCCTTAAACCACAGCTTCCTGGTTGGGAGGTGGTTACTTAACACCACCAGGAAAAACTTAAGTACACCTCTAAGCTTTGTTTGCATTGAGAAAATGTCACAAGGGGGAAGAGTTACATCTCTCACAGTTCCATGGTCCAGATCCACACTGGGACACCCCATGCCTGTGTTGTTGTTTTTAAAGAGATGTTGAGATCTGACAACAGTTCTCTGTCAATTTGTCTAGTTGGATCCCCAAATCATCTTGAGCAGCAGTACATGCAAATATATGTGTGACAGCACATCTACACTGGCATTGCACCGCTGTTGCCATGGTGTAACATTAGGTGATACCCCATTTAATTCCCCTCTCTAACCCCATGTGGATCATACGACACTTACAAAATCATATTTATCTTGCCTCCACAAGAAAGGGACATCCATAAATTTTTCAAGAAATGGGAACATGTTGACCAGTACAATAGCAGCCACAACAGCCTGTGGAAAAAACAACAATAACTGGCTATTCTTTTGCCAAGGATACACAGCTCATTTAAAATGGCTTTGTAGGAACAAACAGTTTTATTTGTTTAGCAAGCCAATGCTATATCACTATATCATGTTGTATAACTCTAAAGCCTCTACCATTATGTGTACATATTATAATTTTCCTACCACTTTCAGGTAATTTCAGAGGTGTTATTTCCACTAACCTAGTTCTGCCCAAGGTGGAAAGATGGTGCTATCCCAGGAGAAACCAACAATCCCTTGAGTTGCTTCTCCCTACATGTGGTAGAAACAGACCCAGAGAGCTATTCAAGGAAGCACTGTAGCTCTGCAGTCTCTCAGACACTTGCGAGGTCACAGAAAAACACGGAGGAGCTGCCTCTCCCCCACTCCAGGATCTTTAAGGTCAGAAGATGTGACTTTGCCAGACTCCACAGACTCAGAAGACAGTCTCAGTGCAGTCCACACCTTCCCCATGCTGTAGGAGCCAACAGAGCCCCTTTAATAATGGAGGTGGGTAAACAGTAAGGAAGCCCCTGCCAACTTCATAGGGCCTCAGCAATCTGCTCCTGTGTGTGTGTGTGTGTGTGTGTGTGTGTGTGTGTGTGTGTGAATGTTGGAGCCAGCGCCTTCCATGGTACTCTGTCCAGGGTCCTGAAAGACCATGTCTTGCTTATTTGATTCTGCCCTATCTGCTACAGCCATCTTCCCTATAGCCTCAAAATTGTGACACATTGAATGTGCCAACATTTACATGGCCAAAAGATGTGCCTTTTATATAATAGAATACAATAGAAATATGTCAAAGGTGTGGAATCAATGTTTACTGAAATAGCATTTCACATTAACTTACATTAGGAAGGTACTGGAAGTAGGTTCCCAGCTTTAACACAACTGCCAACATTAAGGAAACTCCAATGAGAGCTGCAAGCTAATTAAAAATAAATACTGCATTAGAAATGTGTTCTGGTACTGATGCTCCAGTGCTGAGTTCAGTGGTTTAAAAAATCAAAGTTTTTATCAGGTACAACAGTCCATCTTACTGAGAACACATTCAAAATGGTGACTTTGATGGAGGTTAAAACCTTGACATTTCAGTTTGTGTGGATAGGTATTTTTATTAATTGGATAAGAATGTAATAGTATAGAGCCTTGGATCTATAGCAGAAGTTTCAAAAAGCAAAATTATGATGTGTCAAATTCACCTATCACATACAGTAGTTAACCAATTTGCTTCTGGGACCAATTCAAGGTGCTGATGACTATTACATATAAAGTCTTAAACTATCTGGCACTAGGATATAGGAAATAAGGTAGCCAAGAGAGGTGTAGCTGGCAAGAACAAGCGATAGGACCTTTTTGATGGTGTTACTACAATTGTGAAACTCCATCTCAAGTCAGATTGGTCTCTTCTTTGCTGCCTTTTAGGTGAACATTTTTATTCCACCATTATTTATTCTCATTAAATAAACAACATCCACACTCCATTTTAAATAGGTTTATGTAAAATCAATACGTGTTGACTCTAAAGCTATTTTAGTTCCACATTCCACAGAGGAAAAAATAAGCCCTCATCAATAACCCTACTCAGACTTCCATTGAACTCAGTTGAGCTTGTTTCTGGTTAAACATGTTTTGGATTGCCCGTCCTATTAATGGAGGTTTAGAAGAAATGGTGGGTTTCAACAATCAACCAACACACCTGAGTTTTTCCACCTGTCTTCTCCTGAATAACAGTTGTAGAAAGAGCACAACTGACAGCAAAACTTTTAAAAAATGAACTGGTGACATTGCATAGCCCAATTGCCATCAAGTCCTGTAGGAGGTAAATAAAAATTAATCACAATCAGATTACAATGGTAAAAAATAATTTCTTTTGAAGTATGATGCATTTACAAATCTTAAAGGAGAATGCATGGGTAAAATTGTTGATGGGAACAGTGAAAACTATCCAATTTACCCAAGCATTTAATGTAATCCCACCTTTTTTTGGACATGCTACTTTTAATGGTTTTATCTATTGTGTCTTCTGCTTGAAACCTTGATTGTGAATTGCCTTGAGGACCAAATTAATCAGTTAAATAAATAAACAAACACTGGTGAATGAATTCTCTAATTATCATGTAACATATCCCAGTGTGCACCCCAACTTGCTTAGAGAACTAGTAATAACTAGAGATCTGCATCCTTTCTGCAGTCATCCTGCAAAACTACAGGAAATTATACTTAATCCTCATTGCTCTAATCTCCCTGAGCAACAAAATCTTCTCAAAGTTTCTGGCATATGACATTGAATTTATACCTGAGTGTGTCTGATGTGATAGTTGTGGATATTTCCATACTTCTTTGCCACAAAAATGAGAAGAAAATAGCTCACTATGGCCAGGGATGAAGCATGCAATAAAATCTTTTTCAGGTTTGAAAAGTCAGGTAATGTAGGATGCAGAAATCTGAAATAAGAAAGATTGCCTTCTTCATTTTTCAATGAACATTCCTGAGAACTCTGCCTTGTAGCTTTATTTAGGTACAGGATTTATTCTTTCTGTTTAAACACAAACACCTTTACTACCCGGTGGAGATGTCTGTAGTGAGAATTATGAGCTAAACCTTGAATGCTGCAATGAAATCATTTTATTGTTAGCTAACTTGGAAGCTTTTGCCAAAACATGGGGCACAAATCTTTTAAGCATGAAATAAATGAAGGTGTAATGATAGAAATGTCTTATAGAGGCATATGAGGTGGGCTTGTCCAGTGATTTCTCCATTTTTGGCCTGAAGTTGCCATCTGTATTCATCTTGTATTGGCAAAATCCTTTATATTAGCGGGTGTTTGTTACTTTCAAATTATAGTTTGTAGTATGGGGACTAATGGAAGGACAACGAAAATGGATTTTATGAGCTCTTGTCGTAACTAAGCAACTTGTACTTCAGGCCTGGGATAAATACTCACCATCTACTATAAAACAGATCTTAATGCCCTTGTTGCATTTGAACGCATGTTCTATAAACATCAACTTTATCTGAATATCTATTCAGATATTTGAATGGCATATATTGTCTTGATCTGTATGTGTAAATTAAGATGTATGTACTGATGTTTATTGCACTGTGAAGGTGAGCTGATGATTTTGCTTTTGTTTTTCCTATTTTTTGTTTCGGTTTTTTCTCTCTGTCTGCTTTTTAAAATAAATGCAATAAAAAAATCAATAAAAAACATAAAGTAACTTTTAACAGAAACTAGCCTGGTGACCCAGTGTTGTTGGAGAGGGAGCACCATAATAAATACAGGTTTCATGTTGACTGATGGTGCATGAACATGACTGACTCTAGGGGCACAAAACTATTTTCAGTGACCAGAGACCATTACTTTTATTCTTGATTATTCTTATTTCTTATTAATTAAATTTGTATACTGCCCTTAATCAGCAGCTCTCAGGGCAGTTGACAGCATAAAATACATAATAAAATACATAATAAAATAAATAAAATAAATACATAAAACACAAAATACATAATAAAAACAAGAACAAAACAAAACAAAAATCCCCCCTTCCTCCCCTTCCACAAACATGTTAATCAGCCAAAGGCTTGGTTGGAGAGGAAGCTTTTCACCTGTTGTCTAAAGGTGTATAATGAAGGTGCCAGTCCATCCTCCCTGGGGAGAGCATTCCAAAAACGGGGAGCTGCTGCCAAAAAGGCCCACCCTTGTATTGCAACCCTCTGGACCTCTTATAGAGGAGGCACACAAAGAAGAGCCTCAGATGATGCTTGCAGGGGACTTGAGGTTCATATGGAGAGAGGTGGTCCTAGAGGTTTGGTATCAAAAGCTACTGCAAGGTTGAGGAGAATTAACAAGGACACATTTCCCCCATCTCTCTCCCAACAGAGAGTACTTAATAAAGCAATATATTACGTAAGTTGTAGATTACCAACCTCTGGGGGGCCATTGAAAAAACTCCCATACTGGATTCAGCGTACATATGGGTGTGGGTGGAAAGTATGGTAAACACAATAATCTGTAAAAGAAAATGAAATTAACCAACAGATAATATTTTTTTTTTAAATGTACAATGTATAATATCTACCTACCTACCCACCTTGGAGCAGGTAACAAAATACTAACCAAGTAATTAGAAACACTTCCCTACAATTCCTACATCATGCTCTGATTAAAATTTGAAATTTCTCAGGAATACCATTTCACCTTCCCTGTTAGGGTCGCCATGTGTGTCCGTTTTACAGAGGACAGTCCTCTATCTGAAGAGATATCTGGTCAGATTTTAGAGATAAAGAACCTGAAGAAAGGAAAGCAGGAGCCTTGAAGGTACCTGGATAGCCAACTGAGCAGGCATATTGGCCGCCTGTTCACAACCTTCCTCAATAAGACAACATGTACTGTATTTAAATTATAGCGGCTATTTCTAAATCTGTATCCATGTGTACAAATATGCATATCCACATTTTATGCAAATCTCTTCTGTGGGGTGATGTGTACATATTCAAAGAGGATGCTTCCAACAATATGTTATAGGAATTTTAGAAAAGCTAACCTGAAATTCTAATGCCAACTCTAACATTGACTCTGCTTCAGACAGCCATGGCGACTGAGCCTACACTGAACTCACCCACTGAAGTCCAGCTTTGAGATTCCTCCGTGGTTCTGTGTTATTGCAGAAAGTGCATTGTGTTTGTGCTCTTTCACCATGGCCCCCTTTCATCAAAGGTCCCGTCTCATGAGAGCAAAGCCCATACAACCAGGTAATGTTGGGCATAGCTCCATGACATGCAAACAGTCTCTGGAGTTGTGGCTGGCACATGCAGGGCTTATATCCTGTTGTGCTGTGATTGGCAACTGAGAACGGCCATATCGCTTGTGCTCCTGTAATGTGGAGCTTCCAACTCCTGTAGAGTTGAATTTCATTAATCCTGCCCTTTCAGTTTTGCCCCATTCCAAAGGCAAGACTGGTGGGAGTTTGTAAGTGGCAAAATGTTTGTCCCTAAATGCACCCTTAGCACACCCCATTTTTAAAAATCTCTCTTCTGTTTCTTCACAGGCATCTCTTGTTCCTATCATGCTTTCCACTGGTATGAGGATGTGATTCTAACAGCATGTGGATTTTCTGTTGGTGTGGACCTATTTCCACCAGAGGTGTGTGTCCTCCTGCTCATCCTGACCCCTCCTAGCCAGCAGATCTGGTAGTTTCAATTGGTCCATAAGTGTGCCTAGGATTTCAGCCTTAGAGAAGCTGAATATACTTGGTGAACCTCTCCTCTCTTTACCAAAGCCTAAAGATAATACAAAGGTTCACGGATATTGTTCCTTGGACAGGTTCTGTGCTTAAAACACCACTCAGGTTATTTTCCATCTAGTGAGGAAATGACTGTCTGTGAAGCCTAACGTATTTCTTATTCAAAGAATGTAAGGTACCTACCAAAAGAAGCTCCATAGGAAACTCAACGGGACTGTGTTTGTAAGTTATCTTAATGCATTTGCTGACTCTCAGCATTAGTACAGATAGCAAGAAGAGCAGGATACTGGTCGAATTAGCTTTTGGGAGGCCCATGCAATAATACACCAAGTTCTGAGGGGGAAAGAAAATACTCAGCAGGAGGAATTTTTATAAGGGTTAATTAATTCAGTAGCATGGAAATCAAATTCAGTAGTATGGGAAATCACTAACATGCACACACAAAATATAGCAATTGCAGGCAAGTATGCTGTCTTCACAACATTGCTATACATTTCTGTATATTACAACAGAAGAAATCTGTATTCATCATTCATGTGTTCCACAACCAGGGATGGGGAATAAATTTGCAGAACTCAGATTCAAAAGCAGACTCAAATGATTTGATCTAGGTGGGTTATATTCCAGATTGGATCATGTGTCCACTTCAGAATCTGCAGTCCTTCTGATCCCTTTACAGTGCGGTCTAAGAGCTACAAACTGTTTCTGTCTCTCTCTTTATTAAAAACAAACAAAAAAAACCATCAAATAATTGTAAAGTTGGAATGACCCTAATTTAGTCCAACCCCCAGCAATGCAGGAATCACAACTAAAGAATCCCTGACAGATGGCCATCCAATCACTGCTTAAAAACCTCCAATAAAGGAGAGTCCACCACTTTCCAAGGTAGTCCGTTCCACTGCTGAACAGCTCTTATTGCCAGAAAGTTATTCCTAATGTTTAGTAAGAAACTTCTTTTCTGCAAGTTGAATCCATTGCTTCAGGATTTATTAAAATCCTGTTTTTAAAGGCTCAAGGAAGGTTATCCATCTGCCCACAACCTGGAGCAGCTATCATGCACAACTTCGGTCCACCCTGGGAGCAATGGGACTTGGTGGTGCTCTAACACTTTCAGATGGAATTGTCCAAAAGAAACATGGCTGACCTAAGTTAAAAAATAAAAAGTGGGATCCTATCTGCACCTAATTCCCATTTATGCAGTGTCCTTAGACTGTGCGTACAGCCCCTGTGTGCATCCAAACTTTACATCAGATGCAAAAAGCATAATCCTCAGTCACATATACATTTCTACACAAGTAAATACACTGGGAATGTTCAAGCACTCTAGCAAAATTGTGTAAGTCTGTACAGGGCATATCATGGCAAATTAGGTAGATTTGCCTTTAAATGGGAAGTGAATCAATTCCTTCTGCATTCCTACATCCAACGCATGAGGGAGACATAAGGGAAGCCTCTGGAGGGAACTGGTACTGCATTCATTTGCCCCCCCCCCCCCCAAACAATTCACAGACATTTCAACTAGTGGCTTACAACTTTCTGCTTGCAACTTCTTAAACTGATCTCCCTGTCCCCTGCCAAGAAACAGGATTAGCTTTGAGTAAAGGCTGGATTTACTCACGTAAAAAAATGCCAAGGGTCCTGAATGGAAGTCAATTACAATCCCAAAAATGAAGGAGAACTGGGAGATAATAACATGTAGCGCTGCTGCAGTGAGGTAAGCATTGATGAGACTTTCTGAAAGATATGTTGTGACAAAACCCAAGCCAATGCAGCACAAGAACAGCTGAAAGGAAGAGGGGCAAAGAAAGAAAATGGCACCTTTAAGGCCCAGTTGTACACCCCAACTTTCTGCAGTGCCGAGTCTACTTATAAAAGCTTGCCATATTACTTGCTTAGAGTTAGAGGCAGGCAGGCATTTTTCCAGCTGTCCATTCTGCAAGGAAGGCAGGAAGAGACTGTTCTGGGGAGTCTCCAAATTAGTCCACCCTTTCAGTTGCCTGAAGTAAGTCTATTGTTGCCATCCCCCACACTTTTCAGCAACCTCTTTCTATCTAACCTCGGAGACCATTGCCCCCCCCTATCCTCAGACCTACTTCCCGCCCTCCCTTATAATTCTAAACCTCACTCACACCCTACCCTGCTCTTAACGTCCAACCCTAAAGTAGGCACATTTGCAAATGAGACGAACAGTTGGAATCAATATAATTTCAGCATGGTGGGGGACCAAAGACCCTGTAAGTGCCAGGGAAGGGCTTCTGTGGGTGCATGTGCTTCTGCAGGCACCAAGTTGCTGATCCCTGGTTTAAGTTCTAAGGAGAAGCACGAAGGCACTGGAAAATGTTCACCTATTTAAAGTATCTGCACAAGATATCTATATAATCTAATACTCAGCTAATGTTAGTATATTTTCTGACCATAAGCCCTGTTCTCATGTTTCCCACCTATTTGATCAAGAGTGAAGAGGGATCATACTTGCTTGTCTTGTCCATATCCTCCTCACAGGGAGTGGAGTGTGAGAATGTGTTCTATATTCATACAACTCTATGTGGGATCTGGAATCTCAATTGTGGCACCTTTCCTGGTAGCAAGGACAGACCTAGGCATGCATAGCCTCTTCTCGTCCAATATAAAATGTACGTATGGAACATGGGAAGGGAAATATGGTTATATGGGGGAAGTGACTTACAACATTGAAACTGCCCAATGTACTGGTATTGAAGCCATATGCTATGTCAATCGTTAATTTCACGAACCAGTTTTAAGGAACGGAAAGCTTTCTGCAGAAAAATGTAACATTTCAGAAATGATAACCAATATCCAAGTGTGTTTCCTACCTGTATAATCCCAACCAAAAATGTCGTAGATGCAGTGTAAGTTAATACTTCCATATAACTGACCATAAACGCTGCATCTGAGAAGTTGGCCACACTTCCGTTAAATGGCATTCTTAAGTTGAGATTAAGGGTGTTCTGAAAATTTGCTACCATTGCATTCAAAATGCTGAAAGAACCTGTTACCAACAGAAGGAGAAAACCCAAAGCTAAAAACAAAGCAATTCCAACAACCACTTTAAAAATTAAATTTATATCCCACTTTTCCACCAGAGAGCTCAAGGCATAAAATGTCCATCGATAGGTTTCACAGTAGCAGGGCTGTGCAGAGCTGGTAACAGGCCCAGACCAGATGGGAAATGTAGGCCCCATTTCAATCCCCTTTGCCTCTATGGGGGGATTTGAGCAGTTGCCCTCAAAATTGTTGGCCCATGCCAATTGGACCCCCACTGTTCTGGCCTGAACAGATGGTATAAGGACAGCCAGACTCCCTGCACAGAAGGTATAAGGACAGCCAGTCTGCATTTAGGGTATATGACTGACCTGGGCTGCCAAGTGGTCGGAGCTATAACCTTGCCCCATTACAGCAGGAAGGGGAAACACTTTTTAGCCCAGGGACCACATTCCCTTCCAGGGGCCACACACTTACGGTGGGCAGGGACAGCCACTCTTAACTTTGTACAGTAAGCCACATGACAACCCTTCAACAGCTGGAAGTTTCACACACATATACCTGTCTGTATAGGCAAGGAAGAGGCGTCATCAGAGTTCTAGGACATATGCCAGCCAGGCAAAAATTGAGAGTGCACAGAACAGGGCCAGTGAGTGGTCTGGCCTAGGGAAGAATCCTGAAGGCTGGTTAGAGAGGCCCAGAGGGCTGTATTCAACTCATAGGCCAGAAGTTCCCCTTCCTGGCTCTACAGGGCTGCTGTCCAGGGTTGGCATTGTTGGGCACCTGCAGAAGCCTACGTCTCAGAATATGCCCCACTGGCACCTCTTGGCCCTGCCTCTGTTGCTCATTCTCTTTGATGTTCCTCTGCCTGTCTCCCCTAAGCAAGTGGACATTGGCAGGAGGAGCAAGGAACAATATTCTCCATTCACCTGGCTGCGTTGCAACAGGGCCCAAAGGGAGAGGGCGAGTGAATGAGAATTGGTGGCAGCAGTAAAGAGGAAGTGGGCCCAGTCAGGAAGAAAGCCTGCCAAGACCAGCTTGCTCAAGGGCCTCAGTAAACCTGGAGCTGGTGTTGTTCTTCCAGGTTCAGAGAGAAGGTGGTAATGGGGTTCTCCTTCCAACATACTTGCTACTCTCCTCTGCCATGCCAGGCAGTTTAAGCAGAGGTTTCCTAGGCCTCAGTCTGCATCATCCACTAGCTCACTCTACATGGGGTGGCCCATTACACATTGTCAAAGAAGAGGACATGCATCATTCCCAACAAACAGGTGAGGGCACAGATATGAATACATTTCCATACAGTAATGGCATGTATAGAGAAAATTATAATTAATAAATCTTGAAAAAGAAGATAATAATCCATTTTGACACATTATTAAACTGTTTTGAATATCTCTGCAAACCTTTTCACATGTTACAGGTTTTAGCAGGAAAGAGATCAAACAACACTTCAGTAAAAACAAGACAACTGATATTTAAGGGGCTTGGTGACTTGTGAGTGAAATATTTATTACCAATAAATCAAAATGAAACAGAAGATGATATGTCAGAAGACATAGGGTAATATCTAATGGTATTACTCATGCAGATTAAAGGCCCTTGTGATTCAGCAGAGATTTCTATCAACAAAATGGGGAGGGAGGCAATTTCTCCCAATTTCCTGTCCCACTACAATCCCCCACACCACCTCCCACACTGTGCTAAAGGGTCAGCTAATTCTTTGGAGCAAATTTGGGAGTGGAGGGGCTTCAGAGAGGAGGGGCCATCAGCAAAATTCTCCTCCCTCCTTCTTCTACTGATAGAAGCCTCTGCTGAAGCAAATAACCTCCTATCCACATGGATATGACCCCTAGATTAATAAAAACAAAGTTTACAATCTCTGTTGGCAAACAGTACATTCCCTAGAAGATTGAAATAGCCGGGCAGAACAGTACTCACCAATGGACATATGACGTGAAGTTCCAAATATGACATATGCTAGAGAGCAGCAAAATGCAGAATAAAAACTATTGATAACTGGTAGAGGTAGTCCGGTTATCACTATTCCTGATAGCCCTGGAAGAATGTGTTTTACAAATAATGTATCAAAATTATCAGACAGATTGTGTCAAAGCAGACAGTTCATTAAGTACTGGAAGCAAGCCAAGCCTAGAATAAGTGATAAATTACTCTTATAGCACTTTTCTGTACACAAAGTGCTTTACAATGGTCTCAACAGGAGTTTTTCCTTAAGGCTAATTTCAGTGCAAGGGGTGATACTAATTTGAATTAAGGAACCTTCCCTCCGTGTATGCTGTGCTTCCAATGTAACTGCAGCCATACCCTCTATAAGTGAATAAAAAAAACTTCCCTGGCAGGCTTCCTAGTTGGGCAATTAAAGTAAGGTCTTCTTTTGGCCTTCAAAGTCCACTTCTTCTCCCTCCTGAGTCTCTTTGGCCTCTCTTTTACCATACTTTTAAAGCACAGCTAATGCACATTAAAAGCACATGACCAAAAAGGTTGGGGACTGTGATTTCTTAAGGGCATTGGGAATTGTAGCTGTTTGATGGGGAAACCACAGTTTGCAAAATTCTTTGAAGGGCAGTCAGGTGCTTTAAATACATGTTGGATGTGCTTATGGCATTGATCTGCCTTTCCTTTCGGTTTGGCTTTCTCGGTCAGCCGTACACAAATAAAATTATAAGTAGCACAACATTTAATGACTCCACTTATCACCTAGGAGTCAAGGAGCGGTAAAGGAGAAGATTCTCTAGCTCCCATATTTTCTGGTCTGCCAAACAGAGGACTACTTCTCCTCTGGAGTAAGGTAAGGGCAGGGCTGGCCCAGGATGTTTCGCTGCTCCAGGCAAAACTGAAAATGCCCCTCCTCCTCTGCCCAGGTATTCAGAGAAAGATGGAGAGGAGCAGGTAGTGTGTGGCAGGTGCATGGGTGGGAAGAGGGTGTGTGGTGGTTACAACAACCATATGCTGGCACCAGCAGTGCCCCTCTCAGCTGTCTGGAGCCTGCCACCTTGTGGTGACCGATTTCCCATGCCTCATGGGCAGACCAGCCCTGCATAAGGGGGACTCCAGGGCAGGGATGGAGAACCTGCAATCTTCCAGATGTTTTTGGGCCAAGCTCCCATCACCCCTGACCATTGGCTGTGTTGCCTGGGGCAGATAGGAGCTGGAGTCTAGCAACATTTGGGGAACCCCAGTTTCACCACCCCAGCCCTAATACTTTTTAAGCTTGTGTTATCCAAGGGTGGAAACTCTTAAGTATTTCCTAAGGGAAAGGGGAGAGAACTTAAAATAAATAATAAAGACAGCTTGTTTACCTTGAAAAATCTGCACCATCCCTACATTTATGCCAGCGTGTATGTCTCCTAAAATCCATTCAGTGACACGATATGAACAAAGCCAGTTTAGAAAGGGAAACACATTGAGAATGAACTTCCGGAAGAGTACCCACGAGAATCTGAAACAAATTGAACTGTGCTGTTTTTAAGAAAAAGCTTTGCAACTCATCAATTGGATGACTTTCTCCACTAACTAGAGCGACACCTTTGTGGATTAATACTTCTCAGCCCTGTGCTTTCATTTATGTTTGGTGACAAATGCCAATATCCCTGATGCCTTTAAATTGTGTTAAGCTTAATATCAATTTTACATCCATGTTTGCAAAAAAAATAAAAAATAAAAATGTGAGGGTTTCATTCCAGGAGACAGAAATTCTGAATACATAAACGTCGTAAGAATGAAAGAAGAAGCTGCTGGATCAGGCCATTGGCTCATCTAGCTCAGCATCCTGTTCTCACAGTGGCCAACCTGATGCCTGTAGGAAACCAACGAGCAGGACCCAAGCACAAGAGCCCTCTCCTCTGATTTGCAGCAACTGGTATTCATGGTTAGTAGCCCCGATAGCCATATCCCCTATGAATTTGTCTAATCCTCTTTTAAAGCCATCCAAGTCGGTGGCCATCACTGCCTTTTATGGGAGTGAATTCCATAGTTTAACAATGCACTGTGTGAGTAAGTACTTTATTTTGTTTGCCTTGAATCTGCCAACACCCAGCTTCTTGGGATGTCCATAAATTCTAGTGTTATGAGAGAGGGAGAAAAACCTTTCTTCCTCCACTTCCCCACACAATGCACCTCAGTCACGTCTCCTCCTATTTGCCATTTCTCTATACTAAAAATCCTCAAACTTAATATATCCTCATGGCGGGGGGTGGGGGTGGGAGCTGCTCTATCCCTTGATCATTTTGGTTGCCCCTTTCTGAACCTTTTCCCAATTTTACAGTATCCTTTCGGGGGTGAGGGAACCAGAACTATACACAGCACTCCAAATACAATCACACCATCAATGCATTATCAGCAGGAATTTGCTTTTTCCACAGCTGCCACACACTAGGTTGACATCTTCATTGAGATGATACTGACAGTTCTGACTCCATAAGTGTATATGTGAAATTTAAGGGTCTCCCCACCCCCCAATATGCATCAGTTTTTCTGGAAAATGAATATTTTTAAAATCGTGTGAAATTTACCCTAATAAACACATTTTGGCCTGCAGTTTCAACTAATATACACATTTTTGCAAGCAATTTATCCTCATATAATGCATTTTGGTATGCTGTTTTACTAACATATTCATTCTTATACACATATCCCCCTAATTTTGCATTTTTGTTTGGTTAGAGAACTGCATCACAAAATTCAGAGGCGTGCAACTTTAGGAAGGATGGCTCTGCTTCAGTTCTCATATTGTTTCGGAAAGCATGAATTTGATACATTTGGCTTTAAATACGAATTGAATCCTATTTCTCCCCCTTCCCCAGCCACTTCTCTTAGCTCACAATACATTTGTAGGGAGGAAGGGAGGTGAACGACTGGCGGCTGCAGAATGAAGCAGTAGGAACTGCAGCGGTGGCCTTTTGAGCCATGGGGCCATTTGCAGGCAAAGTTTGAAATGGTCTGATGTTGGTCTTGGAATTCATCACATGCCACTATTGATCTAGTCCAGGGGTTGGCAAGGTTTACCTTGCCTGGGCTGGTTCACTCCAGCGGAGATCCCTTTCTGGGCTGGATTACGCGTGTATGTGAGCGCGCATGCCCGCCACGGTGTCTGCGCAGACACAATTTCGGGCATCTGCGCATGTGCAGACACAATTTCCGGCACCTGCATCTGTGCAGCCACAATTCTCGGTGTCTGCGCATGCGCGATTTCCAGCACTGCAGAAGCGAGTCCTCGCGCCACCCTGGTTTAGCACAGCGCACGGGGACTCGCCAAGCAAGTGGCTCGGTTTGGGGGCGGCTCGTGGGCCGGTTAAAGAACCCCCGTGGGCTGCTTGTGGCCCCTGATCTAATCCTTATCCATGCCATTTCATTGCTTTCCTCTCCTTGGGCCACTCCTTGGGCAAGTTTAGCTCTGCAGGCAGGAAGAGGAATGGATATCAGATGCAACGGATTCAACCCTCAGGGTGCTTTCTGCATTCCATTGCAAAGTTTTTCTCTCCCAGCACTTATTTAATTTCTCCTCTGAATGCCTTACTTCAAGAGGAGTTCTGGGATCCTTATATGTATCCTTATGTTTATCCATTCCAATAAAAGGGCTCTTCTCCACATAGCTCAGGGATTGGTAGTTGCCTGAAATTTCATTCTAACTATGTATGTGTTTTATTCATGGTGTAAGCTCTGCAGGCACAGCTTATAAATAGTGCTAACATTTCTAATATATACAGGAAACGGGGATCTATTTGGGTTCAGTGCTTTTGCTGCTCACTTATAATATAAAGTGTCAATGGTAATCTTCAAAGGGATAGGAGTCCCAGTTTACAATACCTGCACTGGATTTTCCGCCTTGTTGGAGGGGTATCAGGTTCCCTGGTGGATGTGGCATAAATCTTTTGGTCATGATCTTGTTGGAATTCTTCTTCATTGTACACTTTTCGGCTGATGTGGTATGTCACCCTCAGTGGCTGTCTCTCATTCACAATATTCTCATTTGAGTCCATTTAGTCACAGTGGTTCTAACATATTAACACAAAAAACCAATGAGATCAGGAGAGTTAATCCCCTGCCACTTCGTAAGGTTTTTGAAATCAGAAAGTTATAGTTATAGCAGGGGCAAGCCTGATCCCGGAGACTGAAGTTCTCAGTCCACAAAGCAAAACCAGGCCAACTGCTGATCAGTGTATCCACCACATAGTGGTGGAAACATAGTTCAAGAAGTCTCAGATATGAAATATGATAGCCTGGTAAAGAGAAGGCCTGATTTTTATTTACATGCCAATAAACATTGGGGGCGGGGGGAGAGGTTTATCTGTACTAGCAGCTCTCTGGTCACCTTGATTATATATAAACTAATGATTAAAATTTAAAAATTCAGAATTTGATGAAGAAAAAAACTAGTTTTCCTAATATGCCTTATAAAACAATGTATTGTCCCATTATTATTATTATCAGGGTGGCTTTTCCTGAAGTTCCCCACAGCAAATGCATTAAACCTAACTTAACCCAATATATTATTTCTATAGAATTCATCTTAAAACTTGTGCCTGCAAAGGGTTTCTTTTTCTTTTTCAGAACTGAGTTAACAAGAAGAGAGGAAAAAAATATATTAGGGGGCTCACATGAAACCAGGCAAATTATACTTTTGTATGAAATATTTAAAAGAACGGAGAATCAATGAGGCAGAAAGAGATGGAAATAATTTTACATGGTCTTGTTAATGATTTTAAGATGACCTTGGAGGTTGATAGGCAGATGTTATTTGAGATCTATTGATCTATTTTGTTAAAAAATGTCATTTGTGGCGAATATCCTTTAAAAAGAACCAGTTACACAAATAATGAAAATGTCAAGCCTTAATACTTAGTGATATTTGTTCCTGGAAGATGGATTGGCTGGCTTCTAAGAACTATTCAGTACTTCCATCCAGTGACAGAAAACAGAAGTGCTGTTCTTTGTGGCAGTCCTTTCAGCGTAATTGAGAGAATTACATTCATGAATCAGCCAAGAAAGAAATAGAATAGAAGGATCATTAGGCATTTCATTATCCTTTTTTATCCACTAACACAGATTTTAATTATTATTATTTTTGATCAGCAATAGCATGGAAGGTGCCATTGGGGGGGTGTTTGATTCACTCCTTTCGGAAAATCAAAAAGCTTCTGGATAATCTGCCATCACAACATGAAGAATAACTAATAATTTCCCACAAATTCTAGATGGTTTTTTCATATTAGTGCAACAGCACCTATGGGCTGGTTATATGAGAAACACTGAAAGAGGATAGAGGATAAGTAAAAGGATAAAAATAATTGTATTTATATTCTATCTGGTAGTTATAAGAACTACAACTGAACTTTAAGAATTGGCACCTGAATTTGCTTTTCTTGCCTCCCCCTTCCTCTTTCCTTTTGTGCTGTGTCTTCCAGGCAAGCTGGTGGGTAGGGACTCTCTTGTTTAAAATGACTGCGTAAAGGCCCCTCTGGGAGCCTTCTTGGCTGAAGAGTGGGGTACAAATGCTCTAAATAACAAAGAAATAAGTTGAACAAGAACATGAGAGAACATGTTCTTAAAGGACTAATAAGAAAAGTTTGCTTTGTGTTTGGAAACAATTAGAACTTAAAAATTGTAGCACTGCCATCACCACTCTCATCAGCCTTTCTCTTTAATAATTATAAACTCAAAGTGGCTTGCCAAATTAAAATCTAAGCTTTAACAGCAAGACATAGCAGAGAAGTTTTTTTTAAAAAAAACCCAAAAGTATTTAAGAGTAATAAACCAGATTTATATCAGTAGTGGATTGGCAGGGGAATATGATTATCTCCTTTTTTTGTAACAAAGTAGTATTTGCTTATATCAGATGCCCCCCACCTCCAGTATACAGAAACTGCTACCCTATCCGTGAGGGGTCCTGTTTTGTGGCCCTACTGGTTAGCTCCAACACTGCTGCCTAGTTAAAGGTATGTGTTCATGGTCCCTTTTCCAAAATGAATTGCAGGCAGAAGAGGTTTTTTCCATCCCCGAGGCAGGTGAATACCTGCTCTTTAATGTGAAAGAGAAAAAGGGGTTGGGGTCCTATGTTGTGTTGCAACAAGAAATCCCCCCCCCCACTTTTTGTTGCTAGCGCCTGACTTATTTTTTAAAATCTTTAACGGTTACAACATTAGCCCAGTTTAATATCCTACTTCCTCTTGTTGTTCACTTACCATTCTGGATGATTCAGCTCCTTGATCTGCTACTTTCCTTTTTGTAGCTACGTTACTCGTTTCTCTCTAACAGTTAGAACAGTTTAGAACCTCTGTGTTCTTTTAAATAGCACCAGTGGCAGTCTGGCACTGGGACTGAGCGTTCTGTTGCATGATGTAAACATTTCCCAGGCTTCCATAGTTCCACTTGATGGTGCTAACAGTTGTCAGTAATGCCTAATTTTCTGCATTAGTTTAGCATTTCTGTTTGAAGATTATATCCTACAATTTTGCATCCGTGTGTGCCCTGGCATGGATGTGTTCTTTGTTTTTTTCCTTTTTATTCTTAATGTCACCCTGATGTTGAGCATTATAGAAGTGAACTGGGAACATACTGCTTAATTAGGTACAACCTCAGAGCAATATAGTAAGCCTGCAACTTGTACACATTTAACTTATGTGCTTTATAGAAGCCAATGGGTTTTGACTATACACACAATTTTGACTTTGCTTGTTGTTGTTTTTACTTTTTGGGTTTTGACTTTGGGCACAATGCCCTGAACATAACCTTTGCAAAAGTTGTGGCCTTACTGCATAGCAATTTCCTGATAGTGCTAAAGCTCTGTGCTCCAGCTGTAGGGTGACTTGCAGCCTGTGTAGCACCAAAGTTCACTGCTATTGCCCTAAAGTAAAACTGAGATAATATGACTTTGAGATTTAGCTGAGTAAACAAACAGTTCCCTGGATAAATGGGTGTGGGTGTGTGATTTAGGGCAAATTCCTTCCTTACCCTCAGTATTTTTGGCCCACCTGACTTTAGCGCTGTAGAGCTTTACAGTGGTACCTCGGTTTAAGAACAGCCCTGTTTACAAACTATTTGGTTTACGAACTCCACAAAACTGGAAGTAGTTTGAGAACTTTACCTTGGTCTAAGAATGGAATCTGAACAGTGGAAGGGCACCGGCGGCGGGAGGCCTCATTAGGGAAAGCGCGCCTCAGTTTAAGAATGGTTTCTGTTTAAGAACGGACTTCCGGAACAGATTAAGTTCGTAAACTGAGGTACCATTGTACTTCACAGTTTGGTTAACCGCTGTCTTAGCCCTTATACCAAGAACTAAAGCCCCAATGTGACAATGTCCTAGAACACTATTTAGACTTACAGTGTGCATTTTGTAACACTAAGGATACTTAAAGTGCATTTTGTAATTACAAGGCTGAAGTTCATCCTGGTTATGGGGTACAAGATTTTAGAACGAGCCAATGTTTGTTTTAAGGGCAGGGCATAGGTAAAGGTAAAGGACCATTGACAGTTAAGTCCAGTCGTGAATGATTCTGGGGTTGCGACACTCATCTCACTTTACTGGCCGAGGGAGCCAACGTTTGTCCACAGACAGTTTTTCCGGGTCATGTGGCCAGAATGACTAAGCCACTTCCAGTGAAACCAGAGCAGCGCACGGAAATGCCGTTTACCTTCCCGCCAGAGTGGTACCTATTTATCTACTTGCACTTTGACGTGCTTTCAAACTGCTAGGTGGGCAGGAGCTGGGACTGAACAATGGGAGCTCACCCCATCACGGGGATTCGAACCGCCAACCTTCCGATCGGCAAGCCCTAGGCTCAGTGGTTTAGATCACAGTGCCACCCTCACTTCTTTATTTATGCTGTTTGTCACAAGGCCTGCAGCACTGTTGGGATCAGACTTGCGTTGGCAGGTGGATGTAGAAACCGGGAAGGGAGGGCTGACGGGTGGGAACTGGGGTTGGAGGTGGGGTGGGGCTCTCTCTGGTCCCCCCCCCCCGACTTCAGCCGCTTTGAAAGAGAGGCAAGGTGGTGCCTGATGCTCCATATATGGAAGTCAACAAAATCAGCAGTGAAATGTGACTTGCAGTACTGGCACTAGGATGGCACCCTCCATGGCACCCAAGAGAAGGAGGCTAGGTTAGGGGGTGCATACCTAGCTCTCTCCTCTGGTAGAGGGGAATCCGTGACCCCGAATCTGCCACCAGAGGCGGTGGCCTCACTTTGCCTAATGGTAGGGCCAACCCATAACTTATCCTGAGTCTAGACTGAAGTGTGTGCACTTTTGTCACCTAGCACCAGGTGCCACCTCCACAGTTCAGAGCTGGTTCTTAGCTACCCTGATCTCCTTCTTACCCTGCCTCTTCCATTCTTGGATCAATCCAAAACTATCCGTGTGATCCCAGGGTGGTTGATTCCGGGGCGTCTTTTGCTTATCAAATGTCAAAACTGGAAACCAGGTGTCCAAAGATCGTGGTCTGTCACCTCACCGTTTTAACTGCGTTGGTTGGACCAGTTTTTCAGACGACGGCAATCTTCCAGGCTGCTGCAGCCTGCCAGACCTGGCTCCTCAAACGCAGTTGGGCGCTGATGTGGATTTATTCGTACCCATGAATGGGACCCTCCAGACAAGAAAAAGGGTCTGGAATAACGCCTGAAATGGTTTCTCTTGAAATCCCCTCGACGCTGCGCCGAAGCTGCGTGATCCATCCCTTTCGCTTCCCTTCACAGGATCGCTGCTGCGTTAGCAATGGCCAGAAGGCTCAGCCGGGCGAGGGAGGCGGGGCGTCGCACAGGGCGAGCGCGGGAGTGGCGGGAGAGGGAGAAAGAAACCCTCCGCCTTGGCGACAGCAGACAGTCCGTCGGGAGAGGTGGAAGGGGGCGCGCCTGTGGCGCCTCAGAAGTGGCAGGAAAGGCGAGCCGACTCCTCCTGCGCCCTCGGGTTGCGCCTTTCTTCCTCCCTTAGCGCGGGCGTCTTTTACCCGCTCTGCCTCCGGCGCGCGGTTCCTTGCTCTGCGGCGCCTTCGATTCCAGTTCCCCGCCCCTTCTGACAGAAGAAGCCGAGCTGCCTCGCCGCAGACTCCGCTCGCTCGGCTGCACCATGAGCGCCGACTGCACGAGTTACATGAACGCCGACAAGGTGCTGGTCAGCGCCTTCAGCTGCCCGGGGGAGGACGGCGAGCCCGGCTCCATCTACTGTTGCGGCTTCCAGGACCTCAAGTATTGTTGCGATGACCCGAACAGCTTCTTCCCCTACGAGCACAACTACATGTGGTGGCTCAGGTGAGACGAGGAGGCAGGCTGGGGGGCTGCCCGCCCAGTCCACCACAGCCAAGACCCTTTGGTGTGAGTGTGTGTGTGGAATTAGTGGAATGCGCTCTGCACACGCTCAGAGGTTGTAGAATGATTCTGTGCCCGTTTCAGTGTAGCCTTAGCACCAGGCTAAGCTTTGGCACTAAGTTAAGTTGAGCCACTAGCAGAGAGGGAATGTGTGTGGCAGGGGTGTGAATGTGCAAACTGGGAACTTTCTGCAATCTAAACCGATTGCTTAGAGCTTGTATTATTTTAGGAGGGGATTTTTTACCCCTGTTTTAGCAACCTTGTAGCAGCAGCAGTGTGAGAGGATCGTCACTTTGCAGCGAGACAAAGAGGTATGCTCAAGAGACGACTTAACATATAATACCGTAATTTCCCCTCTTGTCCTTTGAATCATTGTATATCTATTACTGGCAACAACCAGGGTGACAAAAGGATGGGTTCTCTGAGACTCCAATGCATGCCTTTTCATTAACTCTGATTAATATTAGTGGTACAGAACAGGAGAATGGTAGCTACTAGCCTAGTCTAATTAATCCAAATGAAAGATTTGTCTCTTTGTAGAAATAACTCATCATTAATAATTGGCGAAAGAGTTTTCTTAACAAGAATCTGATTTGGTTCAAACTTAATCCAGGTGGTTTTAGGCAAGTCATGTTATATTCACAGTGCAATCCTATGCATTTCCACTTCGAAGTAAATCCCGTTGAATTCAGTGAGGCTTACTCCCAGATAAGTGGGTACAGTATAAGCTTGTAGCCTCCATGTTGCATTTGCAATATGGATAGTGTAGCTGTGGCAAGGCTTTGTGCAGCCTTGGAAAAGTCCACCTGAGTTAACAAGCTGAGGGGGCAGGGGGAGGCAGAATCTCTTGTCTAGTCCTCCAATATATTATTGTATTTACTTGTGCTCAAAAGAGGAACAAACTATTGTAGAGGTTTCCCTGCCTGGTTACCTGGAGGTGATTAATAATTGTCACAGGCAACCAACCCTGTGAGTGGTTTACAACAAGCCTGTACTAATACACAGAAAACACTTTGAACACTTTTAAAAAAGTTATATGTTACTGCTAAGTTTGTATGAGTAAAAGATAAAAAGATTTCTCCAATCTGAAGAGAAACCAAAGTATTGAATAAGTTTATATTTTTAAGGAGTATCAACTGTGATCACCTGGATATTGAGTAAAAGAGTATTTGCAAATGACATCTTGTGGGTGGGATCCTGCCTCCCCATCATGTGTTCAGTGACACCTACTGTACATGCAGACATCACTAAGTACTGTGGCCAAATAAGTAGCTCCTAGGAGGCATAGCCTTGCAAATGTATCATCAAAGTTGAAGCTTTCTGGAGCTTAAAACTGTCATAGTAAGCAATTGTGAGTTTTAAGGCTTAGACTTCTGACACCATGCTGAGTTATTTCAGAAAAGTAGACAGACCAAATAGCTACCGACAAGAACAGCTATTTTATTGTCATGACTAGTCAAAAACAGCAGCACTTTCAATGCTGACAGCATTATTAGGGATGGGATGTCAACTATGGTTGGAATAGCAACATAACACTTAAAGTTCCTCATTACACTCTCTCCTCTGCCAGTTTCTTCCTCAGAAGTAACAGATGCCATCTCAAAACAAGAATATCAATCATCAGTGACTGAATTTAGGTACTAATCTATGCAGGCAGATGGTGCTACTACATTTCATGTGAGAGAAGTCCACCTCACAGAATACAAAATTTCTACAGCAAAGGCTGTGTAGGAATTAAATTCCTGTGTAGGAGTTAAAAAGAAACCTGCGGAATTTCACTTTTTTCATATTAAAAAGTAATAATTTTATACAAAGGATCATTCAAAATAATGATCCTCCGCATGTGGTCTGAAGTGGTACAGTCCATACCTTGGGACTCTACACCTGTTTCTGTTGCATGCGAAGACCAGACCAGCAACATGGAATCTACAGTGGGGGCCTGTGGCAAAACATTTGCTTCAGCACACCACTTCTGTTTTAGTCCATTTAGAACTGAATATCACAATGGGTGTGTGTGGCTGACAGGCATATTGTCCTTCCTGCAGCAGAAGGTTGGACTAGATAGCTTCAGTCCCCTTCTCTCTCTCTGAGTCTATGTTTATCTCCCCGGGAATAGTGAAGGAATGTGTTTGCTGTAAATTGCAGGTCTAGCAACAAAAGGCTAGGATTTATTCTTGTAGAAGGAAGGTGTACATGCAATGTTTTTCTATAGGCATTTTGCATATCAATACTTCCTGTACCTAATAAATGGGGGGAGTATCAGTTTGCATTTTCTCAGTACAGAAAGTATTGTTCTGATGTGTAAAAATCTTTCCTATTCTACTTAATTCAAGAGGGTTCTGGAAGCTTCTCTGTGTGAAAGAAACAAGCAGAAGGTTCATGATGTTTGGGTTATTCCTTCAGAGAAGCTGAGTACAGCTGGTTTAAACTGGATCTCTTTTCTGTCAAGATCATGCTGACTATAAAAGTAAGGCCAGAAGGAGCCTGGGTTTCAGTTTCTCTTTCTTTCTCTTTTCCTTCTGGTGTGGTGTTCTGTATATAGTGTTAAGTTTTAGTCTTATTATAAGTTATTGTAACTAGATTTCTTATGGACAGTGCCAATCCTGATTGTATTGGATTTGTGACCATTATGCTCATTTGCCTTCAGTAGCAGTAAAGCTCTGCTGGATAAAATACAATTGCCTCTGATCTATTTTTTGGGAATCCTGCATAGTGTTTAAGTTTTTACTCTGCTAACTATACGTTGGAGTTCTGCTCTGGATCAATAAGAGTAGAATTTCATGACAAATTCAGTTCCCATGAGAATATTAAAGACAAATCAGTTTATCTCTATTCTGTCAAATCATCTGTCTTCCTTCTTTAAGTACATGTGATGCTGATGATTTCTTGTTGTGGTGGGCTTGACAATGCTCCTAGAATGTCCAGCACATTAAATTCTGTTGCTTTCTTTTCTCAGTGTTGGAGCACTTATTGGCTTGTCAATTGCAGCAGTGGTCCTGCTGGCTTTTATCATCACTGTGTGCGTTCTTTGTTACTTGTTTATCAGCACGAAGCCACAAAGCAAGCTGGATAGAGGCCTCAGTTTAAGCTTACAGTCAGCAGGTAAGAGCTCTTCATTCAGCAGAGAACATTCAGATGTTTCTTTAGTAGTTCCAGGATTCCTCACCACCTGGGTTTTTAAATTGTTCTGATATCAAGCAGTCTCAAATTTTCGCCTCTAAATCAACACTAAGCTCTCTGAGTCTTCCAAATTCAGATGGCTCAGGCAACATTTATTCCTTCTTGAAGTTCCAGAGGCAAAAAAATATTCAGACAGTATGTAGCAGGAGAACAAGTAGCACATTGTGCAATAGAACAGTCACTCAGCACAACAGTGAAAAGCAGCAAGCCAATCACAGGGCTTCATTTTGTGCTCATTAGGAAAGGAAGGGAATGGGCTGTTGCATAGCTTGTTGGAAAAGACGCACACCTGGACTGGGAGGACTTAGCAGTTCTCTTAGATCTTGCCTCCATCATGTTAGGGAAGACCTTATCACCATTTGAGAGCTATGGCCTGACCTATAAACTGATCGCCACAGTGTCTTCCTGTCTTTAAATACAATATCAGAAGACTTATCTGATGCGTTTTCTGGTGTCAGTGTTCTCTGATAGTGTAGTGTAGTTCATCCTGGCAGTTAGGGGAACATGGATGATAGTTGACAGATCCTTGATTTCGAAGTGTGGTCATAATCCCACACTGTTAGTGCTCTGCAACTCCAAAACTGGTGCTGGGTCCAGGACTACATTCAGATGCCGAATCTGATTACCAAATGCATGGTAGCCACCTTAATCATGGGCATCCCCACACTATACAAAGCATGCAGCTCCCTTGCCCATAACCACAACTGCCTGGTCTGGCTTCAGCTGCAGACTAAAGGCTCCCATTGATGTTAGCAAGTTCTGGTTCAGGCTAATCATCACCTATTTCTATTCCTTCATTACTGCTGACATACAGAAAATAAGACCAAACAAACTCATATCAAAGCTCATATTGAAAATGTTCATAAATGACAGGAGCCAACATTTCTTTAAAAAGAGACGTCCTGCTCACCTTCTTGCAGAGTATTATAAGCCATGCTGCAGGAGCCGCAGAGAAATTCTTTCTAATATGAAAGATTTCCTGATCCCAACAGAGAGATGTGGAAAGATCTTTGAGGTACAATCATATTATAGAGAATTCTGTCAGCTCTCTTATTTTATTTTAATTAGCAAAAACACCTAATACTCTTTTTTTTAAAGGCAAAGTTGAGCCTGACAGAAACAGCAAGCTACCTTCTTTACTCCCCTTTTTTTTTGTTAAAAGGTTCCTAATGGGACATTCTCTAGAGATGGCAAGCATATCAGCCTGCTAATTAAGAGATTCTTAGTCCTAGTTGTCTCATCCTTAGGCAACAGACCTACTCAATTTAATTCAATTCCAGATGAAAACTTTTTGTTCTGTGAATTCAAGGGAACTGTATTGATTATCCTCTGAAATTGGAACTAAACCCATCATTAGTCTCCAGCTATTTTTCTAGTTATTATTTCAATCTTTTGAAATTGGAGGGGGCAGTTGTGGTGTTTCACTAAAGCTCTAGCAGCATATATACTGTCAACTAGTGGTGCAGCAATATGACTGCTAGCACATTTGCAAAGCTAAGCATGATCCAGGATGGTTTCAAATTGTATGGGAGGGGGGCATGTGTTGAGATTCCTGCAATGCAGGGAGTTGGACTAGATAACCCCCAGGGTCCCTTCCTCTGCTCTGCTTCATGGCCCTGTGATGTAGGCTGCTTCTCCAGATCCTCCAAAGAGGTTTCCTTCAGTGAGGTCATGACAAAACCTCCCATCTGGAAGCACCCCCTTTCTGCCTCATATGTCGTCATAACTATGGTAAAGCAGTTGATTTTGTGGAACTTTATCTACCATCAAAAAACACCAGGTCACAGCAGAAAAGATGACTTAACAGTCAATGGACTAGAAAAGGAATAAGCTTTAATGTCCGTCTTTGAGCAACAATTGCTTGTGGGTACAGATACAGCAGCAGACATATTGGTCTAATTATTAAAGGAACTTCAGAATCAGATAAACTCATTTATTTCCTGTTTTTTCCCTTAAAAGAATGACCTGGGGAAAGATCACTAAGTGGCACATTTGGTAACTATGACAACCTTAATTAGGTTGATTTGAAATATATATATGTGAATTTGAAGTTTTCCAGCTTGTTGAAAATGATTATTATACTCTTGAGTGCGTTAACTTAAATTTGTTGATACCTGTTCTTATCTCTCTCTTAATTATAAAGTTAGCTGATGATCAAGTTGCTTTATCATAACTGGATATCTGTTCATTTCCTTTGGAACTAGTCAGTCATTCTTTGAATGTCCCTAATCTGCTTAATTAGAAACAGTAAAACTGTTGAAACTTTCTACTTGGCCTTTTTAAGTGGTAAATCTGAGGCTTTGAGGAACAGCTGACACTCTGCACAGTAAGTGTTAAAAGGCCAAATACACAAATTGACTTTGGTGCCTCTGCTTATTGGGGTTGCCAGCTTACTAGAATAGTACAAGATGCATTTGAATTGTGACAATAGAGCAAGTTCAGAACCAAGCGGCAAACCCAATTTCAGCTTATGCAGCCATTGCCTTCCTAAACCTTGCTTTGTCAGAAGCTCAGAGATCAGATCTGGAAAGAAATTATGCTAATTCATCCCATCAAGAATAACTACCAGGAGTAGTTGGGGCAGTGCTGCAGAGCTACCCACCTAACACAGTAATCACCGTCACTTACTGGGATGATGCAGGGCAGGGCAGTGTGCAGGGTTGGGGCTGTGCAAGCACACCAATGGATGCTCCCACCAGTGTGCACACACAGCCTTGTTCTAGCTGCTGCCTTGCCCTGGTAAGACACCTCCCCACTGCACTGCCTGCTCTTGCTAACTATGTCGCTGAAGCATCCTTTATTTATTTTCTTAGAGTTAGAGCCCCCTTTTTTCCTGTCATTGGACCCAAGGCAGTCACCTATCCAGATATTGATCAGACTCACTTAACTTCAGCAAGGTGATGGCTTCATGTATCTTCAGACCATACCAGCAGAGCATCCTCATTAGATCCTGTGACTGAAAGACGCCTCCTTCATTTCAGGTTGACTGAGAAAGATGTCCTTTTGTTTTTCAGGTCGAGAAACTAGAGGAAGTTCTTTATGTTAAAGAAAGGTGTGTGGAACAGGACATGTACGGACCAGTTCTGCAAGCAAACAGGTACAGTGTTCTTCCCGTTACAGCCCCCAGTCTCTTCTTTGTAGATGAGGGAATGTTTGCTTTTGAATTCAGGATAAATGAGAATTGTTTGCTATTTGAAAGGCAGTATAGGTGTGTTCAAACAAACCCCTCCACCTGTACAATGGCGGAGGGTGTGTTCCCGCTACCCTCTTGTGCAGTCATGGAACTTGCAAGATTGTTCATTTGAATGCCTACTTTGTTACTGTATTATTTAGTCCATAAGAGTCCTTGCCGTCTTTGTGACTTTCATTGAGCAGGCCCATTCAGGTCAAATATTAGCTTTTGCGAAATGCAGGGATTAGGTAACACTGGGTTATACCCAGTACTGATGTTCCACTAGTGCAGTAGACTTCCATTTGCACAAGGGAACTTTCCCCATTCCTCCTCTCCAGACCCCTGTGCACTCTCCAGACACGCCCCTCCAAGTATCTTTTGAAGGTGCACAGTGAGAGGAGAGGAAGAAGTCTCTTTCTGTCACCCCCTTCTCTCTCTCGCAGACTGCTGAGAGTAGAACAAATCACTCTTCTTAGAAGTGTGAACCAATCACTTGGCAGAGGTTCTCCCCAAATCTTCCTTTTCTTATTCTGAGCTACCTGGGGCTAGTCCAAGACATTTTGATGCTTGAGGCAAAGCACAAAATGGTACTCTGCTCCCTGCCAGGGAAGAAGGGGAGCGGGAAGATCTACATAAGGAACAAAGGGGGAATAAAGATCCCTTTTAGGATCTTCTGCCTATGGATCCTGTCACCCGAGGCAATCGTCTCAACTTGCCTCATGGGTGGGCTGGCCCTGCCCCTTACCCCATGAAATTAGGCTGAAAGCCACCGGTTGCCCTCCCCACCCTTATGCGTTGCTAATGAATTTCACAACTGACAATTCGAAGCATTAGAACTCATTGTGGAAACAGCCAATGAAACATTTTCATGAAAGCAAATATTCTGGGACATGGACCCCTGGGTAAGACAGGAAATTAAGTTTGGGCTAAGTAGCTTAGCATTGTTCTACTTCCTGAATAATGAGTGTGGATTGTTTCTTCCTCAGAGGAAAGGGGAGATAGTTCGTTGTATTGCAGTGGTAACATTTCAGGTGAAAGGCCAAGTTGTCTGCGTCATAGAGCACATAATTCAGCTGAGACAGAAGGATTTAGCTTTTGAGAATGAACACTGATTCATCTGGACAGAAGAAAATTATTTTTGTAGTGCACTTGTCTGTGGATTATTGAAAGGGAGGCAGCGCAGTGTTGCTGACTGATCAATGAGGATTTGAACTAAAAACGCTGATAAAAGAAACATGCTTTAGCCAACAAATGAAATATACTGCATTCCTTTGGTTGGCTTTACAATCTTGTTTGTGAGTTTCAGGGTGCATTTTTAAAAATAACTTTTTATTGGGTTTTATAAACAAGGATCATAATAAATGATACAAATAAATAGACCAAGTCTTCTTGTCATGTGTAATATCTGCAACATATGGTTCATTATTAGCGTTCAGTGTGTAAGTTCTTGGTTTGTGAATTGGTTTAAACAAAAAAACAAAGGGGAAACAGGGTAGAACAGGGTTAACAGATAACGTTCAACATCGCAGCGCTAAACACCTTGTAATCAGAAACCCTTGTGTTTGTGCTTAGATTAAATATGAGTAGCAGTCATTTTCCTCTTATGTTACCAGTGAAACAATATAAATTCTTGGTATATTGATGAACATGGGAGGCAGGGTCAAAGTGAAGATAATAAAATTATTAATAGCAGGGGCTTTTTCTCCAGGCTGTTTTTCTGGGTCTTGAAGCAGAGCTTAGAGTTTATGTAGATATACTTCTTTCTTCCATGTCCACGTGTGTATTTAAGATGAGGAAAACGATCTGATGGCTAATTGAGTGCAGATAAAAAAGAGGGCTGGAAAGAAAGCTACCATAAATTTCTATGGTTTTTGCTTAATGCAGAATTGTGAATGGGAACAGATCAATCCATGGCCAAGGAGGAATGCACATATAACATATGCTTTCTATGGTACTTAGCTTGATAGCCTAGAAAGAAAGAAAAACCATGCAGTTTAATATTGTTTTTAAAATCAGAGCCCTTGGAGTTTCAAAAGCAAGTCTTCTCAAGCATATATTATAGAAGTGTAACTGTCCTCCCCCCGGATGCCACTTTACAGTCTTCTGCTGCTCATGAAGAAGCTGGCTGTTTCCTTCTGTTTGCACTTTGTGCCTGTTGATATGTTTTATTAGTACATATTTGAAATGTGGCTTGATCAGATCTTTCTGCTGTGCCTTTGATGCACACCTGTATTGCTACGTCCTTTGATGCACAGCATGACAGAAAGTAATGTAGCCAACTGTGTGAGAGCTAGCACTGATTCAACAATGGGACTGAAACCTGATTCGATGTAGTTATACAGTAGTTACAAAGCACTACATCAAGCACTAAGCTGGTGTAACAGGAAACCTTGTTCTTGCACTGACTAGTCCCTGTGCAAATGAAATCTTTGTTCCACCACTGCAAGGCTGCCCTACTCCATCTGCTGGGGGAGGAGCTGAAGCCATGACACTGTAGCAGCAGTACCTGCAAGGATCATTGTCAAAGCAATGATTCTTCAACATCAACTTTGTTGGACTGGGCATGTTGTTTGGATGTCTGATTATCGTCTTCCAAAGCAACTACTCTATTCTGAACTTATAAATGGAAAGCGTAATGCTGGTGGTCAACAAAAGAGGTTTAAAGGCTCTCTGAAGGCAAATCTTAAAAAATGTAAACACCGACAATTGGGAAACACTGGCCTGTGAGCGCTACAACTGGAGAACAGCCTTTACCAAAGATGTTGTGGACTTTAAAGACGCTCGAAGTCAGGACAAAAGGGAGAAATGTGCTAAGAGGGAGGCACGTTTGGCAAACCCTCACCATGATTAACTCCCACCCGGAAACCTATGTCCCCACTGTGGAAGGACATGTGGATCTAGAATTGGTCTCCACAGTCACTTACAGATTCACTGTTAAGACTGTGTTCATGGAAGACAATCTTACTCAGCTACGCCAAAAAGAAGACCTGCAAGCCCCTTGCATGGAGCAGCTTTGGCATCCAAGAGACTGACTTGAGGCAAATAGGATGGAGAAAGAGGCAAGGCTGTGCACGACATTTGTATCAGCATTGCTCTGACAAATGAGTGGGGATTTTATTCAGGCAAATGGAGTGAAGTTTCATGGTTGTTTTCGCTGCTGAAGTGCAAGCCTTCCTAGCACTCTGACCTTGGGCATTATTGATCCACTGTCCCCAGCAGAATGCAAGAGGGCATTTTCCTACTTCAGCTACTATCTGTTGATGAATCTGTTTGTGCTTATGGCAGACAGCTGTTGATTTGGCTAAATTAGTGACAAGTCAGATTGAGGTCAGAAATCCACTAATAGACTCTTCTGCATTTTTGTTATTGTGCTGTTTTGGAGGTTGGCAGAGTAGTGCTCTGAGGAATGTTGTTTAACCCTTCCTTCCCATGCCCCTTTTCTGATGGAGTTGCTAATAGTTTCCTGTCTTTAGCCTCCTTTTGGAGCTAATAATAGCTTGGGAGGGGAAAGCAATTTGCACTAGAGAAAACACATAGGAAGAAAGGGTGAAACTTTCCCAGAGCTGATCTTCAAAGTCACTGTAAGCAAAACAGGAGCTGAAAGATCCTAATCGTGGATGTCCCACATCACATTTGATTTGGCCCCGTGCCAAGATATCTTTGTCATCTTCTTCGTGCATTATTTTAGGCTAGTATTCATCACCTTCTGTGCTTCATCACAGAACTGGATTGTTAACTCAGTGTTCTTTTCTTTTCTTTTTTTAAAGCTTATAGTTATGAAGCATGTGTAGAGCTACAGCTGTAGTAGTTAACGTGTTCCTGGGTAGGAAACTGATAGTACAATTCTCTGGAAGCAAGTCCAGTTGACTTTAATGGGGCATTCCCAGATCTAGGATTCTAGCCTGGGGTTCACATTCCTGCTTAGCCCTTGATCTTGGCTGGGGTAACATTATTTCTTGCTTCTAAGGTTATTAGTCACAGAGTTATTGTGCAAATAAAATATGATTGCCCCATGTATGCAATCCTGAGCTCCATGGAGGAAGAGTGAGATTCAAGTATGACAAAGACAGATCTATTCAGGAGAGAGAGAGAGAGAGAGTTTTTAATAGTGGTTTCTGTTTTGTTTCCATAGCAGAAAACTGCATCTTTCTGAACACACCAGCAAAACTGTCTACCCAGCCCCACAGAAACAAAAGGAGTCTCTTGTCTTTAAGCTGGACTGGAAGAATCCAACTCAAGAAGCCAAGGAGCACTTTGAAAGTTGTTCTATTGCTGCTGTGAAACCTGTTAATGCTCAGGGGCCAACCTGGACAAGTATCCAGGAAAATGAAATCACGATTGTCACCATTCATGTACATTGCAGGCCCTGATCCAGTGACAACCTTCCCCCTCTGTTTTACAAGTATGTATTGTCTTATATTTGCAGGAATGTTAACTTTTAATTAAATGAGCTACTATTGCTTTTTTTAAAAAAAAAGTAACCTGTTGTTCATACAGACCATCTTACATGCCCAAAATGCAAATGCAACAGTATATTTTGATCTGCATAACTTCTGTTAAGAAAGTGATTTTTTGTGCCCCAATATTTGCTTTGAATTATGCACCTGCAAACATTTGCGTTAAACACGTGGTTCTTTCTGAACAGACAATACCCCGCTTCCTAAGATTTCATTTGTGTCTTCATTGTGTACTGTGGAAACACATTTTAATGATATCTGCTCATACATATTATTTATTTATTTCTACCCCACTCTTCCTTCCTAGGGATCTAAGATGGCAAAGAATATAAACAAAATCAAAACCTTAAGTACATTATACAAAGTAATATCAGTAAAATGATTTAAAAGACAGAATTCACAGTACATCAGACAAGGGATTACAAATGATCAGTTGCATTCACTCTACTCCAGAGGCCTGGATTAGCTGTTGGCAGAATCAGGGAGGGGGGCACAAATGCAACTCTAGCAGGAGAGAGTTCCACAGTTGGGGTGCCACCACAGAGAAGGTCTTGTTCAATGTCACTGCCAAATGGGCCATGCTCACTGACCCTGAGCAGGGCCTCCCCTGCAGCTCTTAGGGTGAAAATAGGCAGATGTTGAGAAGGCATGATAACTTCACTATATTTCCTATTAAAGTTAGTTGTGGCAATTCAAATTGCAGCAAAAACCAACAGTGCTTCACTCAAGGCACCAACATGAGCAAAAGTTAAAAGTGCATGCTCAAAGCCAAATTGAAGAGACTCCTCAATGTATTACATAATCCTAAATAGAAAGATGCAATTAGCAATTAAAACCAGTTCCATGAAATTGGCTTGATAAAATTAAAAAGCAGGTAAGTAAACAGTTTACTAATTTGCCAGGAGCATTTGAGGCCCACAGGATCTGCTTCAGTGGCTTACGATTTATAAAGACATCTGTTAGTGACACCTTTGTTCATCGGAGCAGCTGTTTCTCATTAAACCATAGGCTGACAGTCTTCTATGCATCATGTTAACGATAAGCAAGCCTGTTTAGCTTACACTATTAGTTTTGAAAGCTTACAGTGATCAACTCTCCTATATTTTAGACATAAACTTGCATGGGGTGGAAAACCCATGGCTCTATAAATAAATATTTCATTCATAGCAGGAAAGGCATATTGTTTAGATCACGGCTGCACATCACTTTGAGGGCCACTTCTGTAGTTCTGCTAACTCAAGTGAGCTACGTTGTTATGTGAACCATAGAAAAGTATTTTGATTACAGTGTTAACTCATTATCGTCTTTTCAATTCATTCTCTATTTCATTTCTGTGCTACGCAGTGCTTTCTCACTTTTCACTAATACCGAACTCCAATTTCTGATCATTTTTCCTCCTTTTCTTTCTTTCTCTCTGTTCCATAGTACACTGTCATTTCTTTCTGTATCCCAGAAGTGGGGAGGCTATGCCTTCCACATGTTGCTGGGCTCCAAGTTCCATCATACCTCATCATTGGTCATGTTGTTTGGGGCTGATGGGAGTTGTAGTCCAGGGTTTCAGGCAGGGAGACATTTAAAGCCCTATCTGGAGATACTGGGGATTGAACCCGAGACCTTTCTGCATGCAAAGCAGATGCTTTGTCCCTAAACTATAGCCCTTCTCCACAAACTATTTCTTTCTCTGGACAATCACAGGTCTGCATTTTGTTTGCTTTCCCCAGATACTGTACACTCAGTTTCTCAACTGCCTCATCTGTTTTTGCCCACATCCTCCTCCACTGAATTCCATTTCTGAATTCCATTCATTATCTCTCTGCTCTGCCTCTGTACTTTAGTCTACCAATCCTCTCTTTTCTTATTCACAAGTTTGTCTGCAACCACACATCACTTTGTTTTCCTCTCTCTGCACTTTTCCTTTCTATTCCATAGTTTAGGGGCTGAAGCTGATATGAATAGTCAGAGACAACATGCCCCACCATCACAGGTGCTTTTGTGATAGGTTTTTTTAAAAAGTGTCATATTAAATTGATTTTTGGCATGAGAAATGATCTAGCATCTTATTCTGCATGCTCCATGCATCATGCCAGTACTCCAACACTAATTGCTCCATCTGTCCACTCCATTATTGCCAAAGCTTTTTAAAAATGTAGAATGAGATCTCAACCAATTGTTTTCATCAAAATCCCTAAGGACCCGCTGCTCTTACCTCCGGAAAATGTGCATTTGGCATCACAGAAAAGGGACAACTTCAAAAGCTATTGTTGGTACTCTGCCATGCTTATGTGAATTGTATGCAAATGATTTAAATTGGTGATTGTATGGAAATTAAAATGTGGAAATTATTGGTTACCCCATCAGCTTCCTTAGTCATCTTTCTTTAATCTAAGATGGTTGCATAGCACCTTGTATGCCTCCTTCTGGCACCTCCTGCAGCCAAGCTGGTGCCAAGCATATTGCTTTCCTTTGGACCACATCAGCAAGGCTGAAAGGGGAGCCTTGTTGTCTGGGCAGCTCAAGACCTCCATACACACTGCCCAGGTTTGTACTCTGGGGAGGTCACTTTGGTATTGCTAACGCAGCAGTTTGACTTCACCCCAAGAGGTGCACTCCATTGTCTCTTGAGATAGACAGATGCCAACAAAAGGTCCCAGGAAATCCTGTCTGTCTAATGGGTTATCAGGGCTATGTGCGCAATAGGCATGATTTTCCCCCATGAGAAAGGTACCAGCTTTGCATACAGACTGTTTATGCCTCTGTTTGTATGCTCAAACTCTTAACTGTCATTTAATCAGTGACACATTGTAGTCTGAATCTCCAGCTAAGATTAAGTGGCTGCTTTCTTTCTCCTGCACGCACCCCACCCGCCCCAATGCTTTTGGTTTGCTTCCAGATAGTTGCATGGTTTCAACATCTCAAATGTCATTAAATGGGAAGTAATAAAGGAGGTTTGAAAAGAGTATCACAAGGAGGAAAATGCAGGGTTACTTGCTGGCAGGGTGATTCTTGGGACACAAGCATCATTTCCCTGCTTTATTTCTTTTCACTTCAGGTAGTGAAAAAGCAGGTCCCAGGTCAACAAATGTAGGATATAATAATAATAATAATAATAATAATAATAATACCTTTATTGTCATTGTACAACCTGTGTACAATGAAATTAAGCGAGCCTCCCCCCCAACACTCAATCTCTTATCGAACAACACACCACCTCGCAAATCAATTTCGCTATGTTATTTTCCGTTCAACAGCCTAACAGCCCACGGATAGAAGCTGTTTTTTAGCCTGTTTGTACGGCTGATTATACTTCTATATCTCCTGCCCGAGGGTAGAAGATTAAAGAGGTGATGGCTGGGGTGTGAGTCATCCCTGAGAATTTTTCTCACTCTCCTAAGGCAACGATCCCTTGCGATGTCATCTAGCGGACTCAAGGGACAGCCCATGATATCATGTGCTGTATTTACCACCCTCTGTAGAGACTTTCTGTCCGTGGCTGTCAGGCCAGCATACCACAGTGTGATACAATATGAAAGGACACTTTCTATTGTGGACCGGTAAAAGGAGTTCATCAGTTGTTGTTTAACATTATTCTTTCGCAAGACCCCGAGGAAATGGAGTCTCTGTTGGGCCTTTCTGACCACCTGAGTTATGTTGATTTTCCAAGTGAGGTCCTCGCTAAGGTAGACTCCCAGGAATTTAAAGGAGGAGACTCTCTCCACACAGCCCCCCCGATATACAATGGGGCAGGTTCCCCTCTCTTCCTCTGGAAGTCCAACACCATCTCCTTTGTCTTTCTAATATTTAGGTGCAAGTTATTCTCTAAGCACCATGTAGATACTTTTTGAACTTTCCCACTGTAAGCTGTTTCATCTCTGCCTGCAATTAGGCCCATTATGGTAGTATCATCTGCAAACTTAATAATTACTGTGGATGGATCAGATGATATGCAGGTAGGGACTTAGCACACATCCCTGTCGGGTGCCAGTGCTAAAGGTCAGGGAGGTAGATGTAACAGTCCCAATCCTCACTGTTTGTGTCCGATCCCTTCAGCCCATCATGTACTGTAGTGCATGGATGGATGGTTTGTCAGGATTTTTAGACTGCTTTTGTACATCTCAGTGCACACCAAAATGAACAAAATGAAAACAGCACTAATACAAAGCAGGCATAAGGGAGAGAGAAACACACATATACTTCTCATATTGGATGCTGGATGGTAATCAAGTTCTGACAAGTTTTGCAACACAATTATCTGTTGTGTGACCGTGGGCAGTCCATTGTCTCTCGAGATAAGATGGATGCCAACAACAACCAACATTGGACAGGCCACTCTGCTGAAGGGGAACAGTAGTTTAGGGTGTGATCACATAGCTGAGTACAATATAGGTGAAAACAATATTCAGTTGGCATCAAGTGGTGGCTGAGGTGCTTGAGGGTTTCCGTGAATTGGCCTGATCCTCACCTCCCAGACCAACGTGAAAATTGAAACATTGTTGTCCTTCAGATTTTGCACTTCTCTGAATTCTATGATAGTTTCTGGCTCAAAAAAGTTCAGAAGTGGAAATGGGTATACTTCAGGCGCTGATGGGACTAACCCTCTCAGTACTGGACAGCAGGGTAAGCGTGTGTGGTTGTTCCTCTACCATGCCCCATCCCTCAAAAAATCTGGGGAACCATATTTTACCCACCACACAGCAACAATTCCCAGCACCATTTTAAAAAATCAACAACCCGTAGTTCTCAGGATTCTTTGAGGGCAGCCACACGCTTTAAATGTACAGTGTGAATGTGACCAGGTAGCATCACCCAGGTGAGTGCTTTCTTGACACACTTCACCAATAGTGTTGGCTGCAGTATCTTCCTAGCTCTTTCCTCTGAAGCTCTTTAACAAAGTTGTGTCCTTTCACCCCAAACACAACTTGTCATAAGCTCAAAGATTCTTATTTCTATTTGTGAAAGCATTTCAACTTAAGGATGCTGAAATAATGACAACAGGAAGATATTTGAGAAGGGGAGCCAGCTGGGAAACCAACAGTCGATACTCTGTGTGTCCACCTCCCTTATTGAACCATCATAAATGTTGTACAAGGGCATTGCCTTGGAGAGAATACATTTGCTTTGATCAATACCAGTGCCCGCAACCCACTAAGGGCAATTTCTTTTGGTTGTAGAGCTCACAGCTATGCTTTCATGCAGGCTGGGTTTTTTGTTTTGTTTTGGATTTAAACAGCTTTCCCATATTAGTTCATCGAACTCACACTGAATCAATGTGATTGTTTTGATGAACTATGTGAGCAGTGAGCTCTTTGCACCTGAAGCCACCAGGGTATGCATGATACATTAAAAATGGCAGCCCTACCATTAAGGCAGAGTGAAGTGGTGCCCTCAGGTTTTGGATGTCATGAAAGGATAGCAAAATTGTTAGATAGTCAATTTATTATTGCATTCACACTACCAGAGAGGCGGAGAAGCACCTGTGGGGTCAGTGCTGAAGTAACTTGACCTGCATAGGGATCAGTACACCTTAACCGGGGCTGGGTAGATTTGTTGCTCTGTGTATCTTGCTGCTGCTGGAGGTCAGGTGCTCTAGCAGGGCTCTTGTGTTCTGAGGTATCATGTTCAGTGCTGTTCAAAGGAGTTATGCGAATGCCTGTTCAATACTGCTGAAGTTATTTCATTTCAGTGCCTGCTCTTGTCTGCCATTAGAAGCAATTGTCTAGTGGTGCTTTTCCTCCACTCACAGAGCCATTAAGAGGCTAAAGTGCAAGGCAGCATAATACGACGCAGTGAATATTGGAAATGTGAGGTCGAATTTCTACTTGATTGTGATTGAGTTTGGGTGACCTTCAGCAAGTTGCTTACTTGCAGCTTCAGTCGCCCCATACTGAAAGTAGCGGTTTTGTGTCCTAGGGACTGAAGGTCCTCTAAAACCTTGGATGGAACCTCTTCCCCAACTGGTAATATAAAGCTAAATTTTGAAACAGCCGGGCAATTTCAAGTTGGGGCAAATTGGGAAGACAACAACGAGGATATACTGAATGGAAAAAAATATGGCAAGAGCCTGGATCCCCTTACCAACTTATCCCTTTTGCTGCTAAAATTGCACTCTCCCCTTCTCATTGTCGACACCAGGGGTAGACAACGTGATGCCCTCCAGATGTCGTTTGAGTACAGTTCCAATTAGCCTCAACCAGCATGACTAATACCCAGGAATTATGGGAGCTGGAGTCCAACAGCATCTAGATGGCGCCACTTTTGCTATCCTTGGTCTACACCATTAGGGCAGGCGCAGGCTCAAAGAATCATAGAATTATAGAAGGGGCAGGGCCCCTAGGGTCATCTAGTCCAACCCCCTGCAAAGGAAGGAATCTCAACTAAAGCATCCATGGCAGATGGCCATCCAACCTCTGCTTAAAAATCTCCAGGGAAGGAGAGTCCACAGCCTCCCAAGGGAGTCTGTTCCACTGTCAAACAGTTCTTCATGTCAGAAAATTATTCCTGAAAGTTCCAGAAAGTTCTTCAAACCTGTAGATCTGCTGCCATTATATCTAGTTTTGCCCTAAATCTGTGGTTCCAGCAAAGTGATGAGGGCAAGAAATTACCATTTGAACCAAGGCGAATAGGGAGAGAAGAGGTTAAACTAATGGAAGTCCAGCAATGAATTTGG